GTGGGGGGTTGAGTATTTTAGTGTTGCAACTGATAGTCAGTGCAGTGGCACTTTAACCAAGTCATTTTATTCTCCCTGAGAATGTGGATAAAATGCCTTGCCAAGAACACACACAAATGGCCAGCTTTAGATTTGGACCCCTGATCTTTTCTTAGAAGACAAACATTCACCATTGCACCACACACATGATTTGAATAAGATTATTGAATGCGATAGCAACTACATATTTTTATTATTATTATTAAGAATCAAATGTATTGGTAGAAACCAACACGTAGAATGGAAATGAATTGTCCACTAGCATCCACTAACTCACTCTATCAAGTAAATGCAAGAGTTTTATGATTACAGCTTCTTCTTCTACACTGCCTTTGGAAACACTGCCATGTTGGTCACGTTCGACCAGTTGTGAATGTCTCTGTGCTACTGGGCTCAAGGTTGAATCCTTGTTGAAGATCAAGTCTCGTAGATAACTCACCTCATCATCATGTTCAGACAATGTCAGTGAGTCCCAAACATAATGGGGAATCTAAAATAAAAAGTAAGAAAATTTGACACTAAGTAATTATTATAAATATGAACAAGTTTTGAACATTATTTAACGTTTTCAAAGTATTGTGACACAGCTTTGTTAACAAACAACTTTAACACTGCAATGTTGATCAGTGAAACAATCATAGCGTCTCCCAAGGTTGAAAGGTTACACAAATACCAGCAAGCGTATTACGGATGACTCGTTAATTAACCTTTTCAACTCACCTAATCATTTGTGACAAAAAATATATCAATATAAAATTTACAAAATTTGCATAATAAAAAAAGTAGAAACAATCCCATTCTACAGTGGCGAATCCAGGAATTCGAAATAGAGGGGTCACAAGGAGGGACTTTAACAGATAGAGGGCCTATACTGTACCACCTCAGCCATACCTTGGAAAAATTAAGATTATAGCACCTCTAGATGGCTGGAAATGGCACTCTTACACTTAAAATTTGAATACTATTTTCATTTTTTCTCCATTTAAAAAATAATATTGGATAATTTTGGGGGCAGGGAGGGCCAGGCCAGGTGGTTCCCCAACTCTTGAATCTACCACTGTTCTACTAATATCCCCTACCTGTATATACTTGTAGCCCATAGACTCAAGGTGGCGCTTCTTGACAGCAACCATACTAGTTGGGTGACGAGAGTTAAGACAGAACTGAGATTTTGATAGAAAATCAATTGCAATTCTGAAAAATAGTGATTATGATACTTTTGAGCAAATATATTTGTGATAACATTATGGTATTTATAAGCATATCATTGTATCAAAATGTTTTAGAGTTTATATACTGACATTTAAATGAATTTCAATGGATTTTTAGGTATTCCTTGTGTATATATATATATATATATATATATATATCAGTTGCCTGACGATCGCAATAGCGTGAAACCTGTCTCTTATACACATCTAGATGTGTATAAGCCAGGGGCATGACTAGAGATGACATAGGCTAAAGCCCAACACATCATAATAATAATAATGCTGAGGGCGCTTGGTGTGTGGACTTTTTTAAACGTAAACAATTCTGTTGACTACTAGTCAGCATCTTCAGTATGAATATAGCTGGGTTGTTTACTACTTTCTTCAGTCGATGTATTCAGTATGTGGACTGACAACGTATTCATTATTCGTACTGATATGTTTTGATGATGTCTTCTGTTTTCAGTATTAGCACTGACAATGCTGACTAGAAGTCAGCGAAAATATTTATGTTAAAAAAAGTAAGTGATTTTGGTTTTATGTAAGGAAATTCAAATCAAATACCTAATGAAAACCGATGAAGTTTTTCAATCAATAATTTGGTACAGTACAGTGTCTAACTTGTGTAAATCACACAAATTAGACAAAATTGTATTCAAACTTTATATAGGTCTAATGCTTCATACACTAAGTCTGAAAAGACTGCTATTCCTGTTCTTAAAAACCTGTACCACCTCCTACAGTATATGGGCTGCACATCACTAATTTAAATCACAGATGAAATGTCTTTGATTGTACATACCTTTGGGCACCCTCTGGAAGTTGTTTAGTTTGTGTACCCCACTGCATCAAGTCTGACAACACATTACTGGTGACTTGTCCAGACCTGTTTAACACACTGCCATAGTCTGCACAAGGCAATGGATTCCCACTGCCATCAAGTATGCATTCAAAATCTGCATTGAAAAACACAAATTTGTATTTTTCCAAATATGGTATTGTAATAATAACCAGGACACAATACTCGCTTTTATGCATTTATGGGTTATTCGCACCAGCTTCCAAAGGGGTTCATGCAGACATAGAGGATTTAATTTATTTAGGATTAAGACTTAAATTTTCTTTACTTTAACTTACCAATTTCATAAAAATATGGTGAAAGAACGAATGAACGGAAAAATTGTGGGCCTCCAAGAATTACACTTAGACAGCTCTGCAGTGATTTCAACACCTTTGGAAAATGCATTCTTCCTAAAAAAATCACAAGAAGTTGACCATTTGTGACTTATACAATAGACATATTAAGGTTATATATTATGATCCTGGTTGAGTTTTATAACTGTTAAGACTATATCAGTAGACTTTGTAGAACTTAACCTTTTTTTTAAATATCTCACAAACAACCATCCAACCAACCAGTGGTTTTACCTCAAAAACCATAAGTTTACACATGGCGTACTGAAAGTTTTATGATTTTGTTATTGAATCTGATTGATTTTATATTACAGTACTTACTTGCTTTAAGTATCTCTAAACAGTAGTCTTCATGAAACCATGGGACCTGAAGATGGCTGCATTCTATCACTAATGCTCTATTTAACTGCATGAGACGCTGACGATACATAATTCTTTTTGGTCTTGCTACAATTCAAAGAAAAAACAACAAAGAAATACTGAGTAATTATTTAGCATCATGATTCAAGAATCTGGAAAATGTACAAAAAAATTAAGTTTCCATTGAAAATGGTGTTAAATCACCTTCAACTTCTTCTTCAAGTTTGATGAGTACTTGCAGATTGAATAGTTTCTTCAGCAAATCCTCAGGAAATATCTCCACCAAAGACAGCAAGTATGCTATATCCAAGAGGAATATTGAAGGTACATGATCCATAAATGGGATGAATCTTCTCAAACAGATATTAAAAAAGTCTGGTGTGTTCTGTGGGCGATAGTTTAAAATGCAATATGGAGAAAGAAGTGATAGAACCTCTCTTGGTGACACTTTGAACATGCTCTTTGATGTGATATCAGCAATAGCATCCAGAAGTTTAATTTGAAGGAATCGAGTCTTGATGACACTTCTTGAACATTCCACTGCCAGCTGAGGTGTAAGCCTATGAAGACATTTTGAATAATGTTCCATGACTGTGGAAATTAGCAGACTATTACTGTTATAACCTTCATCCAGCATGTGGTGAATCATGTTGTTAAGATAAACCACACTTGTGACATCACTGATCTTCTCAACTGCTTGCATGTTTGATTTTTGTAAGAGGTTGCTGATACCAATATTATCATTAATACTTTTATCCAGTTTTTTACTGATTCGAGTAAGAGCTAAAAACAACTGGTTAATAGAGGCCACATTGTACTGGTGAATCATCTTGTCAAGCCTGGTAATGATGTCAGGATCCAGATTTTTGATTGGCAGTAAAGAGAGGAGGTAAGTGATTCCTAACATTCGCAGGGGTGAAATGGCTGTTTGGTAGAAACTCAATACTTTGATCTCTAGAAATTTGAAAAAGGGGTCATCAAGGGGAAGGCGTGTATTCTGGAAGAACTCAACAACTTTCAGTAAAGTTGTGAATTGAACATGATCAGAATTCTTTTCAAATTTATCAGCAATACTGGAAATTAGATGGCTAGGGACACGGAAGCCCATCAGTCGCAGAGCAACACACAAATTTCCAAGATCAAAAATTGATGCCTTAGGAAGGGCAGCATTTGCTAACTCTTCGAGTTGGAACTTCAACTGTGGGGAAGCAGTTGGTGCTAACACTGTTATGACATTGATAAGTTCTGAAGCATTCTTGCAAGCAGGGAGTTTATTTTCCATCTGTTCAACAATATCATTTTGAAGGTTTTCATCATAGAACCCGTCTAAACTATGATAAATCGTTGACAATTCCCAGATAGATAATGACTTTAAACGCAGCTGCAGTAGCGAACAGCATTCTTGTAATAACTGTTTCGGTCTTTCACCAGATATCGAGATACTTTGTAGGATTTTTCGCAAATCATTAGTAGAGATTTCATTCTGGTGTTCAACAAACAAGTTTAAAAGTCGTTTATAAATTTGTTTGCGAAATTTGTACGACGTTACTCCAACAGTAGCACGCAAAATTGTAGCAGCATCCCTTACATCCATTGGTTCTTCTTGTATAAATATGTGGAAGCATTCCGTAACTTTACCAAGTAAGACACTTTTTGGGTCAAGAGTATCTTGTGAACAAGCTGCAAAGATAGCAAGCTCATTAATCGTAAATGTACTAAGTCGTCTATCCACTTCACAGATCATTTCTGTCACCAGCGAGTGTGGCCGATCAGACATAAATTTCAGCAGTGCATAGAGGGTATTAACAAGTGTACTATTATCCATGTCTCGTACTTTATTTTCTGCTAAGATACAGAGTCCATTAAATTCTGGATGTAATCTGACATAGTTTCGTGTTTGATCCACATGCTCATCAACAATCAACTTTTGCTGGCCTAACAGATTTATCATTGCAGCTCCAATGTGTGCTGTTGTCAACCATGAGCGTTTGGTTCTTAGAAGAGCAAACAACGAATCAATATCGCCATTAGATTCTATTTCTTTTAGAAGAACTGCTTCATTGGTTGTCAATGGTTTATGAAATTTCGTTGCTGAATACCTAGACTCCGACTGCTTATATGACAAGCTATCTGTATGGCATGACACTGGGTGACAGAGTAAAATTTTCTTGTAGTTTATTTGGTTCATCAGTGAAATATTTGCAACACAAGCTGATACGTTATTCATGACATGTCCTTTCAACATTTGGCCATACTGACGACTAAATAGCGAGGCCATCTTGGTAAATGACATCTGATCAAATTCAATCCGTGTTTGTAACTGCAAAAAAAGAACAGAAAATTATGTTAAATATCAATAAATGTTTTAGTGGTATTATTTGCTTTGTGTGCGATTATAGTGGGAGTGAAAGGTGTATGCTATAACTTGATTTTAGAAGACATTTTGCAACCAATCATTAAACCTTGATTTGTTGGCAATTTTACTCACGGTATATGCAGCCTGCAAATCAATCAACACGGGAAGACAGGGCATATTTAGTCTTGTAATAATACAAAGCTACCTTACAATACGTGTGATGGCGTATCCGGTGCACCACTCAAAAAAAAAAAAAAAATACTCGTACCTCCCAGTTTTGCCCACCCCTAAAAAAGAATCATGCTGAAGCAGTTAAATATCACATCAAATTACCTTCATCATCATCAAGGGTTCGGCCGCGAACAAGTTCAGTCCCCCAATTTCAAGACTCTCCTAGCCTAGATACACCAAGTTGTCTCCCTCTCTCTACTCTACCAAAATATTTAAAGACTCTCCTAACTAGGCCTAGTCTCTAGATACGCCCCAAGTTTTCTCCCTCTCGCTACCAAAATAGTCAGTTTGTCATTAGCCCTCTCTCTACTCTATCTAAATTCTAAGCCTATCTAGTCTCGGCTTACGCCCCTAAATAGGCTGGCCTTAAGCCTAAGATAAGCCATTCATTAGGCCCTAGAAAGTACTACTACTAGGCCTAGCCTAGCTAGGGCAGGCTAGCCTACTAGATAATACTCGGCCTAGCTAGGGTAGGCAGGCTGTATACCACCTCGCTCGGCTAAGTGACATATTTATCTGGTTTCATTAGGATTTAGTATATTTATACATAAACGAGGATGCTTAAAAAAAAAGATAGTTTTAGAGATTCGATTCAATTTAACCTACCTAGGCCTATCTACACGTACTTTCCCCTCTCGTCATCCCCAGATTAGCACAGCGCATGTAAAAATGCAATAACAACTTGAAAATATTGCCCAACAGCACATACAATCAACTTGTTGAAAAAGTGTACAATTTTAACACGTCGCACTTCTAGAGGTATCAATATGGCAATATAATTTCCTAATAAATATACCTAAAAAATATTTTACATGTTCAATACTTCATATTTGTGATAACATTGAAAATACCCATATTGATATGTAACCTATTGGATTTAATATTGGTACACCCTGCCAATTTTTTCATGGAAGCTGCCATTTTAGAATCTACCATGCCTTGTGGTAGGGACGTTCCACTTTTCTGCTCAGCGGCTCAGCAGCTGCTGAGGACGAATGACCATTAAAGCATGTACTTACTTACAAGGTGGGATTGCATTTTGAATTTAGATTATATTTGAATCAAATGTAATATATTATGCGCTCTGATCATTTTAATAAGGTAAACATTTTATATCAAGTATTATGGCCCTAACTAAGCTAGAGAAAGAGTAGAGCCAGGCGTTAGGCTAGCCGCTCTGAAGTCTAAGGCCTAGGCCCTAGGTCTAGGCCTAACCTAGCCTAGCTAGGCCCAGCTAGCCTAGTGCTTGTTTGGACTTAGCTGGCCTTGCCTAGTTACAGTAGGCCCCTACTAGGCCTGACCTACAACATATCCTTTTTGTTAAGATTTGTATAAACTAATTGTAATTACTGTTTCTATACAGAAATGAATTCTATTAAATATATTTTTAGGCCTATCCGATAGGCTATCATAGGCCTAATTCTGTGATTGTTAATTTTTGTATGATATTTCTTGTATGTTGTTTTTTTTTTCTTATTAATTTTAATGTTATTTTATTATAGAGAGTCACTTAATACCAGTCTAGCTGGAAGGGCAACACTCTACAATATAAAGAAAGTTGAATAAATATATAAGAAGAATAAGGTTTGCTAGTCAACAAATGACATGTAGGCCTATGTATATAGTTACTTAATTTTTGGAGTGTCTGCGCCCTTTGCCAAAAAGTCCAGGGTTGATTAAATGTTTTAATAACTATGATTCTTGAGTTTTTGCGTATGCAAACCCTCGAAATTGGCAGACACTCCTATTTTGCAGTAACTTCAATAGCCATGGAATGGTCATCCATTATTTTCATCATTTTCACAAGATTTCATAAGAGTACTAAACACTTTTCGGTGACCACTCCTTCCCCTGTCTGTACACAATATTAAAGTAAATGATGATTTTTGTCATTTTGAGATCATGGAGGATACCTCCATGTTGAGATCATCACTGTCTTTATCATAAAATAATACATCCTTAGATTCCAACCCCTCTCATCCTCTAAGTAAAAGCGTATGTTTTGTACTCTTGCAAAATTTATGAAAATACTCAAAAATTTGGTCCTTTAAATAATTTGTCTTATTTTTTTTTTCATCAAAAGAAGACAAACTACAGTACTGCATAGTTAAATTAAATTGCATTGAAGATAAGATCCTCACCAGCCATTTCATGTACAATACAATGTTGCATTTAAAAACATGGGAGGTTGCACAGTACTTTAAGCTCTCTGTTTTTTTTTCACAGAATAATGACCTACTTATGAGGCAGTCTTCGAGACCTTATGAATAGCAAATCTACTGTAATTAATGTAGCATTTGATTCAAATAGAGTATAGTTATAACTACTGTATACAATAATAATATATGTGTCTTATACCTATATTCATTTCATTCACAGACTAATATTTGTTTCACAGAGAGGAACAAGATAAAACAACAGATAAAATATGTTGTGTTGTAAGAGAGTCAGCTTCTATTGCTACCGATGTGCACTGTGGAATCCAAGACATCAACAAACAATTCATAGGAAAATCAAACATTTAGCAGTAAAAAACTTACGAAGCTCCCAAACATTTAGTCAACAAAAGCTAACCTCTTTTGGTTTGCCTACTAAAAAGCCTTTATTGAACACTTTCAAACTAGGATCAAGAAGATTTGTACCATGGGGAATGTTGGCTTCATACTCAGATCAAATTATAGAGGAGGTCAGCACTAGTGAATCCTTAGAAGATATTTTGAATGTTGCTGAAAAAAGGAGATCTTCAATGAGATCTGTACATATTGCTGAAGTGTTCTTGCAGCTGAGTAAGATAATAGAATTGAATACTGGTCAGCAGCCTCATGATCTAGTTCAGAATAAGGATTTTGTTAATCTTTGCATCTTAGCAGAAAATCTTGTCTCGGAAATGAGTAATACTGAGTTAATTACTATATTAAATAGCCTGCTGGTATTATGTGCAGATCAGGGGTTGAGCCTTGCCAATGTTGTTCAGTCGGAGTGCCATCATCGTCTGCATTCATTCAACTATACTCAGTTATCTTATGTAGCAGTTTGGTTCCATAAACGGAAGCAGATCAGGAATCATACAATGGGAAAGATTGCCGACATTTTCCAAAAAGAGCTGCACAAAATTGAAGACTTTGAGTCCTTCGCACGTCTGATAGTAGCTGTTATGCCAATTTGCACTAAAACCTTTGAGAAAGAAGTCTTGGACAGAGCCTGGTGTCTTTTAGAAGAAACAGATCCTAAGAAGGTACCTGTTGAGTCTGTTAGGTTCATTCTGCAAGCACTAGTGATCATCAGGAACTGTCATACAAGGATACTAAAACACTGTGCGAACATACTTCTGCCAAAGTTATTAAGTGTGTCTGTAACTGACCTAAGTTCTGTTCACTTTTGTATGGCTTACCTTGGTTTTAGTCATAAGGAATTGAATTCATCTATACGAGCACGGTTCATGCAGGTACTTCCGCAGGTGAATAAGGTAAAAGAGATTATATGCCTAATGGATGTCTTGGGACCAATTTCATCTTCTTATGTTAGACATCAATTAGAAGAAAAGCTTCTTGCAAATACTGATAAAATAACTGCTGAGTTTATTCAAGGTGCCTGTAATGGACTGCGTATTATGAGACACAACAACGACTCTCCACTTATACGAAAGATTACAGAAAGGGTTAAAGATCTTATATCTGAACTCACAATATATGACCTAATTCGTATATGTGAGTGCCTTAAAAATGTTGACATTTCCCCTGCTGATGAAATATTTGAAATTTTGAAGGAAAAACTTTTGGAGATTTTAGATAATGCCATTTCCACAAGTCGAGTAAAACATGTAGCATATTGTTTCTCACAATTACCCTGCACCAGCTTGGATGTAAAAGTTTTAGAGCGACTTGAAAGCATGTGGTCTGCGTACCATGCTGGTGATATACTTCAAATTAGGAAAATCTTAAAGACATTTTCTGAAAAGCCTTCTTTAAGTGGTGAGGTAATGAGAAATTTGAAAAGATTAAATGAGAAGGTTGGTAGCTACTCATGTGAAAACATTTTAAACATAAAAAGCATAATTTATCTGAACCAGTACATTGATATGTTGGTGTCATCAAGAGTTGACCCTGACTATCTGGTAACTGCCATGGATCAGTACAGCAACTGTATTGTCGGATTGAGTCCAAAGATGGCAGTTCAGAGCATCAACCGAGTCAGTAAAACTGGGTATCTTCAGAGGGATGTCTTGGACAAGGCTGCTGAAGTCATCTCTGACAACATAGAATGCATTGATTTGAATCACATAATAAGCATATTGACACCTTACTGCATATTTAACTATGTTCCTGCTTCCGTGCCAACATTCCTTGATTCTTGTGCAGAAAGATTCATGCCATTCCTGGATGTGGTATCAACTGATCATCTCCTTCATCTTGCCTATTTGCTAAGTTTAAGCGGGTATTTCCCAGAGCCCCTTATAAGAAAAATATTTAGTGTTGAATTTCTGATGAACATTGATAAGCAACTCAAAGGTAGGTTATGGTTTATATTTTTAGTTATTTGTTGCATAATAAACTTCAGGTTTATCCTGGGCTCATCACAAAGCCCAGCATTAGTGTCATGTTACACTGGCAACCTTGGATAAGTTCAGACACGTGCGTAGTCAGTCCTGAACTGCTGCGCCTTTTCTATAAGCTGTTTGCGTACTGTACAAGAGCCTACCATTGTGATGACTGTATGTACACAAGTAGAGAGGGAGAGACAGAGACACAATAAAAACTTTCTGTTTAATTAAAGCCTGCCTTTTTGATATAGTGTTGTTTGTCAAGAGAACAGAACATACAACTGCTAATCTGCAATGAATATTTTCATTTGCACACGAAACAATTAATGCTACATTAGTTTCCAGATTAACGTACATTTGTTAACTGAATGAAGATTTTTAGTACACAGTTGTAAGTTATTTCTTTAAAAAAAGAAAATTATTTATTTTTATATAAAATAATATATTTCAATGTTTTTTCTAGTGTCATCAAGGAAGAAAATCCTTAACCAGCACAGGCTGTTTTGTGTAAACAGATCTGTGGCACTGCAGTGTCCACATTATGAAATTCCATGGTTTCATCAGAAGCATTGCCCAGAATTTATGCCTTCCTGTAAGTACAATATTTTAGACTGTGATGGCTCAAGTTAGTAACATACATTTCTGTAACCAAGTCTTCAAATATCTATAGTACTGTAAATACAATATTTTTGTAGCACCCAATAATTTGTCCTGAGTGCAAAATGTCAGGTACTGTACAGGACTTCACAGTTGTGGAATTGCAAAAAAAAAACAGGACAGGATAAAGATGTACGGGCCACTTTTTCTTATTATTCACAAGAACTTATCAGTAATCTGACAAGTATGATATGCCTAATGTAACCAAATATCTTGATGGAAAATTCATTTTTTCTGGACCTTTTACCTACAGTATTTATTTATGGGTCTAAGCCTATGATAAATTTCCGTAGCATTTTCGTCTGTTTCTGTATGTCCGTAATTAGGCAAAATTTCTGTAGCAACTACCAAAGTTCCCTAGTACTTATGCTAATATTCTAATAGATATATTTGCTGTACAGTAGGTTAAAGGGAGCATTTAATTTGATGGTCACAGTGTGACCATAGGAATGATTCACTTGTTGGTGACTGCTGCTTTAGGCCTACTGAAGCAAAAAAAATATTCTTGTTGACAGACTACTCAACAAAAATCTTGAATATCTTTATTTTTTTTTTTAAATTGATGCAATCATAATTCACTAAACTAAGGAGTACAGCAGCCTACTTACATTAAGTTAACCAATGAAGACATTCATACAAGTGGCTCATTTTCAACCAAAGCATTTTCAGATGTTTTTAAGGTCCTTCCAAATTTCAATGTAAATTGCTCATGTTATCTTGTAATTTAATTACCTTTGGGTCAATCTGCATACAAAAAGACTGTATGTTATCCTACATTCTATTAGATTCGAATGGCCAAGCGGTTTAAGGCAGGAGCGCTGCAATCTACAGCTATAATATCGGTGCAGGTTCGAACAGTACACTTGTTTATGGTTGTGGAGGTGGAGCAAGACTTTTCGGATAAGGACTATAAATTATAGGCCTGTGTACACAATTGTCTCATGTGCACTTTAAAGAACTCAGTACATTTTTCAAGATGAGTAGGGGTTTACTCTGGTGTACTGGTCCATACAGCCCCTGTTGTGGACGGACAAGTGTAGCTGGCACCTACTTACTGGGTAGCTCAGACACGAAGTGGAGAAAAAAGTTACTATACTAGCTAGTCCAGACTTAGAGTGCTTTGTGACTCTGGTGTATACAAGTGCTATATAAATCCAACTATTATTATTATTATTTTTATTATTATTATTATTATTATTATTACAAATTGTACGAGCCTATGCCTGTTTTTGTAGCATACTGGCAATAATGTACAGTACAGTCCTGTAAGTGTTTGATTAAAATTTTTTTTTTTTCTTTCAGTAATAAATGAAAACCAAAGGCACCATACTATACAGGAGATAAAATATTTTCTAACAGAACTTTGTGGAGGTCCATCATATCTAAGAACTAATGTTCTGACGCCATACCATTACAACCTACGTAAGTTCTATTTTTAATGATAATTTCCTTTCATACACATTTTTTTTATACATATGGTATAATCTAATGTGACACAAAATAATTATGATGAGTACACATTAATTCTTGTGCTTGTTGCAATTACATCTACTCTGTGCTGTCTGTAGGTTATGTAGAAATGGCTGCTTAGTGAATGTCACAGTAGAATGTGCTATATGACTAAGGGCCTGTTTACACACAAAATAAAAAAAAAAAAATTAGATTACAATTTGTTTGCTATTCAGCTTAGTCATTCAATATAAAAAAGCACATTCCAGTGAATTTGATGCCAATTAATTTGATAATTAAATTACAATAAAAATTTTTAGCTTAAATGAAATATACCTTGGGGTGCACACAACTAGATATGGTACATCAAAACCTTAATGCTCATTCATTGTAATGGCATTGTTTTTCATTGAGTTCCAGATATGAATTGTAATAAATAATTGAAGTATATACTGTTACATGCATGAGAAAGTTTTAAAACAGATTGGAAACAGTCACATATCCTCACTGTATTTGTTCAACACTTTTATATCTCATTAATTGCTTTTTTGTTAGACTTTGAGTGTGTGCTTGACACAGATGGTAGAGTGTTACCCTGTGCTGACTATGGAAGTGTCCTGAATCAATGCAAGGACATGGCAATCGGAACATCTCATTCCTCTAAATGGGGTGTTAGTGTAAAGCAATTACCGCCAGGTGCTCAAAGGCAAGTTAATTTTAGAAACTTATGTTTTACAAAATGTTTTGATATCTAAGATTATATCATATGTCATGATGTACATTTTGTGGTCATTTTTGGTAATCTCATTTTGAACTGGCGATGACATTTATTTCTGTTTCTAATTTCAGTTAAAAGATAACTTGCAGTAAATAACTCAACACAAACAGTATATATTTAAACAGCTTTTCCCAAGCTTCATATACATTTGTATATACATTTCATGTTTTTCATTATACATTCCATATTTACTTTCATCCTGTAATAATAATGCCACTCCTATATAGCGCATTCCGCACGGAAAAACCTCAGTGTGCTTTACAGCTAAAACAGCAAGCAGTAAATAATTTTGATTTAAACTACTTAAGGCAAAACTTTTTTATACCTTGTTTCGCAAACTTATTTTTTTAAAGATTCGCAGAGGAGGGTGGGAAAAAAATAGTTTTCTGATTTAGCAAATAGTTTTGCCAAAAACATTCAGATGGAGGAGAAAATAAAAATAAAATTTTATTAGTGAATGTAAACAGTGTAGTAATAGAATGGTTAAAATCTTTTAAATTTATATAGTTAGGAAAAAATATACAGTACATATCTTATTTTTCGAGATATCAAGGCAGCATTTTTTCATGACGAAATCACCTTTATTGGCAGGTGGTGGGTTTGCTAAACAAGGTATAAAAAAAAGTGTCGCCTTTACTATACCTGCTGATGATGAAATTATTAATTAATTAATTGTGTGGTTGACACGTTTTATATCTCAACAGGGTTGCTATTGAATACTTGTTCCATAATCAATTTTGTTTGAAGTCACATCATTGTAAAGCTAGCTCCATTGCCAAGAGAAACAATCTAGAGATTATTGGCTACAAGGTTATACAGGTACAGTACATTTGTTTTTGGTGAATTGTAGTTAACCCAATTTACTACTGAAAATTATATGTAGTGTCTCAACTTGCAGTGCTTCTTTCTGGGCCTTGTTTCCTATATGCAATATGAATGCTATATCTATATCCAATTATTAGCCTCTCAATATCAAGAACATTATACCATCCTAAAAAGGAGAGAACAATGATTAAAGTTATAAACTGTATTTTGAGTGTGTCTGTCTATTGTAACATTAAGAATTTTTAGATTTCTTTATTCACTTGTAAGTACCCTTTGGCATCAAACAACAATAATGCCATTAATATGTTAATGCCAACGTTCATTATGGAAAGAATGCTTTTTTTTGTTGATGAAACCGCAACATGACAAGGCAACATCGACAGATGATTTCGATAGGACTCAGACTGCTGTAAAATATCAGCTGATGGTGTCACATCACAAAGCCTTTGCACAGAGTCACAATGGATTGGACAGTATGTCCGGCTAACTGTATTAACATGTATAGTTTTGATATTTGTAGATGAAAGTAATTAATTGATTTATTGTAACTGATTTTTTGTTTGTTATTGATTGATTACACAACAGATTCCATATTACGAGTGGAACTCAAAGGAATTGTTTGAGGCTGAGGACCGATTGAGCTATTTACAACAACTGCTGTTTTCCGACTGTAAACCAATGGTAAAAGGTCAGTTGGAGACCGAGTTGGAACATCAGCCTTATGAAGAGGACCAGTTAGATGGGCTGCATTCAGAACCAACTAAGAATGAAGTCACTGATAACCATGTTTTAAAGGTTCTTGGAAATATGGATAAATGGTCATGAAATATGCTCCATGTATTTTACAATACAGTTTTACAATTAGTATATACCTAATTTGACAATTACAACTACATTACAATTTTATTTCATTAAAATTTTACAAGAAGTGCTAAATTCCATAAAACCTGTGATTAAATTCCATGGTCACTGTTTCTTTGGTTTTTTTTTTTTTAGAGGGTTACTAATTGAGTACTGGGTCACTATTAGTAAGGATGCATTGGGAAATGATAACCAAGAAACAGGTGGCTGGATGATTTAAATATCCTTTAAGCTCCAAATGTCACATAAGATCTTTAACTTCATGGGTACCATAAGTTTTGATCGGTAGTGTCTAGGGTGTCATAACATCATATAGTTGTTTGTGATTGCGAAAACCTTTCCTCGTTGTCTGAATACTAGGACCTAGTTTGGTTTGAATCTACGTTGTACCAAAGAGTATTGAACTACAAGAAGTCTGACTCTCATGGTTTCGTTGGAATGTAATCTTATTTCAAAAAGTACTGCCACGAAGGAGCGTGTCCTTAAAAGACAATTTTCAAGCGAACTCTATTCAAATTTTAATAGTAGTAGTGGTAGTACTTCTTTTTAAAGTTTCATTTATTTATTCACCAAGAAACATGGTAAGGGACAGCTAAAGAAACAAGTCTATGACCCGGAGGCCAGCTGTCCCATTGCATGCATACAAAATCAGGGTAGTCGGACCTCTTGCAATTCTTTACTCTTGAAGGATATTCAAGGGTAAGTGAAACCATCTATCATACTGATGTGTTAAGCTAAAGAATTGTTTAGATTATTGTGTACATTACAAAGTTTTATAACCAGGCCCGCAGGCAGGATTTTTTCAATGGGGAGGTGCGTTTTGCGTGCGAAGCGAACCTTAGGCTGGAGGAGTCTACAGATAACAATTCATTGTTCATAATTGTCGTGGGTCATGGACGTCAAGAAATAAAACTTTGACTGTGTTTTAAACGTTCATTCAGAAAGTCAAATATCAAAACCAAAATATAAACAAAAATTAAAACCCTGCAATAATAACAATAATAGCAATGCTCTGATTTCGTTGGTAACGTGTCAGTCGTGTAGCATTCAGTACATATTCTCCACGCCAACAACCAGTAATCAGTTTCAGAAATTATTCGATTTGGACTTTCTTGTCCCTACCGTTCAATATTCCAGTGCATCTTACCTCGATCAAAGCAGGTGATCAACTCCTTCCCTTTATTCAGCTATTAGCCTAATCACAAAGATGCTATAACAATAAACACGTCCGCAAGGGGTGAAATAACAGAGGAATGAATCCTTACACGAAGTAAAGTAGTGCACAATATAAACACATACAAAAATTTAGTAAATTCCAACTTTCCCACATGAATGCCTTTCAACCTTGTAAGCGAAGGCTGTCCTACTTAAAGTGTGGACAAATGGTGTAAATTAGTGTGAAGACCAATACAGAATTATTAATTGTTGTAACTTGAGATCCAATATCCCTTTTCAGATGTCCCTTGGCGTTTCCCTGCTGGTGAAGGTGACTTATTAGTTTTCCATTTACTAACGTCTCATTTGCTTCTTTTGCACAACTGAGCCGCATGTGACCATATTCACCACAGTTGTAACAAAACCTCAGAAGATCTGAGCTTTGCATGGTATGCCCCTTTCTTTATTTGGAGGTGGCTGACTTTTCTTTGTTGATTTATGTGAGCGTTATCTAATGTAGAATGTTTTAACATCTTTTCAATTTTGCTCATTTGTTCTGCTAGATCATTGTTGCTGACAGTATATCCTGCTGCAACTGAATTTTGGCTTTGACCCTTAGCTTTTTGTTGTTTATTTAACGTTTCTTCCTCCCATCATCTGACTTTATCTAGTAGAGTCAGGTAGGTTGGTGGCGTTTATTGAAGTTCTCTCAAACGGAGGACGACCAGCAGCAGTGGCTCATAGATAATTCCTTGAATAAACTGTTATAGTATTACAGTATTCATCCTATCTTCAGGAATACCACTCTTCTGCAAAAAATGTCTCAGGGCTCCCTGTAGACGAGTTAGGTAGTGAGAAGGTGTCTCCTGTACTTTTTGTTCAATGGCAAAGAATTGATGGAATAATTTTTCGCCTGTGAGTGTAGACCTATACTTTACCTCACAGACATGGAGATACTCTTTTGCTGTAGCTGATGAATTTTCTCTCCGAAGGTCGTCGATCACTTCTAGGGTAGGAGAGCGCAGTGCCTCCCGTAGTCTTCGCTTTTTGGGCTTGCGACACCTCTATTACAGCTTCTTCAATCAGTGCTTTTGCTTGTGTTTTCCATACATGATAGGGATCCTTGTCCTTTCCGTGCTTGGTACTGCCCGAAAATACCATTAACTTTCTATAATTTATGGATAAACGTGCCACATCTAGAAGCTCCTTCTGAGCTGATGCATGAGTTTGATTGGATATAGCTGTGGATGTAGATGGCCCTGGTTGAAAATTGTCTGTGATTAGAATAGGGTTGAATTCAATAATGTTGTTACTTTCTTAGACTTCATTGGTTTCAAGAATTGTTAAATCAATTGACTTAATGTACAGTAAAGAACAAAAGTTTTCTGCAAATCATCGACCTCGTTCCTTCTCTTGACTTCTTCTACTGGCAAAGCAGCACACAACTTTATAAACAGCCTAGAATTAGCCACTTTTGTTCTTGCTGCTGATACCTTACTCTATTGGTCCAATCAGCTGCATACTCTACAAATTTTTACATCTTCGCTCTCACTAAAACTATTGATAAAACTCTTAAATAAGAATGTAAAAGAAAGAACTGTTTAATTAATTATACAAAGCGAGCTTCCCGGATGACCCTCAATTTGTAACCTGAGTTTCCTTGAAAACCAAATATTCCAGGACAATTACAAATAAATAATAATCCAGGAAAATGCCTATATAATAAGTATGTATTTTAATTACAGAAAAGATGAATTTGTGAGGCTTTATTTTAAAACATAAATACAATCATAGCATCAAAATTATGCTATGCAACTTCTTGATCGCAGAATTGTTCTTGATTGTCCAAGTGTTTTATGTAATTGGTGATTATATGTCAAATCCAAAATTATCGCTAACTGTATAATGTCCAAAATTTTATAAGCTTTTCGTTTATAAAAGAGCCAAGTTTCAATTGATGTAAAGGTTAATAAAATGAATGAAACTTATATTTCTTCCCCTTGAGTTTTAGTCCAAATTGACTGAAGTGGCTCAGCACCTTCTTTTCTCTTTAAATACTCCTCTACTGCGGCTGAAAATATAAGTATGTCACAGTATAGCAGTAGATTGACCATATTCCATATCCGAAAATACAAAGATCATCACTCTTTGCATAGTACTAGCAGCATTTCTCAGACCTTGTGGTATACGCAAATACTCATATAGACCCCACGGGACTCTAAACGCGGAATTCTCTATCGAGTCTTCTAGTTTGATCTGATGGTATCCATTATCGAGAGCTAGGGCTGAGAAAAACTTAGCTTCTCCCAGTAGGTCCAACACTTCTTCGATCTTAGGTAGAGGGAAAAAATCCTTTATAGAGATAGAGTTTAGTTTTCTTTAATCTATTACCAGTCTCAATGATCCATCTTTCTTGGTTACCAAGACGACCGGACTAGCATACTGTAAATCCTCAAGTTAAAGCCCTGTGCTGCTTTTTTTTGCGAAGTTTGGATCAGAATCTTTTCGAGATGAGCTTCTTTTTTTGAGGCCACATTTGCAAAGTAAAAGAGGGGAGATTCCTAATCATTTAAAAATAAATGCTGTAAATTTTGGGAATTAGTACTACAAACAATAAATAAGGCCACTGTAATATCAATGTGTATCATGGAGTGTATTAACCGGCATTAAATCACCTAAACTACTATATAAATCAAGCATGTTTTTATTTTGTTTATTTCAAATTAATGTAAAGTGTGCTGTACTATTTCAAAAAGCCTATGCTATCTTGAAATAAGCCCATGGGCATCTTTCCGAGATGTGCTTCTTTTCGAGGCTAATTTTGCAAACTGAAGAGGTGGACCTTAATTTGAGATGGGCTTTTCGAGATTAAGCCCATTGGGCTTCAATTTGAGGTTTTACGGTATGGGTTCTTTGATGGGCGTATAATAAATATAAATAAATAAGTATAATAAATGGGCAGTACTTGCTCCACTTCTTGATGTGCATCACCTGGAACCTTCAGCACTTCATTAACACAGACTTCTAGTTTAGAACCTTCCTCTTCTTTCAGCACCATTCCGATTAGTCGATCCATAGTTGTTACGGAACCACTCTGCAATTTAATGGATTGCTTTTTTCTGGATTTGCAACAATAATTCGGACTCTACCTTTCATAACAGTGTCCCAACCTTCTACCACTTTGAAGATGCTTTTAACTGGTACTGGACTTACAATGACATCACCGCTCAGCCTACACTACAAGTGACGCGTCTTACACTGTGTCCAGGTAGGGTAACATTGTCTGTAACTTTCAGTTCAGCGACTTCGGATGCGACGCTGGTTCTGGGCCACATGGTCGAAATCCAGATTGTGAATGCCAGATTGCTGACACTACTGTGCTGAGTGCCAGTTTGCTGACTCAAAAGCAGAGAATCCCAGTTTGCCGAAAGTCAGTTAAAAGCAGTGAAACATTAACAGCAGCATAAAATTCACGATGGAATACTCTCTTACTCTTACCATGGACCTATTTAATACTAATAGGTCCATGTTACTATGACTGCATCTGTACAAAGTGGTGATGCTATTTCTTTGTTTATATATATATATATATTTATATATGTATATGTTACACACATAGTTTGTGTAATTTAATTTAACTTGTAACGATTTTTATTCTGTAATTATTATAACAATAAATAAAGATGTTACCAGTTGTGTGGTCAAACATAGAGTATCAATTTACTTATCTTGACCCAGATTGTCCACCCAGGGCCTATTCCATTTTTATTTTAATGTGGGTAACTTCTTGGGATAATTATTCTAGGGTGTTACACCCTCCCCCACTAAATTAAACGCTGGTATCCGTTTAAAGAAAACGCTCATGGTGCCCCTCCATAAGAAGTCAAAAATATGACAGACTAAAGAACAATGAGACAACATAGTCAACAAATTCTTCATTACAGTCGGAGACACTGTCTGGAATTTCTGGTACTGGTGTTTCATTTGGTAGTGGACGAACTGCTTCACACGGCAAGAAATCACATGGGCACAAGAGGTTACGATGTAAGGTACGAGGCCGACCTTTACCATTCTCAGGGCAAAAAGTATAAACTGGCATTCCAGCACCCTTCCGGTTTTCCACTATGTAGATTTCATTTTCATAGTAGGACTGAAATTAACCTGGTCATCCAGGATGAACACAATTCGTGACCAAGACTCTATCACTGTGTAACAGACCTTGCGGTTATAAGGCAGACCTTCTCAGTCAGTTGTTTTCTTGCTGCTAAGGCATAAGCTTCACTCATCGCAGATTTCCAGTTTGCCACATAGAGTGGCTCAAAACTTCACCCATTACCTTTGCTGGATTGAGACCAAATGTCGATAGGAAGCCGAGGTGCTCTGCCATAAATCAAATAAAATGGAGAATATCCGGTCGCGTTAAGCTTCTTGCAGTTATATGCATGATCGATTCTGTCAAGTCACTTCCTCCAGTTGTTCTTTTGGTCCTCTGGTAAAGTTTTCAGCATGTTCAAAAGATTTCTGTTAAATCTTTTCACCTGGCCATTTCCCTGAGGGTGATATGGAGTGATACGTGTAGACTGAATACCATATAGTTGTTGTAACTGCTGAAATAATTGGTTCTTGAATTCTCGACATTGGTCATGGTGAATGCGATGCGGAAATCTATAATTTAAAATTAAATCGTTGGCAACAGATTTAGTACTTTTATCTTTAGTTGGTCATGGTGAATGTGATGCGGAAATCCATAATTTAAAATTAAATCGTCGGCAACAGATTTAGCACTTTTATCTTTAGTTGGGTACGCCTTCGCCAGTCTGGTGAAATGGTCAACCACAAGGATGTATTCGAATCCTCCCTTGCTCCTTTCCAGATGAAGAAAGTCGATAGAAACTAACTCCAGAGGAGAAGTCGTTGAAAAAGACACTAAGGGAGCTCAGGTTGGTTGAACTGGTGGTTTTTGTTTGATGCATTGGCATAATTTGGTAATATAGTGTCGTATATCCATTTCCATATGTGGCTAGTAGAACCTTTCTAGGGCCAAGTCCAAAACTCTATCTGTATCCAGATGACCCATGTTCTCATTTAACTCTTTAAAGATACTGGTCTTAAACTTTGTGGGAAGAATCAGTTGAAAACTGTGTTTCGTCTTCTGCCACAGCACACCGTCGTGGTCGCCAAATGTTACGTAGTTTGTGTAATTTAATTTAACTTGTAACGATTTCTATTCTGTGAACAATAAATAAATATGTTACCAGTTGTGTGGTCAAACATTGAGTATCAATTTATGTAGCACTCATTACTTGTTCTGGACTTGTTAACTTCACAGCCGCCATCGCATCATCCCACCGCTGCCACCAGTTTGTCGTGGGTCATGGACGTCAAGAAATAAAGCTTAGACTGTGTGTGAGTTTTAGACGTTTATTCAGCAAACGTTAAAGTCAGACATCAAAACCAAAATATAGACAAAAATGAAAACCCCTGCAATGCTCTGATTTCATTGGTAACGTGTCAATTGTGTGGTGTTCAGTATATTCTCTATGCAGACAACCAGTAATCAGTTTCAGAAATTATTTGATTTGGATCGCAAAATTCTAAGAGTTTCTTGTCCCTAACATTCAATACTTTACTGAATCTTAAAGTGGGCGATCAACTCCTTCCCGTTTGTCTTAGTTTATTAAGCTATTAATTAGCCTAATCATCAAGACGCTATAAAAATAAACACATCTGCAAGGGTGAAACAACGGGGAGACGAATCCTTACACAAAATAAAGTCACAATATAAACACAAAAAAGTGTAGTAAATAAAAATTCTGTAATGTATTATGTCCTTTACATCTGCAGGCCTATAGATAAAATTTGTTTATGTGGATGAATCTGTAATCACCAGATGCTGATCAATTTCCAACACATTTCATACCATGGTTATTAAAATAAATGGTTATAAGAGCTGTTAAATATAAAATGCAATGCATACTATAGCAATAATGAGGAACACTTTTGTGAAACAATAGGTATAAAAGTTGACCTTTCAGAACTTGGGGGAGGGTGCATGCGCACCCTCTGCACCACCAGATGCATAAATGTTTCTGTATTCTTTGCAATAATTCTCAAATTGGTTGGTAGTTAAAATTGGAATTTTGTAATAAAAACTGTAAATCAGCCAAGTTAATTAATTTTAGCATGCTTGATAGTTTTAAATTATTAAATTAGTGTTTAATATTGCCAACATTTTGCCTAAAACAGTGTTCCCCAATGATATTCCACTTTTTGACAGGCCCTATAAAACAGTTATAACAATAAAGAGGTGGACCTTTTGAAATTTGGTTTGGGGAGGGGGTGCATTCTCACCCTCAGCCCCTAGTTTTGACCCCCGGCAAGTCATGTCGGACCCCAATCAACAAATTTCTGGAGCCACCACTGTATGGTGGTACATGTAATCTCAATTGCAGTGTTAGGATTTACAGCCATATCCTCAGGGAAGCAATAAATATAATTTGAAGTATTGTAGTGCAAGGACTATACATTTGAGTAGTGATTTAAGAAAACAAATCTAAATATAATTACAGTATTACTTTTATAAAGGATATTGCAATAAAATCTATCCAAAAATATTGTGTTCTTGTATCATTTCATCTCTCATGTCAGGCTTGATGTTAGAAATGTTTGTAAACAATAGATGAGAAAAACATTTGAGGACAAATATGAATGATTTCATTCACAGTAATCTTTGCACAAATAAATTATTTATTAGTTATTCCCATGTGTACATTGGACTATCCAAAAATTGGGCCTTTGGATAAGGGTCAGACTGAGATTCCTACCGCTCCAGTAACAAAATGAGGGGTGCTGGGAGCCAGGGCAATGGTTGCTTTTCAACACTATGGAGTATAAGAAACTATCCAATATGATTTCCAAGCACTTAAGATGCATATATTATGAGGATGCTGTTTATGTTTATTTTTTTTTTTGAAGCCCAGTTATCTCCATTATCTATATTTTTTCTTTAAAAAACAGCACCATAACCTAGAGGAACATCGACCACTAATGACCTCCGCCAAGGAGGTTATGTATTCACTGCTGTCTGTTAGTAAGATTATGCAAAAACTAATGAATCGATCATCATAAATATAATATAATAATCGAAGAAAGACACCATTTAAAAAAGTATAATACATACTCCAAGTATTGAAATGCACGCCATCGTGTTTGGATTCAATATTTCGACATTATGTCATCATCTAAATACGACGACAATTCCATTATTTTCTTGAGGGTGTTCTGCAGCACTAAAGAAAATAATGTGCCTGAATGCGACTGGCAATTCCATTATTTCATTGAGGGTACGCCGCAGTTTTGCCCATTATACACTGCCTGCATATTGTTGGTACTGTATTCAGGCAGAGGTATGCTCTAGTTTGACATGTGATGACAGTAAACACTCAATTTCACACCACCGCCTTCCAAAATATTAATATTTTTCCTCTTCTAGTGTTAAAATAGATATGGCAATATTTGTTCATACTGTATTCAGTAGGTTCAAGATAACTCATGTTTTGCAAAACAAAGCATTAGACTGAATTAATCATCAAATGCTATTGGACATTCCAACCAAAACTAACTAGAGCAGTCTTGTTTTTAACACAGCAACATCTAATTCAAGAAAATATTTTGAAAACTCAAACTTGCTTTGTGTATATTTTTACAGTTAACTGTACCGGTATCTAAAATCATTTTACTACAGTATATGAAGCAATTAAAATGAATCTCTTATTTTGGAAAATTTGTGTACTGTACTATACAGTATTCCTATAGTGGAATTCATCGTCCATACTGTCAGCATACGAATTGGTTCTATTTGGGCATGCATACACACTAACCCTGTGTAAAGCATAGTCATATCTCGTATCAAACTCGTATAACTGAATTTACATTCAAATGCCGCTAAAAATGCAATCCAATCACTCGGCTATATTTTGTAGCATTGATTTCCTCCAAAGATATCAGGCCTGTTATTGTATTTGTACCCATCAGCTAAGGTTTTGGCAACTACTTCGGTCTACTGTTAGTATAACTATGAATTACAAGAATCAGAATGTCCGTGTTCCCTTCGCTCTGCCACTAATTCACCAAGACCAGAAAATTAAAAAAAAACAGTCGCAATAAATTTAATTTTAATAAGTATTTATTGGTTATCAACACTCTTATATAGAACTGTTTGCATTGTGGATAAGAGTCAATTGTTGTCCCAGGAGATACTATGACTAACCACAATTAACAGAAAAAAACCAAACCAAACTTGTAACACACAGGACTGATGATTTGGTCTAGGGGGGCATATGTCTACTACTCAAGACTTGATATTTCTATATAAGAGATAATGTGAATAGCAAGTAGTAAAGTTACCCTGAAGGTCAGTTTAGCCTCAATGGAAATTATAGATTACAACTGGCAGTTTTAATATATATTTGGTGACAAAGTGTAGATTTTATAATAAAATTTCTTTTAAGACAGAACAAGATATTATTTTAATTCAATTTTTTCGGTAAATCTCTAGTTATCTGCATTTCAAACTGACGTTCTTTGGTGAACACAGCTCTAATCAAAATTGCCTTAACACTCTCTGGTAGATTCAAACTGTTCATATGCACAAATTACATCGCAAATAGGATGAGGAAAGCCACCATCAAACAGAAAAGACCCATAGCCTCAGACAAGGCAAATCCCAGGATAGCATACGAGAAAAGCTGTTGTTTTAATGATGGGTTTCGTGCATAACCGATAATTAGACTACCGAAGACTGTGCCAATACCAGCACCTGATCCGGCCATTCCTACGGTGGCAGCTCCTGCACCAATGAATTTGGCAGCTGCTTCTACATCCTGTTGAACAGCTGAGGTTTGAAATCCACGGCTTAAGACCTGCAAAATATGTTAAGAGAATATGTAAGGAAATTTAGTTGTCATTTGGTATGTTATCATCTGGAAGGAAAATGAGCAAGGCATGGTCAAGGAAAATGTAGTTAATGGGAATACTTGCTTAGAATATGGTGTGGTAATGGATATCCTTAAGAAACAGCAAATACACTACATTATCAAGCACAATATCAGACAATATACCACATATCATTTTTAAAATAAAGTATTCTTAAGGAAACATAAAATAAAAGAAAAATTATATACCTGATTATTTGATTTGGTTAGGAGAGCGGTAAAACCAGCGAGTCTACTGGATGGAGTTAGAAGAGCAGTAAAACCGTCAAGTCCATTTGATGTGGCTAGAGAACGTCTGCAACAAAATGATTCATGCATTAAAGTACACAATAATGGTAGTATAAAAAAGCATTTCATGAACTAACATTTAAAAAAAAATATAAAATCAAATAAAATAAAAATACATACACCTTAAAAATTACTAAATTAAAGAAATATTTTCAGTCTTGCATGGTGCAAGCTTCCATTAGAAAAAAAAAAGCAAGACTGAGAATATTAGTTTCCTTGCAAAACACGTGTTAAACTCGTTGAATACAAAGTGGCTGTGATAACTTTATTTTTACTCTGTTGCTGTCACAGTGCAATGTTGATTCAATATAATTATGAATGTTTTTGTAATCCATGTGAATAATATTGGACAAATTTAGAATTGCAATATATACTGAAAACAAATTTGGACCCTAAATTAATTAGCATGAGAAAATAATCATCTGAAAATACAGTTACAAAATGCAATAAAGTACCTGTTTACTTGTTCTTGAACATTTGTAGAGCTTACTGAACTAGCAGCTGGCCTTATAAGTCTTGAACTTCTGGCTACCTGTATAATTCAGAAACACATGGTTTATAGATATACAGTATGGAGGCATACCGTAAAACTTCTAATAACCCTGTGTAACTATTATTTTTTCAGTTTAGGTTACTAATAGAGTAGTGGGTTAATATTACTAAGCTAAATGTAGGCACTTTAATGTAGTAAAACCCCACCCACCCTCAGCTTTCTGCATCAGCAATTTATAGAAATAACTACAGTACAACTCAAAAAATTTGTGATCTTTCTTTTAACCGAAGCACTTTTGTATGACAAAATTCCATCTGTGTGTACAAAGAAAACCATGTTGAGGCATTGTTAGTTGAACCACAGATCCTATATGGGTTGAACATACCCAACAGAATTGTCAAGAATACTTGCTGTTTTTTAAAACTCTCAGATACTTTTTTATAAAACTGGAAGTAATGGGAAAAAGTCTGGGAATAAGAACTTGTGTTTCCTGGTCGTTTTGTAGCTACATGTCACAGAAGGAAGGAAAAATAATAATTGTAAATACTGCACAAAAAACTGGTAGTGGTATGAGCTGGATTAGCGAAAGTTTTGAAAAACAATGCAAAGAAATATATAGGCTTGAGTCAAAAGTTATGGAATACAGTAGTCATCAGGATATGTGCAGTTTCATTTGCTCTGTTTTATAGTACATGTGGTTTAATCATGATAAAAAGTGGAACCTATTTCTTAATGCCCACAAAACCAAATTTTGTAGTAAAACTAAAAGCAAAAATCATTTTTCCTTTATTAATATTAGCAAAATACTCTAAATCAAACCCTCTAATACTAAACATTTTTAGATTAGATGTTATTCAGGTTGGTCCTTTTGTAAGGATGTTATTTATCTTCGGCTTATTTGCTCTCTTGCAAATGGCCTACATAGGCCAGGCACAGTCTAGGCCTAGTCCGGTGGTGACGGAGGCTGTAGGCCTAGGCTAGTTTGTGATCCAAAAATGAATGCCATATTTAGCTAGACCGCACCGTAGCTAGTGCTAAAATAAATTAAAACAATCATGAAACTACGTTTACAGTACTACATATTGTAATAATACTTACAATGGCCTGTGCTGATGGATTGCAAAGTCTTGCACAATACATGGTGAAATTTAAGGTGTATTTTACACGATTAACCTGCAAAAATGCGAAACAAAAATGGCGAATGCCGGTTTATCATGCCTATCGAAATTCATCCAAAAAATATGCAAGTAACTAAATATTGATTAAAAAATGAAAAGGAATAGATGAAAAAACAAACATTTTAAAGGTTTCATATCATTTTAATCGCCGATGGCTCAAATTTAACGGATGAATATAAAGATTTTCTTACCTATACAAAGTAATCTCAAAAATGATCACCGGTTGCCTGACCAAGGAGTAGTTGCCAACTGCGCGTGCGCACAGTCTTTACAATAATTTTTACATATTTTTAACCGTTCAAAATGAAACCTAAAATAGCGCATTTATTACCAAACATGTATATTAAAATAAATTTCAAAATTAAATATTATATAAGCACAATATAATTAAAAGTAAAAAATATTAATTAACTTAAATATTACTCCAAATTTTGAATTGATTTTTTTGCATAATTGACCAGGTCCGCTGGTGCCCTAGAAATTTTGAGTACTGCTCAATACTCAATTCTCTTAGCTTATTGAATAAATAATGACCGTTATTACACTGAAAATCCATGGTAATATTAATCTAATAGTATTCACCCCTAACATATATTAAATTGGAGAACATGGTAAAGAAACCTAAATTAATATTATATCACGTGATAATTGGAAGAATTTTGCTAGGACGATGCACTGAATTTGGGTACTCAAATCCAGGTATAAATTTCGCCTCTATGTTTTCAGACGCTCTCGCTCGTCTAAACTTTCCTAAACGCGTTTGCTAAACCAAACGATGCTAAGTAAAAACTTAAAATGATAATTTAACAAAACAATGATTAAAAAAATACGAGGTGATGAAAATATTGAAGAACTTAAGTGGCACAAAATATAAAAGGGCATTGTTTAATTTGTGTTCATGGCTCAGCTTCCGATTGTATAGTCAATTATGAACTGTTGTGTGATACATTCCTCTACCCAAGTTCAAAACTAATTTGAGCAATTTTACAAATTATTACTCTGAGCCTCTTATCTAATTTTTAACTGATATTTCTTATTGTTTTTTTGTTTGCAGAATTTATGGATTTGTTTTTAAACACTTAGGCCTAATCAATACCATTATCATTATAGTTAACTATATCTATGTGATATAGTTATCTATGTCATAATAGTTATTTAAAATCAATTCAATTCAATTTCATTTTATTGCAAACATCATTATATAAGGCTAAGTAAAAAAAAAAATAGTTTCTCATTCTAATATTTTGAACAAAGAAGAATGAGGGCACTTTTTTTAATTTTTTTTTATTGCAAGTTGGCAAATTGAAGATGGTCCAATGGGAAATAGTACTACTTCCTCACTTTTACCAACTAGACACATTGAAAGCAAATAAAAGAAGCACTAGACACGATTCATACCATGCATCCCCAACCACGGATAATCGAGAGAGGAATTTTACTAATGCAAGCTAGCCAGATTTTCATACATTTTGTAAAATAAAGGATATTAAAAAAAAAAAAATTGGTAAAGGCAGAGAAATTGGATGCGCGAGGGGATGAGAAACTAGTGATTTTTTTTATTTGGCCTAATATAAAATGATAAATATAAAAAAATGCACATACATTAAATAGTGATTACATAAAAAAATGAAAAACATTATATAAAAAAATTCCAATTTAGAATTAAAAAAATTATTATATAAAAAAGAGACAATCTATCATAATTTTCATTACATTGTTATTGTCATAATATCATTCAAGATTCAAGATTCAAGAAATTTTATTTGTCTTCATAATACATACAAAGAAATTTTGGCTGTGCAGCATTTTAAAAATTACAATAATTAAAAAGAAACGTATACGAACACACAGTAACAATAAAAAATACAACAAGGCAACATACCAAAAAACTGGTCTAAAACAATAAATTTTTAAAAAGTTAAAAAGTTAAAAAATTTTAAAATTGATTAAAAAGTAAAACTTCGATTTATCTTTTAACACCGACATTAAAAATATGGATGGAATTTGGGACAAATGAGTTTCTGTAGCGACAACGCAGTGTACGAGGAGGGCAAAGTCTTATACCTGATCTATTAAAACTATAGCAACTGTGAAGGGGGGTGTGTAGGGTCTTTCATTATCATTTTCATATTATTATAATTAATGTGACTTTATCATTGTATTGTATTTTTTATGTTTCATTGTTTGAGCAGATATTGATGGCACTTGCAGCAATAAAGAAATTGAATTTATTTAATTATAAAATTCATTAACATTATATTATTATTATACTTATTAATTTATTTATCATTCTCATTATCATTTTTATAACATAAAATGAACATGTAAATACAAATAATGAGAAAAAGGCATGATGATTCCATGGTTTGACCCATTATTGAGACCAGGATCATTGTCATTTAAATTTTCATTTTACAAGGACCTCACCACATGAATATCGTTTGAAACGCATTAATGGTCTCTCAACGCACATGACGCTACCGCACTAATACAATTCTGGAATTTGAGCACCAGGATTCAGTAAGATAATAATAGAAGGATTATTTATTGTGGAGGAAGAGAACAAAAAAAGTCTCGGGAGTCCGCCTTGGTCGCTTGATGATAGGAACGGATAAGTCGAGATGCAAATATTATGGCTTTCTTTTTTGTAAATGTCTGCAGATTTTCAGGATGTAACTTAACATTTTCATCTGTTAATCGACTGATTGAACATATCGAGGATGCACACATTGGTAAATATATGGAGAGATACAGTGTTTTCATTGTGTGTTGTTGTGTATGGCCAGCACTGCAGACAGCGAGAGCGAGAGAGAGATAATCAACACTGCACCTGGTGTGCATCAGGCTAGGCCTAGGCCTATAAAGTATTTGTGATGAGTAGATGAGTCCTGTTGTATGCCATAGTAGATATGAAGATGATTGAGTGGATGTCAGTTGACCCTCTGCATGAGTGATTGATTGACATAAATTTTGCCTAGGCCAGAGAGGTCCTAGGCTAGCTAGCCTAGTGTGTGGTGAAGTAACAGTAACACCATAAATTAAAAATGCACACTTTTTTAAACTATGGCCCTGGGCCTAGCCTAGGCTAGGCCTAGAGGAGGCCTGTCAGGAAAAATTAGGTCTGGGGCCAAAATCGGTCCGCCAGAACGATTGTGGCTTTAAAATTACCTGCCAAATGTATTTCATGAGCCAAAATCGGTCCGGCACCTAGGCCTATTATAGTAATAAAGTAACCTGTATTTTTTGGGTGCAGGTCAACTCAGCCCTTAACCAACTCGGACCATACCGACTCGGCCCATCACCAACTCGGCCCATGAACAAACTCGGCCCTTGCCGACTCGGCCCTTAACCTACTCGGCCCATAACCGACTCGGCCCATAACCGACTCAGCCCTTGCCAACTCGGCCATTAACCTGCTCGGCCCATAATAACCGACTGGTGGACTAGGCTAGCCTAGGCCTAGGTTCTAGTAAAGTAATACTATTACTGGGGCCTGCCCTAACTCTGTATTATTGTTTGTTCCATATTACATATTTTGTGTTGAACCTTAAGCCTATGTCCTTTTTCTTTTTTATATAATGTTATATCGAAAATAACGGTCATATCGAATATATATTAAAAAAAGGGACATAAGGTTCAACTACAACTACGGGTGCATTCTGAAAGTGGGTCGCTACCTAAAAAAAGGTTGAGAAGCAAGTTTCTACAGTACCGTAATTCCTGAATCAGTTTAGGCTGTGCCCAGGCTGTGCCTACATTTTATTATTCATTGTCAATTGTGTGTTTTGTTGTCACAGTGTACTTTCTTGTATTCTTTTTTTTTTAAAACTTTGGCACTATATATGTATATATGCTTTTTTTTCGTCATCTGCATGCAAAGCAATAAAATTTTCTATATTTTTCTATGGACAAATATAATTTCCTGAATCTTTAATGATGAATCTTTTGTATCAAAATATCCTCATTCATTACATCGAAAGCCTTTGATAGGTCCGTAATAACACTGACATGATGATAGGATCATCTTTAACGATCTCAAAGATGGCATGCGAGATGGGGTGTTTTGAAGAATTCCGTTTTAACAAAACATTTATTAGTACTATACTACGCCTACTGTATGTGGATAATATTACCACAAAAAATTTCCAATGACACTTTATAGGATAACTTTTTAATAAATTGTGTGTATGTTTATACTGTAATAAGTTATTGCAAAACAGTTTGATAAGATTTGCTAAGATTTTCTTGCTCATGTTAATTTATATCAGAAATTTTCACACAAGGATCATCTGCCTTTCATGACAGTAGGCCTACTACAGTATATAGATAGGAAAAATGAATCAGTTCAGTATATTGAAACATTTATTTCCCAAGATTTGTATTTCTCTATACATAGTTTATTTCGTTTGGCAGTAGCCTGTTGCAGTGTTCAGCTATTTAAAAATAATATTTAAGGTATCCATATATGCTATGCTTAGCAAGTAAATTTTTCATGGATATAACACTTTTCGACGTTGTATGCACAGTTGGTTTGGAACTAGAGCCATCTAAAATATTTAAACAACACTCTTCACATTTCAGCATTTTTGTACCTCCTGAAATTAAATAAAAATAAATTTAAAAACAGTATTCCAAGGCTACAGTAATTACATTAAAATGTAAAACCCGTAACTTAGCATTTCATTTCATGAGGCTGTTACATCCAACTGGAGAGGGCAGCAGACACCATTTCTGGAACATCAGACAGTAGTTCCAGCCGTTCGATAATGGTAGTGGGACGAGTTGGCAAGGCCGAGTTGGTGTATGGGCCAAGTTTGGCAAGGGCCGAGTTAGTATATGGGCCGAGTTGGTTATAGGCTGCCTTAGTTAAGGGCCGAGTTGAGAAGGGCTGAATTGGTATATGGGCCGAATTGGTATATGGGCCGAGTCGGTTATGGGCCAAGTTGGTTAAGGACCGAGTTGGTATGGTTTGAGTCGGATAAGAGCCGAGTTGACTGAAAACCTATTTTTTTAGCGTTGTTCATATTTGTTTTTAATCAAATGATAGATTAATATCTCATCTCTATATAATATTTTTTCATTCGTTGTGTCACGTGTGAAATTGAGTATACTGTACAACCACAAAAATTAGTATGTTATTTTCGCTCTTTGTGCCCAATAAACTCTTTTGTGTAAAAAAAAAGTTAGAAAAGAAGTTAACGATATGATCGTAAATCGTGTTGGTCCGCTTTAGTTTATTTTTTACCTTGCTTTGTTTTGGTTGTGTGCTTGCTAACGCCGTGATGAAAGACATGAGAATCATTTCAAAGAAATTATTGACCCCTTTATTTTCATGTAATAGAACAATTACTGTATTTTATGACCTAATAACCCACACAATAATATGAAATATGTAAAACTAATAAATCAGTCTTGTGTTTCATTTTAGGCCCAAACCTAGGCCAAGCATGGCTGCAGTGCTGAAAATGATGCGTGCTGTGTGTCGCCTAGGAAATGCATTATCATGTGTGTTTGATAAAACATGTCCACAAAAGTTTAATACGAATCATTCTGTTACTGCAAAAGATTTTTCAAGTGTGGGAGAAGCATAAATTACTTCCCTCCGCTCCATTGGAGAAACAATCTTACCCTACGTGCAGCAGACACTTTACAAGTGGCTAGGCTGACAGACCAATTTTATCCAAGTGGGACCGAACCAACCCAGTGGACCGATTTTAGCGGCCAAAATCTGTCCGCCGGACCTTTCTTGGCCCAGACCAATTTTGGCGTGACAGGCCTAGGCTAGGTTAGCATTCTCGGATGCAACGGTAGGCTGGTTTCAGATCGTGGGGGGAGGGGTTCGAAAAATGGGAATGTGGAATCATACCAGAATGCGAAACAACAGGGTATTAATCAATTTTGCTCTGTGCTTTAACTCTTTATTATTTTGCATGTGTTAATGAATTTTTATGATAATATTAGAGTAACATATTACCATCTACTGGATTAGAACTTCTGGGTCAATAGTGTTTTAATTGTTGAAAGTGAAAATGGTGAATGGAATTCTAAAATTAAAAAGGCTCCAAAACCTTCATGTTCATACACTCTATGGTAATCCTTGGTGGTCACCAGGACCATGGGCCTTTCTGGAGTGTCAATGGCCGTATTCGACTGGTCCTTCTTCGTTAAACCCCGCCCACCTGCGCAGTGGTATAATCTTACTTAAAGAAAATGACCGGTTGAAAAAAATACTGGTAAATACTCAAAAAAAAAAAAAAATGGCTGCATAGTTACTGCGATACACGCTGTGTAATCAAAGCTGCTTCGGATTTTGACAGTATGGGTTTTTCGTAAAAAAAAATGTTTCATCCAGTTTTTGAATTCTGTTAGCCTACAGTTATTTTTTGACTTCAATGTGGGTAAATATTATGATTTTTATTTTCTGAAATATAATCTAAATTATATTAAGGCAAATGTTGTTGCTAAACTGACCAATCGGCCATATTTCTTTGGTCACATGCATAGCTCAATGCTGATTAACGCATTCTGGTACGTTAATTTTCGTTGTCAACGAAGTCTATTTTACGAACCAGTCGAATGAAAATAATACTCAACGAAAATTCGTACTCAACGAAATAAACCAGTTGAATAAGCCCAATGAAACTTAACCACTGACCAATCAAAACAGGGCTAAGATTATGTGCATCTCATAAGCATGTTGTCCCACAAATGTACATCTTTGCGTATGTTGTTGTACTATTGTTTTGTGGGACTTCTTTTGTGGGGCTTAGATGAAATTGTTCATTTTCAGGCTCTTGAGAACTATATTGATTGTATACTTAGAATGAAATACCCTTGCATACTGTACAGTAGGTGTATACAAATATCAGTAACTTGAGACTACATAATTATTGGTACAAGTGTAGCATTTAGAATGCTTTTTCAGTGATATCCAAAATGGACAATTTGCTGCTGAAACAAAATTAAGTGACTAAACTGAAAATGTTGTAACAAAAAAAACCAAGGTTTATTTAAGATGTTCTGACCAATGATGCAGGAAATTGCAAAATTTGTAAAAATAGTTTTACCATCAAAGATGTTGCACATTTGTTTTAAATTTATGCCCAGTCATAAACGATATCAGAAATGGCAGCTTGATATCAGGGATAAATTAGCCATTCTTTAGACATTGAAGAAAAATTTAATTTTACATTCAGCAATAAAAATGATACATTTTATAAAATTCAGTTGCGACAACAATTAATGATTACAATAATTAGACAAATTCTGTAAATTACTGACTAAAAAAAAACTATTGAAAAATGTTCATTGTTAATGATTGACACTGAATGAATGTACACCATGTTTTAATTTCTGATACATTTTTGTGGTTATTGCTATTTTTTAAATTTTTGTTATTTCTGATTTGTGTAACTTTTTTCATAAAAATTAACAATAATGTTATTATATTTGCTTAATTAAGCATACTTAATTTTGTTATTTTTTAGGTTTTCATGATTTTATTCAGTACTGCATTATGTATTGCTGACATTTCAAGACATTTTTTTCTCTAGAATAGATAAATAAATTAATAAATAATTATCCTGGTTGTTAAAAATATTCATATATAAAAGTGTGATTTCAATCCACATCCTGGAGAATTTTTTCTGCCATAAATGTAAATTCATTAATTTAAATACACATCAAAATAATGACACACAGTAGCGACGACTGCTGTCTGCCCAAGAGAGAGACCGATCAATGGCAATGATCTCCGACCTCTGTGTCTGTATATTTGCATATCCTGTGGCCAGGTGTGCTGCGAAGGGCAGGCCAGGAGGCTTGGAGAATTGTTGATATTCGTACAACAAATACTGTGCAGCTGACATTCTGGAATTTAATTAAGCTGAAAGAGTCAGCCTCTATAAATATGGTATCAAAAAGTGAAAAGAATAACAATTTTGAATGTCAATTGTAAATTTGTTCGCCAGTGGCTTACAATGTGTACCATGTATAATTATTGCAGTACTCTTTTACATGAATATACTTTCTCATTATTCTTTCAGACAAGGACCCTGGATTCCTAGAAAAACAAGAGCTGCAGCAGCCCACGTCTGTAGCACTCAGCTATGTTAAAAGGTTTGCAATTCTTCATTGAAATAATTTATTAATCCATTTACTTCAAATCCAACTTAAATTTGCCACTTAAAGTGTAGGTGGAATGTTGCATGATATATGTGATACAACTATCTTAATACTTATACTGACATTACCCAGTACTCTAAATCATATTAAATAATCCAACATAAAAATAATGCTATATTAAGACCTTTAAGCTTTTATTTTCATTACTTTTTTTATTATATTTGTTGACAAATTTATAGTTGGTAAAAGGAAAGTGAATTAAAACCTTTAACCCTAGTTTTTATACACTGGATAATACATACATCTCAACAGATTCTTAGTTTAGCACTAGATTATTATTTATTTTTCCCTTCTACTTTAGGTTTGTAACAGAGGCTGCAAAAAATGGCCAGCAAAATTCACCTATACCATCAAGTCACAGTCGAAAGAAGTTAAAGAACCACTTAAATGCAATGATAAGCCATGTGGTCACACCGGTCTTAGGAACCCCAAGAAGTTCAACACCAACAGGTGATTTTTATTTAATATAAATGTTTTCAAATAAACGTGTCTTTCGATTAAAATTTATTATGCTTCTTGGTATTTGCAATTCAGGCAGTGTCGTACAACGCAGAATGACATGATTTGTTGTCGCATCTGGTATGTGTGAGTTAGACGCAAACTAGGCGCGTCTTAAATATTAAACATGTCCAATATTCTCACGATTAACTAAAACTGTGGTGTTGGGCTGCTGTGTACACGGCGCTGTCCGTCTTTTAAGATAACATTGTGTTAAATTTGGTGTGTTTTTTTTTTCACATTTAAAGTCTATCAAATATTGACAAAATTTTGTTAATCATAATCCTCAAAGTGGTCCTTTTTTTTTAATACACGTTTTGCAGGTAGGTGGTTACGATGTTGCTTTAGTTAAAAAATAATCATTGAAACAAATAAATGTTTAAATTAAGTGACCAAGTTTAACTTAAAAATACTTCAATTACTGTAGGACATGTAGGATATATTTTGTTTGTGTTTATATTTGTAATAAATAAGATTTCCTCTATATCTAGGATTTCATGTTGTGGATTTCTATTTAGAAAATGTAGAATATGCTATGAAAATTGTTGCTCACAAAAGCAAATTCTCTTGCATGCACCACTAGTTTACAATTCTGAGATCTAAAAAAAAATTATATAAAATATGAATTGTTAAAAATATTAATTTTATATAAAATGGACTTTTTGTTGATTTCGGGTGTTTGGGTGGGTTGAGTTGTGGTCGCAAAGTTGATTTTTCTAGAATTGTCTATCTGCTGACTGGTAATTTATTACATGTTAACCCATCAATGCTATATTGTAGGAAGTGAATTCGATGAAGATTTTGGTAGCGAATCAGACAGCGATAATTCATGGACAACGCAAGATGAGTTCAGCTCTGATCTGATTCTACGCATGGCCAGCACAAGTGGCTCCGATGACAAACCTTTTGTCTGTCCCGTACCAGGCTGTAAGAAACGCTACAAAAATGCCAATGGGATTAAATACCATGCCAGGAACGGACACAGAAAGGAAATCAAAGTAAGGTTTATCAGGATTAGGATTTTTGGAAGGATAGTAGGATTGAGGAGCTTATCCAACATCCTAAGACTTCCTGAAAAGAAACATTTGCATCAGAAATATGACACTGTGTCATTCCAATCACCGATTAATGATTCATTTTTTAAAGGGTTATTTTTGCATTGAGAGTACTAAATTTATTATTACCCCAGGTCTTAAATATTTAAACTGGTATGCACAATGAAATAATCTTCTATGCTCCCTGAGATTAATATTCATAGTCATCTTGCTGTAGATTAAATGCAAAGACCACATAGTATAGAACATTCACATATGCTACCAGGTAGCTATGCAAATGATCTAGCAACTAAGACGGGCACTACAGCATGTAACTTAAACATTGGTGTTAGTTCAAGACTCAAGGTGTTTGTCTTCTGGGAAAGGGACTTGAAACCCTGTGGACTTATAAAACCCAGAATATCTTTTGTTCAACACAAAATAAATTAAAGTATATATAATGCTGCAACTTAATTATGTATTTCAGATAAAGAAGACATATAAATGTAGATGCGGTAAAAGTTACAAGACTGCACAAGGACTGCGTTCACACATGATTTCACACCATCCCCCGACAGTCCTCACCCCTTCTCCTTCACCTAAGGCAGTGCAGCCGATACAGATCCCTCACTCTAATTCTACTCCACTTCTGACTACATCCCTCACAAGCCTAAGCATTCCAACAACACCGCTGACCCCAACATCTTCCAAAGGCATCATTCTGACTCAGCTGAATAACGTCCTGGCTACGCCAACTTCCGCTGGGGTAGTGAAGTCTGTGGAGCCTGGAACACCAGTAACACCAGGAACTCAGATTAACCTTGGCTCACCAACAACAATTATGCCTAAAGCTGCTACATCTGGCTTTACTATCATCACCGTGCCGTCGCAAATCACGGGCAACACAATAACACCCGGCGTCTCTTAAAATATTCCAGAAAACTTTTTTATAAACATACATATGGTATATTTTGGGGAGGGGTGATTATGGTGATCTTGCAGAGCAAAGCATATGCAGTGCTCATCACCCGTCATCATAATATTGCAAAAGCGCCCTCACGTTCAAACAACCTTGAAGTGGTTATTATTTTCCAGTAAAATACTTTTATTTTCATTTTGTTTTCAAATTAAGATGCATCATATGACAATCTTCAAAAATACAAATCCGTGCAATTTATTCGCCGCTAAAGTATTATTACAATACAAATTTTTATATATGCTGTGATATAGATTATGACAACTCAACAATAGAGATGGGATTGAACTTCTCTAAAAAATCTAAAATTAACATATTTTTCCTAATATATAAAAAAAACCATTGCAATCATCGTTTCTATAGACACTTTAACAAACTTGCCCTAAAAATTTATTCCAAAATATTCATGTTCTCATAGTTGATAGATTAGTATTTAATATTTTATATATTTGTTTAGTATGGTGCATGCATAACGTTTTATACATCTCTTTAAATTAGCTTGGTTGATTATCAGTTTTTTACAACTCAATTTCTGCAAGCTGAAATCGGAAATTAGAAACGAATCTCTGTAGATAGTTTGAATATTTTTTTTATTTTGAAGATTTCAGTGATTCGTTTTGGTTTGAAACATGAGAAGCTTGTTTTTGTCATCATTGTGTAAATATATCCAGCTTTATCAATATGTGCAATTTTAATGGTCAAAAACCACAGAGCTGTATAGCAAAAGTTATATTTTGGATATTTTTTTATTGCTGCAAACAAAAGCGATTGTTAATCTTAATTTTTTTTTGTATTTTTTTCACTCTGGTTGTAATTAAGATGTTAATTTAATTGAAGTCGAATGTTGTAAATTTCAAGGGTTGGGCTGTTTTTTTTTTTAATAGATAAGTAGTAGATTAAACAAAATGTAATGAGAAAAAAATATGTTCGATGTAGATATTTGACATAGATTTAATTGTTGTGAAAATACAGTAACCTTCAATGTAAGCTGTGAGAAATAAGGTTGATATTTGTAATGTCTTTACAAATATTGTTGAATTTTTTCACAAGAGTTGCTTATTTGTTTTGGTTCAATGCATATCATGGTACTCGCTGTGTTTTTGTGGAATGATTAAAATTTAAATACAATATAGGAAAATGATGGAAATTCCTAAAGGCATCATTTAGATGTACGCTAGGACCCAAGAAAAACTAATTTTAGTCTCCGACATGAAACATGTTTTTCTTGTGCATGCCAAAGAAGAAAAAAGATTCAAAATTAATTTACAAAATACTGTAGTGTCTTTCTTTTGTTATAGAAAACTTAGTGTATATGAATGTGATTATGGTGCAGGATGAAAGAATATCTGTTGAGGTTCTTTTAAATGCATGGGACGTTGGCTGTTGTTTCAAAAGTTTAAATGTGAAAATGTAAAAAAAATGGTTTAGTAGTATACAAATGATAATTATATAAAAGAAAAATATATTATAGTAAAAAATATGAAAATGTATGTGATGTAATCCTAAAAAGGAAGTGACATCAAGCTAAGGGATTGTGGGATTGCAGGATTGCCAAGTTAAGTGCAAATACCAGTATTGTTCTAGCTGTTCACATCTGTCCATTCTTGTATTCTGTGATACTGTATTTTTTTTTCATGTTCTATCTTTTCACATGTCCTTAGATGTTTAATGTTTGTGTTTAATATTGTTTTGCATAGCTTTCATGTCACAGTAATTATTGATAAAATAAAGTGAGTTATTGATAAAATATAAACTTAAATATTTATTGTGTATGTTGTATAAAGTACAGTATTGTAGAGTATTGGTGATTACGTCTTTGTAGGAACACAATAAGGAACCTATTAGAAACGTTTTTGAGATGAAAAAGTATATAAAAAAGTGAAAAATATTGTATATTAAATCATTTTGTACATTATATATAATAGAGTAGTTTATTAAAAGTGAGCTATTATACTTGTTATAATGTTATGTAGTTGCAATTTCTTCATGTCGTAATGTTGCGGTTGATATGATTGTGTTATACTCGTTTACAGTGAATGTTCCCCCAATGTATTTGCATTGGCTCTATCTCAGGTACGATTCTCGTCTCAGTTTGATGAACAAATTCAGTTGATCACATGCATTTTCAGTAGTCTAAAGCAAAGCATACTTTAGTGATACCTTATTGCCCTGTTGTCTGCTGTATCTGAAACAAGTTGGGTGAAAATGTTTATTGAGTTAAGTGACAGTCACATGTATTCCAGTAATCATTTAGTAAGAGCCAACATTAATACAGCTTATCCTTTTGAAAGTGGAAACATCCTTTTTCTCTCATGCTGAATCAGTCTAGAAAAGTGATGATTGACAATTTCAACTCATCAAATGAAACCTTATCCATTACTTAAGTCCTTCAGAGTCCAACAGTTTTTGTTATGGCTTATATTAAAGTTGTCATGGTAACTAAATCAATGCATATCTAATGGACATATTTTGCATTAAAATGTCATTCAAAGGTTTCGTGTTAGATGGACAATTAATGATTGTTGTGGTCTGCAGATATTATGAATCTTTAATAATATCCTTAATATTAATCTATAATATTAACGAAACATGGGGGTAATTATGTAAAGCACTACATAAGTCAAACACATTATTAAAAGGGTAAGCAGACTACAGAAGGAGGTACGTAAAAGCTGAGTTGACAGAGTTTAAATTAGGGAAAACTCTATCAGACTTTTTTGTCTGTCAGACTTCACAGATATTGTTTGATAAGACTACTTAATTATGTCTGGGCATTTCATTTACATGATTTACATCATTATCATCATTTGTTTCATCATTTATCATTTCATTAATTCCCACCTCATCTTCTTGGACATCTTTCTCCTCCTCCAGGGCAACCAATTTCACTTCTTCAATAGACATGGGGTCCTTGCCTGTCCTCCAACGATACACTGTAGTGTTACCATGTTGAAGAATATAACCCAAAGCTGGACAGATTGGGAATTGCTCATCTGTACCACTGTCTTGACTAGAAAGAATAGTATATTTGTTAAATCTGCATACCTTATGTATCAATGAAAATTTCAAAAGGATTGTCATCATTATTACCATTGTCATTATCTCTGATTTTTCTATCCATTGTCAAACTAATCCTCGACCTGTAAATCGACAATTGTTGTAGTTTTCCCATATTTTTTATAGGCTTACATCAATGCTTTCTTTTGTGAATTTTGTAAATTTTTTGTGCATGTTTTTAGCGGATATTGGCCCATAATGGCTTTCAAGGCAATTAAAGAAATTGAATTGAATTGAATTGAAACATCATCCTGTTTGTTGATGAAGTCATTTCCACTGTGGCTTCTTTCCCCGCTGCCGCCCCACTGATAAAAACGTCAATTCCTTTGCACCTGTCTAGTAACAGATGATATATTTTTATCTTTGAAGTACACTGTGTAAGTCACTAAATTGGAATACACTGTGTGTTACAGCAATTCAATGCAAAAAGCAATGAGTGCACTATCTTCAATATTATATAAATACTATATTTAACCATAACTTTTAAAATATGATCCTCATGAAATAGAAACTATATAATTATGCAACATTGTACACATGTAGGCACTGTGAGTATAACATCAAATTAGAGAACATATTATTTGGGAATCAATTATTTGGAATTACCTGCCAACTGTAAATTGTACAAATGCCTCATAGAACTCTGTAACCTTGTGTAGCTTTTGTGCCTTCGATAAGATTTTACTATAAATCTGTGGAAGATCTGCTACAAGTTTTATCAGCTCTGTTTTTATCTTTTCTCCCTGAAAAGAGAAAAATCAGTTATTGGTGATAAGAAGGATAACAAATTATACACGAATCAGCTGTGATATTGTTAGTCTATGAATGATGATACCTGGATAAACCGATACATGACAGTCTCCTTTTTGTAACTGTCAGACAAGGTAGTGCATATACTGTATGCATATAATGGATAGTTTATTTAATATGTAAGTGAAAAGGAAAGTGGAAGGTAAGCATTCACAAAATAGAAGATGGGAATGATGATGAGGCCAAAAAGAAAGAAAAATATTCTCTTTCCAAGCATTAGACAAACTTTAAAACTTGTATTTCGAGCTCCTGCTTGGAAAAGACATATTTTTGTCAAACAAATTTGGGCTTTACTTCGTAAAGTACTGTACTTAAATTGTAATAATAACAGCAATAATTTGAAATGTAATTTTTTTCCAACCTTAATTCCAAGCTTTTTACAGGACGTCTGGAAGTCATCTTTAGCTGATGCAGCTTGGCTTATGTAATCCTTCTCCTTTCTATCACATTCCTGTTTATTGGAATCAAAATCATTCAAAAATGGCATTGCAACTGTGAATATTATGCATAGTCACACAATATTGAAAATCAACATGATAACAATTTTAATTTAATAGTAATTGTTATTGTCGTGAAGGAATAATAGACAATAACTGGATTTGCGTCAGGAGAAACATGTATAGGTGTTTTAATTTACATAAATATTTTCTACAAAAATAATAGTTATTAAAAAGATGATGATGATAATCAATATGAAGACTATGATTACAAAGAGTGCTATTTATAAAGGCAACAAATGCTAATTTGCTGTTTAACATACCGCTTGGAGTTGTTTACATTTCAAGATGCTCCTACGAATTGCGGGAATCTCATAGTTCACATTCTGGGTTAGCAGATGAGCAGACTCAGCAAGATATATGTTATCACGTTCGTATATGGAAACAACTTCTAGCCAATCCTAGCACAAAATACAACATCAATTACTGCAATTTAATACAAATTCCCTCATAATGTTTGTGACAAGGTAGAACTCCAGAAATGATGTATAAGACCACATCATATCAATCCACGTGGCCCTCAATGTGTTGTGTTACACTCTACACAATGTATTTATCATATAAAACCTGACAGATTATCCTTTTATGACATAAATATTTGTTATTATTATCATTTCATCATTAAATAGATTGTATTTTGAATGTTATATATTCTATTTTTATATATTTTCTGCATGTAAAATAAATGATTTTTAATAACAATATTTAATTGAAATTATCTTACCTTCATACGCTGCGATGAGTAACGGCCAAAGATATTCTTTGTGTTGGATTCAGAAACCTTTAATAACTCAACAATTCTTTTGCAATGAAAGTAATTAATATCTATAAACAAACAAAATACATAATCATGCATTACAATAAATGAACAATTTCTAATTATTAATTAGTCTAAATAGGTCTTATAAAATTACGTCATGACAGTACAATCTAGTGCACAATGACTGTCACACACGCAACCTTTGCAGTTTCTTCTATTGTCTGCATCCTCAGCGAAGAATGACAAATATCAATGATTGGTTAGAATTTCCTCTGTCAAACAACAATTCATGAGTATATACAGTCACTGGTTCCTGAGCAACATGTCGCTCTTCATGTCCGCGCGAATTACATTCAGTTTGTAGCACAATACTTATCCCCGGTGGAGGCATTTCTTCACACTAAAATTATCATCATGTGATTCACCATCAGGAATATAATAGGTTAAAATATTTTGCTGTCCCATGTTGCAGGCACGCTCTTTCTAAATAGGCCTTAATGATGCTATATAACTATACTTGCATGTTCCAACAACGAGCTGTTTTATCTCTTCCACCTCTGGCATATCTTGTATGGCGTTGTTGATTTTCTCACGCACAGTCAGTGCCACTGATGTCCACTTGCCTTGAACATGTCTGCGATCAATCAGCCAATCTGGAATGTTCAAACCAAACTCTTGTAATTTCTTTTATTTTAATGAAAAAAAACTAGTAGTGAAATTGAGATATCTTGTGCTAAAGTAGTCTTAAATCAAATACAACCTCATTTCATAAAATCCAACCCAGTAACAAATTACTATTTAAAAACACAATATTTAAAATAGAAAAATAATCAAAAATGTTAGCATATAAAACTATATATTAAATGAATCTATATTTTTGATTTCTTGTACAAGTAACAAAATATAACAAGTATTTAAAAAATGAGTATAAAAGTGTAAATGAGTATAAAACTCTAAAAATAATATGAATAAAGTGCCTCAGTGAACAGAAAGTTAAAAAAATAAAAAGATAAAATTGTGAATTTGCCTAAAAATTAGGCTACATACCAAGAAGCTTGTTGGATGAAATATCAATGGGAAGATTATCTACACTTGTGTCGGACATTATTCAAGTTTCAGCCCAGCTAGGTAGGAAAATGGTATGCACCTGTACAGATAATGATCAAAACAAATACTGTTTAACATTATGTTCTCTTGTAAGTGTAAAACGCAGGTGGACAATGTGCGGCCCTAGCGATTTTTTTTGTGTTCTGCGAAAATGAATTAAAACCCCTATGTGTGCGGCCTGCCAATCAACATTGGCTAGAAAACAGTTTTTTATGGCCTGACACGGACCATATGTAAAAAGTAAAATAAAACTCATAATAAATTGGTGTAAAAGCAGTTCTTGGAGGTTTTTGGAAGCACACTGGAAACAAGAAAGTTTGGGTGCGGCCCTCGGTATTAAATCAAAAATTCACTTTGGCCCTCCGACACATTTTGGACCACACAAAGCCATAAAAAAAATCTCCCTGTGAACCCTACATGGGAGGTTTATTCCAGGTCGTCGACCGAGGCTTCGTCAGCCTCTTGGCTCAGACCCTTTGGTTGGACATACCCCATGTCAACAAATTTCTGGCGCCTCCGCTGTTCCTTAACATGATATAGATAGACCTAGCTAGGCCTATAATAATAATTAATAAATAGGCTAGGCCTATTTTAATAATGGTTATGTCAGTCACAGCAGGGAGTTGTAAATAATAACTCCCTGGTCACAGGCCCCTTTTTTGCTTGCCAGGCCTAGGCTAGGCCTACACTAGAGACAGGGCCTTGCTTTCTTGGACTTGACCTAGCCTAGGCCTAGCCTAGCTTAGCTACGCTAGGTAGCGCCCTAACCCGGCCCTGCGTTTACACTTCCAGCCTAGGCCTAGCCTAGTCACGTTATCCGCTTTGCTGACTTTTTACTGATAAATACGTATGAACGTACGAACAAAAGAGTAGAAATTTTCATTTAATTATGATAAACAACAAACCCATATGTTTCTTCAGCACGTCAGCATGAAAACCAAAACAAGTGTACAGTGTTTATAGAGGGCGCTACATACGTTAAGCAATTATGCAAATAAGTTGATAGACTTCATGCATTCGGTCGGAACGAACTGTACTGCTGCTGGGGATACATAGTCTAGTCGTTGCCTAGTGAAAACAAAATGGTGGCATATACACGATAAGAACATTTCCGAAAGATGTTAACAAACATTACTACAGACGGGTTACTTCATATAGAAAGCGTTTGATAGTAAGTGCCTATAATACCACAGAATATTAGGCGCCATTATTGTTAGTAAGGTAAAAGTTTTTACACATTTGGCTAAGCTAGGCCTAGCTAGATAGATAGATAGGGGCTAGGCCCTAGCTAGCTAGCTAGGCCGACGATTGTTGTTAATGTTGTGAAAGAAAGGCCTCTCTAGAGACTGGCCTAGGCCTCAGGGGCCGAAGCCTCTAGCCTAGGCAAGATTGAGGGCATGCCTCACCACTAAGCCTACTACTATGTACGCCTAGTCTACCCAGTGTAGGCCTCTATTAATTATGGGTTGTAAGGCTTTTCATTTCTTGTAAACATTTGTTAATATCACAGTATCACCAAGTGTCAAGCTCTGACCCTGAACAAAAACTGTCATCAGCAAAAACGGCTTTTCTGTTTTGTTGACTTAGGCCAGGCTAGGCCTAAGTATCATATGAGTTCATAATTTTTTGAAATAGGATATTCCTTTACTTTAGGGAGATTAAGAATATGTGTTAGTTATGTACTACATAAATTTCCAACAGTTACCGATTTAATATCTACCATTTTATTTTATATAATGATCTAATATTTTTATAAGACACGTACATGAATAAATGATTTTTTTACACCTTCTTGTTGAACATTCTCAAGTTAGGTCAACACGTTTACTCGCTCTTCCACATTATTATTATTTTTTTATTTCAAAGACTCATAATGTCTAACAGCATGAATGGAACCAACAATGGACTAGCTAACAGTTCCAGGAATGGTAACCATACATTTGGCCTTCCAGTAGTCGACCCAGAGAAGCTGAAGAATCGACTGTACTCCTATGCTCCACAGCAGACCTCAGTCAACAAAAATGCTCTGACATTCAAACGCATCACACTAGCACAGCAGGTTACACGATCGGTACCGACAGCTCCAAAGCTTGAACCATTGGTAAATCACAGTATATTAACTCTACAGTACAGTACTACAATAGACTTATTCATGATAATATCACTGAATAAACTTATTACTTTCCAATTTAGAAAACTTTTTTTGTATCACAATCTTGCATTCTGTAAATTTAATAATATTTATAGGTTTTGTACTGATATACAATAAAAATGTTTAGTGCATTCTGATTATAAAGGGAAACTATTTTCTTGTTAAATCATTAAAATCAAAATATTATTATTATTAATGTCAGAAGAGTTTAGAAGTTAAAGGAATTGCAAGCTGAATAATACATTACTTTTAATAAAAGTCCACCAACACTTTAGGTGGATCACCTATTGAAGTAAGGACACATTCTTAATAATATTTAATATTATAAAATTATTTTTGTTGATGACTGAAGCCTGGATTAGCTAGATTTCAAAACTGGAATAAACCTGATAACATACGACAGAGGGCAGCAGAGGCAAATGAGCTCATTCAAGCTCAGAAATCGTTAGAGGAACCCGAGAAGAAAAAAAGCAGGAAGACTTACTCGGTAGATCCACTTGAGCGGTCCCTGAGTGGTTCCTCATTACCTGAATTACCAAGTGATTTGCAGAAAAAACAGGTGAGTTAAACATTATATTTTGCCTTTGATATAAACAATAAAGCTCTGTTCAGATGATCAAATTTCCTTGACAAAAGAACTGTTGTATGCCCATTTATAGTCATTATGTGCCTATTTATGGTCATGTTGTGATGTCATCATGACCATATTTAGGTATGTCACATGTTTTTGTCTAATAAAATTCGATAGTCTTGACAAGGCTTTAAAGAGTATATTGTCATTTAGGAGATATAAATCTCGCATGGTATTTTTATTCCCTCGCTGTGCATTTCGCTAGTGTCCTTGAGCAAGACACTTTAACTTCAATACTTCTCTTCACCCAGGTGGGTACCTGAGGAACTTCAAGTGCAAAAAATGTGCTGATATATTTTCATGTGGCAAACTATGGAATTTTCCCCATAGGCATCCTTCCAACTGGGGTAATAATGTGGAAAAGTCCTCTAAGACTTGTATAGAGCCTATATAAAAACATAGATATTATTATTATTATTATTAAGCTCTCTGCTGTTTGCCATGCCTGTGTGGCTACTTTTTTGTCTTCATCATTATTCTCCATTTTATATATGGAAGCTGTGTGGTACATTAATTAAAGCTTTGGACTTTTAGTTGTGATGTTGTGGGCTCGAGATTGATCCTTGTCACACTTCTTGTGTCCTTGGGCAAGACACTATGTTTGCCTTTTCACCCATGAGTGTAAATGGGTACCTGGCAGGAGGTGAATAATTTGGAATGGTATTGGGTATGAATACTCCCAGGGAGTGAAGGAGGTTGCATGTTGTGAGTGGTTGATTCTGTATCCAATGAAAAGGGGAAAAGTGCATTTAGCAGTTCTTTTGTTGGATATGTGCACTAAAGTACTATGGTAAATCAATAAATATTGATAAAATATCATTTCATCTATTTATTCATTAATAATTGTTGATTATGTATCATTTCATATATCCTGATTTCCAAATTGAAAGGAATCTCTTATGATTTTAGGATGCATTTGATCAACGATCCCCCACCCCACCATCTATCCCCCGTCGACCAAGTCCAAAGGGGCGTGTTCACAATAGAGGTTTCACAGTCAGCATCCCGATCTCACAGGAGGTTGAAGAGTTAGAAGGAGTTACAGACATCCTGGAGATACTGCAGCTTGTGCGTGATAAGCCACGTCTGGGCTTTCTTTACATGACGCCTGCTGTACCAAAGTCCTCTATTCAGTACCATCCATATAACCTCAAGTAAGAAAAATACATACTGTACATCAGTTTTAATATTATAATGATGCATTTTAGTGATAAGGACAATATAATTGATTGGTATATTTATGTTTAAAACTGTATATCACGTTTTCCAAAAATGTCTTCATCAAACGTTTTCACATCATATGTGTCAATATGGGCTTTGTCAACAATTTGTATTTTTAACATTCTGTAAGAATAAAAAAAAGAAACCTCTGTTTCAGTTGTTACATGGAGCGTACTTCCATATTGTTTAAAAATGTACCAAATTATCAAAGATTTAAGAACATTTTTTTTGCTAAATGTGGGCAATTCATGTTGAAATATTAATATATAATTTATTATTATTAATTATTATTTTTATTAGTTATTGTTATTGGTGTTCTTTTTACCGCTGCCACAGATATCCATTGTCATCATTTTTATGAATATTGTGTTTTTTATATTGTCAGTAATAATGAAGGTATAGAGGAAGGTAAAGATTGTATTTAATAAATTTCATTTCTTTGCCTAGAATTGTAACCCACAAAAACACAAACCCCTCTGATCACTACACAATCAGTAGGAAGGGTGTAACGCACATGCGTAACAGTGAGGCAGAATTCACTGATCTGGACCGATGGGAGCAAGAATACAGATACTTCATGCAATTAGTCAAAATACCAACATTTGCACTGTTCCGCAAGTGGAAGGCTTTTGTCACCTGGAAGAAGAATGTTCGGTCTCGTAAGATTGCAAGTTGCAAGAAACGGCTACAGGAGAATCTTTTCATAGTAAATCCAGTAAGTGTTAGGATTTTATTTTTAATGTATACCCTCATTGATAAACTAGTTAATGTATATCTAATAAATACAAAAATTAATAATATGCAATACTTGAATTGTTTACTATATTTAAGTACGTTATTAGGAACAAAAAAATCTTATTGAATAATGGGGTGTCAATCATAATTACCAACTGACCAATCAGAATGTGTTATATAACAGCCAGGAATATAGCATGTCCCATAATTATGCAATTTCACATACATTTATGCTTTTAAGTTCCCATATCTTAGCAACAATATTCAAGGGGCAAGGTTTAGCATAAAGGTTCATTTGGAAGCCCAAGACCATATTATTTGTCACAAGATTCCAAGTCATAAATGTAGTTGCATTCCTTTATGCTCACATCATAATTGTCTTGTTTCTGTTCCATGTGCAGTCTCTACGACCAGCTGTGCTGAATGTGCGTGAGATGTGTTACCGCATCAGTGATATGGGACTCTGTAAGGTAGAGAAAGGCAGGACGTACACCTTAGAACACTTCACTGGAGCTCAGTTTGTACAACTTAATGAGGTAGGTACTTATTTTTATTCAAATTGCTTATGATATCTGCATTGTGAGGTGGGTATTTAATAAGCCAATTCATAGCTTGAACTGCACATGCTTGTAGCAAGGTCAGTCAACACAAACAAACATACACACATCATACTGTAGGTTGTGATTGACCTCAATTGACCTTGAATATGGGCATGCCCAGTTCAAACTATGGAATTGGTTTATTCAGAGGCATATTCATGATGCATAACCTGGGAAGATTGTTTAAGACTAATCTAATTTCCCAGGTACCACATCATGTGGTATAACCTTGCAGAATTCATACCCATGATTTTTTAAGAATTTCAAAGCCTTCACACAGCAACACTTTTTCCATTTAAAATTATTTTTCTAATGTTCTGTGAACAAAGTAATAATTAAACAATTTTACTGTATGTATATATTTACAGGTTTCTGGTAGATTAGCTGAGTTCCGTGAACTGGTGAAGGAGGTGGTTCGAAGCGCATGCCGTACAGCTTTGTTGGAGGCTGGTTTCACTCCTGACGATTATTTCTTTGACTCTGAAAGCCCAACAGGAGGTAATTGATGACTGTAGAAAAATATCTTGCTGATATCATCAGTGATTTAGTGTTGATATGATCAAAAATTGTTTTGTTTAAATTTGGTTAATTATAAGTTATAAAAATCATATTTGATTCCAGATGATGGATTTCCTCCAGGAACTGCAGCTTCTAGCTACCTCCAAGGTAACTTTGATTTGGACATCTATGGAGATGCTCCGGATAAGATGACCTACACAGAGCAGGCTAACAAGAGAAGCCATTGCCGTAGATTAACATGGTAATAGAAGGAAAGCTATTTACAGGTTTCCAGACTGTGGGAAACCGCACCTGGGAATATTCACGATTGAATGTATTCGGGTCTATTGAAAGAATGACTTTTAACATTTAAATAACAGAATTAATACACAGAACACAATGTCTACAATATATCTTGTTACATCACAATGAATATAAACATGCCATGGGAACTGTCATAAATCATTTTGAATTGATACCTTCAAAGGGAAATGCATTTAAAATGGTTTGAATAGATTAAATGTTTAAAAAGTGGTATAACAATAAAATTGAGTAGTTGCACATTATATAAACTGAATTATCATGGGCTATGCCACTAATGATAAGGATATAATTTAATTTAATAGAACCACTGGAAGCATTTGAGGTCATTCTAAAATGTTATCGAGATTAAGAAAAAGGAAATAATATGCTATGGCTCACCTAATTTACAAAAATAGATGGGACATGGGACAATTTCGTATTTGCCTTCCTCTTAGCCATCCAGGATTTAAAATTCTAGGCTCTTATTTATCATATTTTATTCTATTTTTTGTTTAGTTTTATTCGACTTGCTGATTACCTGATTGTGAATACAATGCATGTGCTAGCTGTTAACTCTGTGACAACATTGTTAAACTATCTCAAAGAACAGTTGCAGAACACACCGACACTTGCTCAGATCCAGGGGAAAGAAGAATCTGATGAAATGGCAGAAAAAGATGAAGATAAGGTACATATCATCTGTCTTTATACAGTACAATACAAATGCTGTGTAAAAAAACATATGTTAGACTATTTTTGTATTAATATTCCAGTTCACACTCTACCTGACAGTATGATGCAAAAAAGCCTACAAGATTCAATTGAATGTTTTGTTTAAAGGGAACACATATACAGATATATTAACAATTCCAATGAGTTACAGATCAAAACAAATCTCATTGCTTCTTTACAATTCCTTCAAAATTCAATAAAATCATCCAATATATTTATTGTATTTGTCAATGCCCTATTTAGTGGGGGTTCGGGGGGGTTCGTTTCGTGAGGAGGGCGGAAAAGGAATAAAAATAAAATTATATTTATATTTATTTCAGGAATATATACTTCGTGATTACATCACATAGTACATCTTTTTACTATATTAAAAAGTATGCAACTTTAAATTTTTGGAAAAAGGGATTCCATGTAGCGGAGGACAGAATAAAAATAAATATAAATTTTTATTTTTATTTCTTTTTTTTCCAATTTTTTATGGCGGCTCGTACGCTAACACACTTATAACAACATTTTATTTTTATTTTGAAATCCATAATTTTGGAATCGGAGGGTTCGCTAAACAAGGTATAAAGAAGTCTCGCCTTATTTAAAGCACTAAAAATGTATATTTATTTATACTGTAAAAGGGCCTGAGGCCTATCACACTCAATAAAGTCCCCATTTAGGGGAGAGAAGAAGAAGTATGTGGGTTTTGATAAGGAGTTCCGCATAATCCCAAGCCGAACCCCCCATTGAAATTCCTAAATACGGGCCTAATGCTTACCTGGATGAACTGAGTATTGCTAAATAAATACCCCACAAACAAAGTAGAATCGTCCATATGAGACTTTTAATTGGCAAGAAAACAAAATTTCATCCAACTTTTTAATTAAATATTCGCTTCAACTTAACTTAAGTTGAAGTATTCAACAGATATATAGATGAATATTATATGAATTTGGATATATAATGTTATTATTATTATTATTATTATTTTAGCTTTTAATGTTTTTAAAACATTTTTCTTTATCGACCATTAAAAAATGTAAGTACTAATTTCTAAAATGAGGGAAATTTTTTTTAAAATCTTATGTTCAGGTAATAAATGACATGCTGCCAAAGTTGGCCAAGAAACAAGTGGACACATCGATTGCTGAATCCCAGGATGCCCAATATAAGTTGGAAGTAATACCAACGACGACCACCGAATTTGTTGAGAGCTTGGTATTCCTGGATGAAATCCAGTTGAGAGTAAGAAATTCTAATTATCATTTCTGTGCTACTTTCTTTTCACTATCATAATAATATACAATATGTTTAAAATAATGGCAATTAATTGATCAATTTTTTTTTATAGATTGATGGTCTTGAATCAGAAGCATTGGTCATTAAAGAAATGTATGAACTCATCGACAAGTACGAGGTTCCCACTCCTCCGGAGGATTTTGCTGTCTATCAGACTTTGTCTCCCTCAGTGACTGCAGTGCGCAATGCAATTGACAAATCAGTTGGTGAAAGAGACTCTAACATTGATAAATTTTGTACTCATTTGGATAAGGACATCATGGATTTGAACAAAGAAGTGAAGAGTGTTAAGCAGGAGTCTCAGGTATTTAGCTTTATTGATGAGATAGTGTCATCAGCCGTCTTTGGTTTGAAGGTTGTTGTGTTGCCACTTGGCCATTTTTTTAATTTTTCCATAATTTCTTATGTTTAGCCATTCTTTGATTATCAAACCACATCTTCCTTGGTCTTCTTCTGCATGCATCCCTTTTGGTAGATAGTAGATAGACTTGCAAATACCAACTTTAAAATAGGTTAATATATGGTATATTTAGAAATCCCTTATTAGGTATTCTATGAAATCTAGAGCTGTTTCATTTCTAATTTCACTTATTTTTGTATCAAATCTTTTGCCAATCTTGTTTAATTATCTTCTCTTAGACTATTACTCCTAAAACAAATTTAGACCAAAGGCAACCAAAACATGATTTTGTTATTGCTATCAAAATCCATTGATATTTTTACATATGATGTTAATGTCTTATTTGAAGAACCCGCTGATTCTTGATGTAAGCGCAGATGTGGTAAAAGTGACCTCAATTCTTAACAAATTGGGTGACAAGTTGGACGAACTTCAGAAACATGCCTTCCAGTACAAGACATATCAGAAGAACTTCAAGGTAATATCCATAATTATACTGAATAATAATGATAAAGTGATAGTAATATGATTATGATAATAATAATGGTGTTTACTAGTGTATTACACAAATCCTTCAAACAATGCACCAAAAAATAATGGTATTAGTAAGGCAGTACTGCACGTTTGTCATGCCTTCCATAGCGAAATTTATAACAGTGCCCTGCTGTACTCATAAATAATTAATTCTTAACAAAGAATATATACTTTATTATAATTGAAAATTGACATTGTTATATCATACTTTACATACTCTTATTCCATGCTTCTACGATTAACAAATCAGAATTTGATTGTTTTCTATTGTGCTCTTGGTTTGAATTAATAGGTTGAAGTGACCAAGTATGAGGAGCTGGAGGAAACACATGCTGAGTTGAAGCTGAAACAATTGCTGTGGAACTCATTGGAGGAATGGGATGTTATTTCACAGGATTGGACTGAGGTACAAACTCAATTGCCCGTAGTATACTTTACTACAATAACCCATGTTGGGAATATAATATCTACTTACCTTTATGAGGTTAAAACTGCAACAATTTATCTTTGATATTTTCAGAAACCATTTGATGATATAGATCCTGAGACTATTTCAGGGACTGTACAGAAATATGGCAAGTCTGTGTACCAACTGGAAAAGGGACTTCCTCCAAATCAAGTTGTGCCAAAACTTAAAGCAAAAGTTGAAGACATGAGGGAAAAGGTACTGAAATGAACAAAATAAATTAAATTTTTCGGTAATACACAAACCAAACTCTAGAAACGCACCTTTAAACTCATTGATAGAACTAAGTCTTGTATTTCTATTGCAGCTCCCTGTTATCACTAACCTCCGCAACCCTGCCTTGAAGCAAAGACATTGGGATACAATTGAGAACATCTTAGATCATAAATTCACTTCAGATGAAGTTCTTAATCTAGGCCTCCTGACTCAATTAGATGCCTTCCAGTTTACTGAGGCCCTGGAAGAAGTTTCTGGACAAGCATCAAGTGAAGCATCACTTGAAAGTCTGCTGAAAAAGGTAGGTTGTTTTTTAGACCACTCAACTGTTCTCTTTTGTGCATGTTTAGGAAGTATTTACATAGCATAAAGAAGAGCAATGGACTGCTCATGATGTATAGAGACCAATCATCAACAATCTACTGAAAGCTCTCCGACCAGTATTGCCACCTATAAGTGCTTGCGCATTATCAAACCAGACTAGTAACATATCCCTTTTAATATTTTTAGCTATTGAATTTTCATTTATAAGACAAACCTATCTTAGTTTGTTATCAATTGTTATAGTTTACATTAAGAAAATAGTTGTTGAATTTCATTTTTAAATATTTGGTCACCTTTAGGTTGAAGATGCATGGAAGACGACAGAGTTTATTGTATTGCCACATCGTGACTCCAAAGATGTCTTTATACTCGGTGGTACTGAAGAGATCCAGGTTCTTCTCGATGACAGTACGGTTAATATCTCCACAATTTCCAGCTCAAGGCATGTTGGACCAATCAAACCTCGTGTTGAAGAATGGGTGAAGAACTTGGAACTGTTTAACAAAACTTTGGTAAGATCTAGAGATTTTACAATAAGTCATACAAAAGTGCCTGAATAATTCTTTTATGCTTCTTGAAATGAAACATGAAGATGTTTTCCTGTAAGTGGCAGTAATGTGTAGCCTCAACATCATGATGGGAGCTGACTTTAAGGAAGTAATGTATGTAAACCTATTGTATGCACTTGTCAGAGAGCTATTTTAATGTAGTTTTCATTATTATATCTGCAGGAGGAATGGCTAAACTGTCAAAGAAACTGGTTGTATCTAGAGAGCATCTTCAGTGCTCCTGACATCCAACGTCAGCTTCCTGGTGAAGCCAAGATGTTTATGCAGGTGGACAAGTCCTGGAAGGAGATTATGAGAAAAGCAAACCGACTGCCGCTAGCAATGCGTGCTGCCACACAACCAGGACTACTTGAGACCTTCCAGAATAATAACTCCCTGTTGGATCAGATCCAAAAGTGCCTTGAGCAGTACTTGGAATCCAAAAGAGTTATCTTCCCAAGGTAGATACAAAGACAAATTCTTTAAGTACCATATTCCTGTAGAAAGTCAATTTATGGTCTATGAGTCAATTTCTAAGATCAATTAATTTCTCCCAAATTTTACAGATTTTACTTCTTGTCCAATGATGAGTTATTGGAAATACTTTCCCAGACAAGAAATCCACATGCTGTCCAACCACATCTGCGCAAATGCTTTGATGCCATTGCTCTTTTGGAGTTTGGTTCTGCTGTTCCTCAGTCTAGTGAAGGAAAGTTATCTCCAACTGGAGAGAAAGGTTAGTTTCATCATATCTAGTATATCTTAATGTATGATCTATTTTGTGAATACTGTACCTTGATAAATCAAGTTATTTAATTTCTTTCTTAAGAGATAACACCCATTAAGACATTGGAACCGTCTGTTCCTGTTATGAATTGAGTATAGCAGTGTAACACCATTTTCAGTGTCTATAGTAAAGACTAATCTCATCATATTTTGACTTCTATTTCAACAGAGGCTGAAGCTGCTAAAACCAGCACAAATGACATCCTTGGCATCATATCGCCAGAGAATGAAAAGGTTGGTCTAGGCAAAGGTCTGAAAGCTAGAGGAAATGTAGAAGATTGGCTGGGCAAGGTTGAAGAAGCTATGGTTACCTCTTTGCGTAAGATCACCAAAGCCTCTCTTGCTGACTACAGCAGCAGACCTCATGAGGAGTGGCTGACATTGTACCCATCACAGGTCGTACTCACAGTCTCCCAAACTGTGTGGTGCCGTGATCTCAGTGCTGTGCTTGAGGGAGACTTTGATCGTCAGGAAGCACTCAAAGATTTTGAGCAGAAGTGTATCAAAGTAAGTGTTCCATATTATAGAAGAAAGTGTGGAGGAATAAAAGAGGATGAAAGCAACTCATTAAATATGTTAACATGAAATATTTTTGTAATTCTGTAGGGGAGATATGACTCATAAACATAATTACTTCTAAATTTGTTCCAGAATTTGAACGGTTTAGCGGCCATGGTTCGCGGACAGCTACCAAAGCTTGTCCGTAATGTGCTATGCGCGCTCATCACAATAGATGTCCATGCACGTGATATTGTCACATCCATGGTAAAGAACGATGTGAATAATGTGAACAACTTTGAATGGACAAAGCAACTTCGCTACTACTGGGATTTAGACCTCGATAACTGCGTAGTCAGAATGTCAACATCACAGTATGTATACGGATACGAATATCTTGGGGCGTCAGCAAGACTCGTAATCACTCCATTAACTGTAAGTTCCACAGATTTTTTTAATTATTACTACTACTGCTGCTGTTATTTCTTCAGCAAAAACTTATACATAAATTCAGGTAAACTAATATGGCTGTGCTAAAATTGAATATTCGCTTGATGACCTGATATCCGCCAACTTTCTTATGCAGAATTTATCTTGAAAGTTATGAAATTGTCTGCCCCAAGTATGTCACGTCTCAGTATAATCACCACACTATTGTCCTAATTTTTCTTTTTACTTATTGAATGTAACGGGAAGATTTCAGGACACTATTCACTTGGGTGTGCTCACTTTACACTTGCACATTCCTAAATTAAAATCACAATAATTTATTTTAAAGAAAAGCCTAAAGAATTGTAGTCCAGCCTTAAAAAGTTCTTCCATATGTTTATGATTAGGATCGTTGTTACCTGTGCCTTATGGGAGCACTCCAGCTTGACCTTGGTGGCGCACCTGCTGGCCCGGCCGGTACAGGCAAAACCGAGACAACAAAAGATCTCGCCAAAGGTCTAGCCAAGCAGTGTGTGGTCTTCAACTGCTCCGATGGCCTGGACTATAAGATGATGGGCAGGTTCTTCTCAGGTTTGGCCCAATCCGGTGCTTGGTGCTGTTTTGATGAGTTTAATCGTATCTACATTGAGGTGTTGTCTGTAATTGCCCAACAGCTTATAACCATCAGAAACGCTAAGGCAGCAAAGGTAGGTGTTTAAACTGATAGTATCAGTTAATCTATTTCTCATTTATTCAATTCATTAATCAATTTTAATATATATTTATAAGATTTGAATCTAAATGACAAAAACAAGTGGATATGCAGTAATAAAATTTAATATTGTTTAGTTCTCTTTTTAAATTTAATTGTACAGGTAATTGAATTGTATATTTGTTATTGTATATTTTTTTAGATTATATTTTAATTTTTGTGTCATTGATATATTGTTTTCGTATTGTAAATTTAGTCGTTTCAGTCTTGTACTGGTGACTGTTTTTTATGTTCTTATGCCTGAATTAATTTTTTTTTTTAAATAAATAAATAAAAACATTTTGGTGATTTTGTTTCTCAATATTAGGTAACAAGGTTCATGTTTGAAGGACGTGAAATTAAATTGGTGGCAAGTTGTGCTGCATTCATCACCATGAATCCAGGTTATGCCGGCCGTACAGAGTTACCAGATAACCTTAAGGCTCTGTTCAGACCCATTGCAATGATGGTACCCGATTATGGTAAGTCTCACAACTAGAGCTCTTTTCATTACACAACAGATTATCCTTTGTTTGCTTTGATATGAGACAAATATTATTATGAATTCTAATGTAATTTAAAGTGGCTCTCCATAAATCTAATATAATTAATTTCATGCTAGTTCTCTACTTTAATTCTTTAAAAAATGTAAAGATCCATTTTTATTTACAGTGATGCAGCAGATGTCTTGCACATTTACATCTCTGCCACTGCTGACTAGGATTTTTATATTGCAATGAGAGATCAAACCTTAAAAATTGTACATAGACCATCTTTGCTTCTCTTTATTTTAATTGCAATTTCATTTCTTTCTCCATACTAGCTCTAATCGCTGAGGTGATCCTCTACTCTGAAGGTTTTGAGTCTTCACGCACCCTAGCAAGGAAGATGACGCAGATGTACAAACTGTGCAGTGAACAATTGTCTCAACAGGATCATTACGATTTTGGCATGCGTGCTGTCAAATCTGTGCTGGTTATGGCCGGATCACTTAAGCGTGACAACCCTGATCTTGGCGAGGACATTGTACTCATTCGAGCTCTCAGGGATAGTAACTTACCCAAGTTCCTGGCAGATGATGCTGTCCTGTTTGGGGTGAGCTATTATTTTGGCATGTCTTTATTGATAAGCTTTATTTGATTAACCTGCGACGGACTAATGTCCCGTCCAGGGAGAGTACAACTCTCATCCACTTCACACTACAGAAACTGGGGATAAGCTCCAGCTCTATGAGCCCCAGTGGCTCGTAAAGGATTTAGTTTTATTTGAAAATATAAATATTGTCGTAAGTCTTAAGTAGTAGTATTATCAAAGATATAAAGGGATGTAGATACTATCATGTATTTCTTATTTCAGGGTATTCTTTCTGATTTGTTTCCGGGTGTTGTTCTGCCTGAGCATGATTACGGAACTCTGCAGAAGTTTATTGTGCAGACGATACTTGATAAGGGCTTGCAAGCTGAAGATTGCATCATCAAGAAGGTTATCCAATTGTATGAGACGATGATTGTCCGTCACGGTGTCATGTTGGTGGGGCCAACTGGAGGGGGCAAGACTACCGTGTATGAGGTAAAACATGTTGCAATCCATTTTAGAATTTGGTGGATCTGGAAGTTATTCTGAATTAATGACTGGAGTGTTAATCTTTAAGCATAAATATTGTGGAGTAAATAAATCAGTGTACATCAGTTTTTGTGACTTTAATCATAGGTCATCATAGAACTTTCATTCATTATATATTTGTATTGTTTGTCAAGGTTCTTGCAAAGACAATCATTGACCTGCATCTAGCTGGTGAAGACAGTCCGTATTACCAACCAGTACACACCTATGTGATGAACCCGAAGTCAGTCAGCATGGGTGAGCTGTATGGAGAAATCAACACTCTCACTCTGGAATGGCAAGATGGACTCATGGCAACTATAGTCAGACAGGCTGTCAATGTAAGTTGAGCGGTGTGGTGGTTGTAAGGTGCTAAGCCTTTCAATCTTTTTTTTTTTGGTTCTTTCTGTACATATGGGGCTCTGGATCAGAAATTAAAATACTTGCTTCCATTCCAAGAGTTGTGGGAGAGGGTAACATGCTTACATTCTACTTGCAGAGTTGTGAATTTACTCCTCAAAAGTAATGGTTGGAATTATAGTTTTTTTGATTTATTTCTTTGACTGTAGGACACAACAGAGGATCATAAATGGATAATCTGCGATGGACCTGTGGATGCGCTTTGGATTGAGAATATGAACACTGTACTGGACGACAACAAAATGTTGTGCTTAGCCAACTCAGAGCGTATCAAATTGACAAACTCAATTCACATGGTGTTTGAAGTGCAGGACTTGGCTGTTGCATCTCCAGCCACTGTTAGCAGGTAAACCTTGATCTATGAAAATAATGATGAATAATAATTATAGTTTTATATTTTAGGTTGTCTAGAAAATCAAACAGTAAAATATGCTAGAATTAACCTCTAAGATGACAATTATTAAATTTCTTCTAGCTTCTTACTCTATCTCAAGTTTAAAAACTGGCCATACATTATGTTAACACTGCTTATTAAATATTGCATGATATTTGTTGCTAGGTGTGGTATGGTGTATATTGATCCTGGTGAGTTAAAGTGGATGCCTTATGTACGAACCTGGATGGCCAAGTTCAAGAACATGTTGAAAGAAGAGACATTCCAGTTCATCAATGACCTTTTTGAGACTTACGTAGAAGAGGGCCTAAAATTCGCCACAAAGAAATGTTTCCAAGCTATCGTACAGGTAAGAATGATCATAATTAACAAACTATAGTTGTGTACCTGTTGATTTCCTCCACCTTGTATGCACACTAAATTATGTAGATCATGGTTCATTCTCACTGAATCAAGTGGACCCTGGCTCAGTTCTATGTAGCCGCCCTTTAATGTTTCAATTTTAAAATATTTTTTACGTTGACAGTATTTTTTTTATAATAATTATTCAAATAATTTCACTTTTCAGGTTGATATCAACAAGGTAGCAACACTTTGTTGTCTGCTAGAGGAGCTTCTTTTCCAGAAAGGCCGCAGCAAGATTGACCTGACAATGGACACAAACAAACTTCATCCCTTAATTTGCACAACATTTGTGTTTTCGTACGTTTGGGCTGTTGGTGGGAACCTACTGGACAACAGTTGGGATGCCTTTGATTCGTTTGTTAGAAATCAATTTGAGGATAATGGTGAAGCAAAAGTAAGTATGAAGGACGATTTCATGAATATTTATCTAAATAAACCAATAAATTACAATTTGACTGTGGAACTTACTCATCGAGCAAATTCGTGGAAAATAATGGTACGGTAAATCTTAGAATAAGCGCCAAACATTATTATTTTTACTAAGCACCACTCACGAACAAATGCGTATTAACTCGCTTATAAACTGTCTGTGTGTATCTTCACTACTATGGAAAAAATGCTTACTGTGAAAGCTGTCTGATGCAAGATTTGGCATTGAGAACAAAATATAGTGAATTTCCAAAATTTTTTTCATTTTTATAAGCTTCCACAAAATGGTGACCTGTGGAGTGCGTACATGGATTTTGACACAAAGCGCATGGACATGTGGGAGAAGATTATTCCGACTTTCAAATATAATCCGGAAGTTCCGTTTTTCGAGATGTTGGTTCCAACTTTGGATACTGTTCGGTTTGGTTACATGATGGAGAAACTGTTAGCTATTGGACGTTCAGTACTATTTACTGGAACAACAGGAGTTGGCAAGGTATGCCTATAGTAAATAAGTTTAACATTAAATGTTTTTAAAATATTTGGAGTTTAGTTGTGACTATAGTAACAATATTTAACATTCTATATAAAAAGTAAAAAGACATGCAGCATTATACTAACAGATATTTTATTGACCACAAACTTTCGTTCATTCAGTCATCTGACGAAACGAAAGCTTGTGCTCAATAGAATATTTTTGTTAGTCTTAATAATGCTGCCTGTTTTTACTGTTTATATAGTTCTTAAAGCTCGGTTTCCATACATTCATTTTACGCTATCGGTGACAGCTTTCGGTGATGATGATTGGTTGGTCGAATCAGAGATTGCTTTGGGGACTGCTACCCACTGCAGCAATTGCACTGAAAACAGTGTAGAGACAGTGTAGCGATTTTAAGGAATCCAGGCTTGACTCGGCTAACCCATTAGTGCATATATAAATGAAAGAATATAAATCTTGTCTTATAGTCTGTTGTTGCAAGAGGTCTTCTTGATGGCATTGCAGAGCAATCTAGCTATGTCCCAGTCTACATGAACTTCTCTGCACAGACCAGCAGCATAAGGACCCAGGAGATTATTGAAAGCAAACTGGAGAAAAAGCGGAAAAATATAATTGGTAGGGGAATGATTAAATTAAAATTACATTATAATTTGTCCAGTTCCATAATGTTTTTATGTGGTAGATTTAACATGTCTTGATATATCATCATAGAAGACATGATCTTGTGTTTTACTAAAAAGGCAGCCTTATGGTCTCTAGATGAGGGCACATGTCTTATCACCTATACCAAGTACACAAAGCATATCGTTTCAACTTTACAGTAATATGAGGTGTTATATGCTTTTTTTAATGACAGGTGCTCCGACAGGTAAAAGGGTCATAATCTTTGTTGATGACCTGAACATGCCTAAACTGGACACATACGGATCTCAACCACCAATTGAATTACTCAGACAATTCCAAGATTTCAAAGGCTTTTATGATCGGGAGAAGCTATTCTGGAAGGATATTCAGGCATGCTTTTATATTTTATGTTTTAGTAATAAAAATAAGAGATAACTACATTTATTTATTTATTTACATTTTATCATTTTATACATTTTTAAGTAATTTTGTTAATGACATTGCTCTTGAAAGAATCCTAATAAAATTCATAAAATCCTGATAATTATGGAATTAAAAATATAATTGTTTTGTACAGTATATTTATGCCAATTATTTATTTTGATAAAGCATAACAAAGTTATGATACTGTAATTATGGTATAGCTTGAATTAATGTTTACATAACATTGCTATTTTCTGCTATTATTATTCTTCTGCCATCTTCTTTTGGAAATTACATTTCTTTTAACATTACCTTTGATTGTTTTTGCAGGATGTGACACTTGTTGCAGCATGTGCACCACCTGGGGGTGGTCGTAATCCTGTCACTCCGCGTCTGATGCGCCATTTTAGTATGTTTTGCATTCCAGTGGCGACAGATCATACACTCAAGCATATATTCAAGGTAAGTTCTTTTCAATCTTCTAATGCAGGTAATTTAAATATTTTATTCTCAAAATCTTTATTAAATAAAACATGGGTGTGTTGTTTATAGGTCATTCATTTTTAATCGAATGGTTCGGAGAGAGAAATGCTTGCTTTATCTGCGGTTTTGAGATCAATCTCAATGATGCCTTAGGCAAGGATTTTTTCATATACAAAATCAAATCACAAAAAATGCTAATTTTATTTTAGTGTGAATTACCTTACTAATTACTGATCAATATGCGACTCATTTGCTTATTTATGTAGTGTTCATTTATTTATTAGTTACTTTCAGTGGAATTGACAAGTTCATAATAGTATCACTTAATAACATAACTTTAAAATATGCAATAAAAACAGTTCTGTAATGTAGAAATATGTACCTAACTGCATGCCAGTTGTCTACATTACCCAAATACAAACTGATTTAATTATTTTCCGGCATTTTCAACTTTCAGTCAATTATAAGTGGGTTCTTCCAAGAATTTGCACCGGCAGTGAAGCAATCTGCAGAGGCAATTGTCGGCGCTGCTGTTGAGATCTACGGCCGTATGAGCACGGACCTGTTGCCTACGCCGGCCAAGTCCCATTATGTCTTTAATTTGAGAGATTTATCTAAGTGTGTCCAAGGTATGTATCTTGTAACTCTCAGATAAATTGATGTTGGGTTGATTTTTTTTTGGGATTTGTAATCTTATTCTTAAGAATGTTTTATATGATTTGTTACTCTGTAAAAAGAAAAACAGTCTACCTCATTAGACAAAGTTCAAAGTTTATCAACATTTTATTATCATTAATCGCAGTTATAAGTAATATAACAACATTCATTTAGGAAAGATGGGTACGATGATTGAGTATTTGGGTAGGGTTCCAAAATCTTTAAGGATGCATGAACCTGTGTTTTTCAAAACAGTTTGTTTTTGGGTGAGTTTTACATTTTTAGAAATCGCATCATTGTTATTTGTTTATGTTGTTTTGACACAGGTGTATTGCAAGCTGATCCTAGTATAATCAGAGATCAGACAGCCATTTTCCGGCTTTTCTGCCATGAATGTCAGCGTGTTTTCCATGACCGTCTTATAAATCAGGCAGACAAGAACTTTTTTAATGAGATCACTGCAGAGATGGCCAGCAAACACTTTGGCCAGAATGTTGAGCCTGAATCTTTTGTGACAAAACCAATTATTTTTGGAGATTTTATGAAGATGGGAGCAGATCCAAGCGACAGATTCTATGAGGATATCACAGATCTGAATAAACTAAAGACAGTCCTGAATGATGTAAGATTCTTTTTGCTCTATACCACTATTTTTTTAACTTTTTTGTCATCCACACTTAATGTAAAAATGCATGCCTTGCCATGAATTGGGTGGTTGCTGATGGTGCACCAGCTTTTGAAAGCCAATATTCTTCACTCTCTTTTATGTTTGTATTTTACCTGAAAGTATTTACATGTTTGTTGAATTAGTTTAACTATAGTTGATTTGGATAAACACACACACACACACTTAAAAAGTACCATGTGACAAGTCATGTTTACTGCTTGTAAATGCCAAGAAATTCTTAATACTTACACATTCTATTGTTATTTATCTTTTAGTATCTTGATGATTTCAACATGAGCTCTTCAAAAGAAATGAAACTTGTATTCTTCTTGGATGCCATGACCCATGTTGCTAGGTAAACTTTGTTGGTAGTAATTATTTTGTATAGATTTGTTTGTTTTTACTTTATTTTGGTATTTTTGTAATTATTTATGTATTCCTTGTTTTTTAACATTTAAATGTTTTTAAATTTTAAACTGTTTCTCTGTGGTTAAGGTAGGCAAAAATAGCCTGCTTGTCAATATTTTCTGGAGCATTATTATTTCTGTTACTTTTCATAGGATTGTCCGCATGATCCGCCAGGAAAGAGGAAATGCCCTGCTAGTTGGCGTAGGGGGTACTGGAAAACAGTCACTGACACGCTTAGCCTCCCATATCTGTGGATACCAATGCTTCCAGATAGAGTTGAGTAGAGGCTACAACTACCAGTCCTTCCATGATGATCTTAAAAAGCTATACATGCTTGCAGGGGTTCAGAACAAGAATACAGTCTTCCTTTTCACTGACACACAGGTATTTATTAGTAGAAACTTCAAATATAACATATACAATTTGTTTACTCCTCTTGAAAACATGGGTGTATATAAAAGTATATTTTTAATTTTATAAATCTGATTCTGGTGGATTGTAATGTAGCAAATAAAAATCCACTGTGCTAAATGCTCTGCTATAGTATTGGTAGAAATATTAATTATGTATTATAATTAATAACAATTGATAAAAACAATTACATAAGGCTTAAATTGTATACAAGGCTGAGAACAATCTACTATCATTAAATAAGTATATTAACATTTTTTTAGTTTTATTGTGTTACAAATGGTGAATTGGTTTTTCAGTCTTCAGGCCATTACTGTATGTTATACAGTATGTTTGTGCATTTTAGATAATTATGTGTTGCTTTTAACAGTTGATTTGCTCAACCAGCATAGAAGACTAACATTTGATAAAACTTTCATTGGTAGATCATGATGTTAGGTTATTTAGGCTATGTTCAGACTTGGAGATAAGCCAAGCTTACGTTAAGCCCAGCTCAAGGTTAAGTTGGGCTTAACTTTGCCGACCTTTCAGACTAGCGACGTTAACCAGGAAACGAGTTTCGAAACATTGCGCTCCAAAAGTACGCTTGCTCACAGAAAGCATAATTGAATGGTGATTGGTCATTTTTTTACCCAAAGTCAACGTAAGACCATTACGGCGATTAAAGCCCGGCTTAAAAAAGTTAAACACGGTGGCACGCCAGGCCTAATTACTATAGGAACACATCCCGGCTTGAGATAAGCCACCTAGTTCAGACTGGCATGTGGATAAACCCGGTGAGTTGACCTGGGTTTATCCACCTATTCTGAACTAGGCCTCAATGTCTAATAATAATACTAAGTTAGATTTAATATAATATAATATACTAATCTACTTAATCTTTGTTTTGTAAGATTGTTGTGGAAGAATTCCTTGAAGATATTAACAACATTTTAAATTCTGGAGAAGTGCCAAACTTATTTGAATCTGATGAGTATGAACAAGTGATCATTGGAACAAGACCAGCAGCAAAGGAGGCCGGTATCCCAGAAGGCAATCGAGACGAAATCTTCACATATTTCATCAACCAGGTTCGCAGGAACCTTCACATTGTGCTTTGCATGAGCCCGGTTGGTGATTCATTCCGTGCACGTTGTAGGATGTTCCCATCACTGGTGAACTGTTGCACAATTGACTGGTTCACTGAATGGCCAGAAGAAGCTCTTTTGTCTGTTGCAACTAACTTCTTTGAACATGAGAATCTTGGAGCTGACGATATGAAGGTAGAATAGCAGATATATTTGAATATTTCCTTACCAACCCTCTTGAGGCCAAGTGGTCTGTAAGCCCTAAGCATAGTATATACTTTAAATGTGCCCTCCCCTGTGAAATACAGGTGTAGCAAACTGTTGTTTGAAGGTAAAAGGTAGCTGTTTGTAGAATGCTATACATTCTTTGAAAATGAGCAGGGGATTGTCTGTGCCTTCTCAAACTCACCACTAGGGGTGCATTGCTGCTGCCCTGTGTAGCCAGGGGCACAGCTCTGATTCTCTAGGTACTCAACTTGAACAAATAGAGATACTATTGCTTACTTACTTTTTTTGGTTCTGTTTTGTAGGAGAAGATATCCAATATGTGTGTTGAGATCCATACCAGTGTGAGCAGCATTGCAGAGCGTTTTTACTCTGAGCTTCGTCGACGCTACTACACGACACCAACTAGCTACCTTGAACTTATCAACCTCTATCTCAGCATGCTGGATACTAAACGAAAGTATGTCCATGTTCATTTGTTTAAGCAGACATTCAATTCTTAATGGTGTATACTTACTTGTTCTTATTGATACTGAGTGATTAATTCAGAAGCATTTTTTTAACAGGCAACTAGTCAATGCAAGAGATCGTGTAAAAAATGGACTCACTAAATTACTAGAGACAAATGACCTCGTGGCTGAAATGGAGGTCACACTGACAGCTCTCGAACCTGAGTTGAAGAAGAAGTCTGCAGACACAGAACTGCTGATGGAAAAGTTGTCAGTTGATCAAGAAAAGGCAGATCAGGTAGGGTTCTGTATTTACCAGTTAACTTGAGCAGAAAGTTATTTTTTACCGATTTGGATTTATTATAACTTTACATGGTTATGCTCCTGACAATAATGGTTAAACACATTGGGTATTAGATATCGGATGACCAGCAGAACCCACAATACACAGTGCATAATACAACATATTACCACAGTATCAATGTTATTAAGTGACACATATAATGTAATATGACTTTATGTTATTTTCATAGCTAAACAACTTGAATATCTACATTTATAAACGAAGGAATACGTGTACACAATAAAGTTGATAGTATGTCAGATAGCTAATTTGTTAAACTATTTTATAATGAGTAAACGAAGGTTTTTAGTTAAATAGTTTTTAATTTGTATTGTTATGTTTTGTATTTTAACCATTGCAATAATTTGTTGAATAGGTACGTAAAGTAGTGTTGGAGGATGAAGCTGTAGCCAAGGTGAAAGCAGAGGAGACGCAAGCCATCGCTGATGATGCTCAGAGGGATCTCGATGAGGCACTGCCTGCCCTTGAAGCTGCTCAGAAGGCCCTTGATTCACTGAACAAGAGTGACATAGCAGAGTTGAAGGTGTTTAGCACGCCACCTGATCTTGTCATGACCGTGATGGAGGCTGTCTGTATTGTGCTCTTTGTGAAGTAAGTGTAATAATAATTAAGATGAATAATAGTTTTAATAGATTACTGATTATTATGATTTTAATGATAAGGAATTTTTTATGATGATGACAATGATACTGATGGGGGTGGTATACATTTGGGATGATGAAGATGATGGTGATGATTCTAATATTGATAATTACTTTAAAGTAATAATGATGACAATGATTAGTGCTTATGATGTGATTTTTTTTGTATTTGAAATGATTTAATTGTAGTAATTCCATTTAGGAATAAAGTAATTTTGTCTATTATCTTTACCTTTTTTTCTCAGACCTGATTGGCCGAGTGCTAAAGGGTTGCTAGGTGATCCAACCTTTTTAAAGAAACTGATGGAATATGATAAAGACAACATCCCAGATTCTCTGTTGAAGAAACTCAAAAAGTACATTGATAACCCCAAGTTTGTTCCTGATATTGTTGAGAAAACCTCAAAGGTACATAACACTACCTCATCTGATTCCATTTATTGATCTAATTTTAAGCCTAGTAGACACGCTCTGTGGACACTTGCCTCATGCCACGCCAATCAGCTGACCATCTGTGGCGGTCTTGTTAGAAAATCCATAACACCATGCATGGTCACGTCACTGTCTCATTGAATCGTATCAGCTGTTGACGCCAAAGCAGTCAAAAACATGTCTATTTCCTGAATATTTACCTGAATAAACCGGTATATGCCAATTTTTATTTAGGAACTTACCTAAAAAAAAATGATGGAATCGTCCAACCCAGGCTTATAATGCAACAATTTTATGTAACAGGCCAACAACATCACTTCTGTTTTGTGTGATTTGAAAGTTACCTTTATTTTCAGGCATGCAAGTCAATGTGTATGTGGGTGAGAGCTATGGATCTGTATGCCAAGGTGTTTAGGACAGTGGAACCTAAAAAGAAAAGGTAAGAATAATTCAAACGTTTTCTAGTAAGGTGGCATTGTATAGTTATTATTTTTATGATTGATTGATTGATTGATATGTTATTTGGCTCAGTTATTAATATTTTGATTGGCTTATGTAAAAAGATAGAAATACATTTTATTTTGATTAGTTAGGCTGATTCAATTCAATTCGATCCAGTTGATTGGCTGAGAAAGCAAGGGTTACTACTCATATGAAATTCACTTACAAACCATACATTAAATGGATAATCTTAATTTTCTACAAAAGTTTACCCCTTCCTATCTTCAAAATGATGGAGAAAATATTTTTTTTTTCAATTTGTTTGTTTAATTTGTTTGGTTCATTCACAGTGAGGTGATTGGTTGTTTTATTGACTGATCGATTGGTTGATTGATTAATTGATTTCCTGATTGGTTGTTGTTGAGTAACTATTCATTTTTATATGTTAAATACAGATTGAAAGAAGCTGAGGAGGAGCTTAGCAACACTATGGCTGTTTTGAAAGAGAAACAGGACAAACTAGCAGAGGTAGAAGGCAAGATTGCAGAGCTCCAAGCCTCGTACGAGGCCAGTGTTAATGAGAAAGAATCCCTGAAGAGGAATATGGCCCAGACTAGCGCTAGATTGAAACGGGCTGGCAAGTTGACTACTGCATTGGGTGATGAACAGATCCGTTGGCAAGAGAGTGTTAAGGTATGGAGTTATTATTTCAATTAAGGATTAGACATTGATATTATCATACCCATGATAAAAGATATTATCAAGGAATATAACATTTAAATGCAAATGATGTTAATACTGTCTTGACTTACAGGATTTTGAGAAGCAGATTGGAAATGTTGCGGGCAATGTGTTCGTAGCAGCTGCTTGTGTTGCCTACTATGGTGCATTCACAAGTTCCTTCAGACAGGAACTTGTCAACCGCTGGATGGTTCGATGTCAAGAGCTGGAGATCCCAGTCAGTGAAGACTTCAGTCTAATCAAGGTCCTTGCTGATCAATTTGAAATCAGGCAGTGGAATTCTGATGGGTTGCCCAGAGATACAGTGTCAACAGAAAATGCTGTTCTGGTTACTAGAGGGCGACGTTGGCCTCTAATGATTGATCCACAAGATCAGGTGAGTTTACTCTTGTGAACAATTTTATAAATTTTTCTTGTGTAAATTCCAACTGAACATTGGAAATTACTTGTTGTTTTATCATGGTAAATTTTTGACTCATATCTTATCGCAATTGATTTGAAAATCTAATGAAGAATATCCCATAAGATAATTAACTTTGATTTTGTAGGCCAATCGTTGGATTAGAAATCGTGAGTCCAGAAATGGTTTGAAGATTATTAAGCTGACAGACAAGGATTTCTTGCGCACTTTAGAGACAGCCATTCGTATTGGATTACCTGTCCTTCTTGAAGAACTTGGTGAATCTTTAGATCCAGCCCTCGAACCAATTCTCCTTAAACAAACATTCATGCAGGTAAGCCTAACATTAATGTTACCTTCACAAAAGCATAACAATGCCTGTTGGGATTTATAAGCCCAATGTTATGTTAATTTTTTTTATAGACTAAGTACAATTCTAACTATACTATTTTAAAAATAAACTAGAGTAGGTAAACTAATGTGTTTTGTCTTGATTTAGGGTGGTCGTCTCCTGATACGACTCGGAGATAGTGACATTGATTATGACAAAAACTTTAGATTTTATATGACAACAAAGATGGCGAACCCACATTACCTTCCAGAAGTCTGCATCAAAGTGACCATTATAAACTTCACAGTAACCAAGTCCGGACTTGAAGATCAACTCTTGAGGTAACCAGAGAGACTTTTTTTAAGGCTGTGGCTATTATTACACCAATTCTAAATGTATTTCTAATTATGATTGGATGTTATTTTATGTATAGATTGGATTTGACAATAGAGTTCGCCATCCAATTTGAGACCATCTTTGTTACCTGAAAATTTGGGGTGGTCTCAGTGTACGGTCTCCAAATAGAGGGTTAGCTTTGTGTTAAAATATTGAAGATTGTTATTTAGTTCTTTGAAAAAATGGTCTCGATTTAGAGTTGTATTGGAATTAGAGGCGGTCTCGAACTGGAGTGTGCACTGTAATATCCAATCAAAAGTGGTGTAAAAATAGCCACTACCTTTTCTTAAATAGATAATTATTTTAAAATTCTTATTAAATAAACTCTAATAAAAATTGATAATCAATATTATAGTAGTTGCTATTATAATATTATTAATATTATTTGTATTGATGTTATTTAGTGATGTTGTGAGACTTGAACGACCTGATCTAGAAGAGCAGCGTAATCAGTTGATTGTGCGTATCAATGCTGATCGCAACCAACTGAAAGCAATTGAAGACAGAATTCTCAAGTTGCTGTTCGAATCTGAAGGAAATATTTTAGACAATGAAGAACTGATAAACACACTCAATGAATCAAAGGTAAGAACTTTCCTTAATGTGTAGTGCAATAATATTAACATTTGTTTTGTGAATACATAACTTGATAAACTAATAAAATTCTCTACTAAGTGAGAATATCATTCAAATATTAATGGAACAGTCAGCTCGTGAAATCATACTATAATGCTCCTAACTGAAAAAATTATAAATATGAAATGTTGCACACATACACAGATCCATATGAAGAGTGGGCTATTAACAGGATCTAAATATTGATAATAAAAAGTAAATTATTAGCAGAATTTGTTAGATAACAATTTTTTGTTGTTAGATAACAATTTTTTGCATTTTTTCAAGGTTACCTCAGGTGTGATTACAAATCGTCTGAAAGAAGCCGAGTCTACAGAGGAGAAGATCTCATTGGCCCGGGAGAAGTACCGTGGTGTTGCTTCGCGTGGTTCAGTGATGTACTTTGTGGTTGCGTCATTGGCAGAGATCGATCCTATGTACCAATTCTCCCTCAAGTACTTCAAGAATGTAAGTAGTCTCTCCTCAACAGTCACTGTTTTTGTATTTAATATTGTGCTATAATAATGTAAATGGTTTTTTATGAGCTGAAGTCATTTTCAATCGTCTATGCTTCTTGTGAGGGTCTTGGTTCTCCATCCTCTTGATTGGTATTACGGCACATTTATGTACATACACTCCATGAGTGTTAGGATAAATTAGCATACTGAACATCTTGCTTTCAAATGTTTTCAGTAAAGCTCTGCTGAGATTATCATTGTTTTCTTTGACAAAAAACTGTGTATGCCCATATTTAGTCATAGTGTTCCTATATATGTTCAAGAGGTGATGTCATCATGACCTTATTTAGGCTGTCACATGTTTTTGTCAAATAATGTTCGATAGTTGCGACATTGCTTAACTACATGTATTGCATACATGGTACCTTTGTTACATAACTAGCATTTATCATATTGCTAAGACATTCATCAAGAATGGCATTACATTAATTTTTGTCACATAAATTGGCAACATTTATGATTTCTTTCAGCTGTTCAACACTTGCATTGAAAACAGTGAGAAGAGTGATGACCTAATGAAACGGCTTGGGATTTTGCTTGAGCAGACCACAGTGGCCGTCTACTCTAATGTTTCACGGTTGGAACTGCAGATTAATTTTTATACAAAGATCTAATGATCATATTGAAATATTGTAATTAATAATTAGAAATAATTCTTTTTAACGATACTCTTGGGGGAAGAGGCACAAATTCATCTTGCCCTCGGACAGTAGCTATGTGATCAATTAATAACAAATATGTCAGCCGTAATAATATGATGCGAAGGTCTAAGATTTTCACACCTTCTGTTTGATAGCCATAATAGTAATGCTTGTACTGTATATTTAAAAAACTTGTTTCTGTAATTTAGCTTCTGGCTGCAGTGTGATATATAATACCCCAACCATTGGTAGAAACTTATGAAACATAAACTATTTTGTTTCTAGATGTGTATTCCATAATGCTGCAAAAAATCTATAAAAAGTCATATGCTAGATCTTTAGATTTTGTTTTCTCTATCAATCGTCAATGCTTCAATAACAATTAGGAGCTGTTTTTGGCATAAGCCACTAATATATAAGTCAAATTTATTGTTATGCTCCTTGGTAAAGAGAGACAATGTAAATATATTGCCTGGCCCAGGGACAGAAACGAGTGACCAGCTTTGGACATAAGTAATAATGTACTTTTCTTTACAACAGTGGTTTATTTGAGGTGCATAAATTAGTGTTCTCATTCATGCTATGTGGAGATATCATGCGCCTGGATGGCAAGATAACTGATAACGAGTGGAACTTCTTCTTAAGAGGTGCCGCAGTGGTTGGCCAGGTGATGCAATTTATTTGAAAAATTCATAAGTTTAAATTAAACTTTATATGTGTCTGCAAATGTTAATTTGATAATCACAATATTCTAATTGTATACAAATTTGTTAAATTGTACATTAAAATCTATTGAATTATGTTCTTTTACACATTTTGTAAGTTGTAGCTATGTACACAACAAGTAGAATTTTGAAATCTGTTTAGTTTTAATGTACAATTCTGTTTTTTTTTTCTTTTAAAGGACGAAAAAGTGAAGCCAGATATTCCATGGTTGACAGAAGCAACATGGAAAATTTGCTGCGACCTTGAACAAAATATTCCAGCGTTTAAAGGATTGACCCGTGATGTGATTGCCACACCAGTAGCGTGTAGTATGGGACGATTACAGGTATAGCGCCTTAAAGCTAGTTTTAATTGTGAATATAGGTATAAATGGCCAAATGTTTGTTGTTATGATCTTGTTTGAAAATGCAGTTATGAGTTTCTTCTTCTTGTTATCCTCAGGTTCAAGCCAACCCGGAGAAGTGGGATGGATATGGGCCAACTCCACCTCCCTATGCTCCTCCACCCGAAGTAGAGGGCGACGAAGCTGCACCGCAAGATGATGGAAAGGTCAAAGGTCACTGGAATGAGCGTTTGACAAGCTTCCAAAGGTTGATGATGGTTAAATCATTCATGGAAGAGAAGGTATATTGGAATGATTTGATAACTTAAAAAATTGGTTTTATTTTAATTTTGTAATTTACATTGTTCTTTAAAACAGTTTTATGATATTACTGTTGCTTGTTTTTCAATGAGATCATAAACTACACATTATTTCTTGTACTGTGTTTTAAGGTTGTGTTTGCAGTCACTGATTTTGTGAGTGAGAACCTCGGTAAACGTTTTGTTGAGAATCCTCCGATTGATCTTGCGACTCTGTACCAAGACATGACGCCATCCACACCGCTGGTCTTTGTTCTTAGCACTGGATCAGATCCCATGGCAGCGTTTCAACGATTTGCCCGGGAGAGGAATTACCTGGATAGAATCCAAGCAATCTCTCTTGGCCAGGGCCAGGGACCTGTCGCAGAAAAGATGATAGAAGCTGCAGTCAAAAATGGGGATTGGATATTTCTTCAGGTAAAACACAGTAGCCTGTGGTTTTCAAACTTTTCGATAGTGATGATTGTAATGAAAAGGGCTTTTAAACATTATAAATTAGTAAGAAAGCTATTACAAAATCATTTGTAATGAATCTGTCCTGATAGGAATAAAATGAAATAAACTAAGAATAGCTTCATAAAACAGACTATTGTAGAGGAAGCAAATGTTTTTATGTTGTTCACAGAGTAAAAAAAACATTCTGTTTAATGGCTTGCAAATATCAACATATCTCTGTAATTAGCCATCTTTATTGTGTATTATCGTGTTTCATAATACAATAATACACAATAAAATAATACAATAATACAAAATAAAGAAGGAAGAATACAGAGATAGGTTGATATTGTTGTGTATTATCATGTTTCAAAAACTCTTTCTATATTCATTTTGGTAGAACTGTCATTTGGCCGCATCTTGGATGTTGAGCATGGAAGAGATCATATTAGCAATGGGAGAACCAGGTGCAGAAATCAACCCTGACTTCCGACTCTTCCTCAGCTCCATGCCCACCAAAGTGTTCCCTGTCTCTGTGCTTCAGAACAGTGTGAAGGTCACCAATGAACCCCCGAAAGGCCTCCGGGCTAATATTCGACGGGCTTTCTTTGAACTAACACCGTCTCATTTTGAAGAACACAGTAAGTTCTATGAAGGTTACCTTCTTTGTTGACTGGTATAGGTGTTGTTAAGTAAGGTGCTTTTATAAAGAGTGAGGTAAATGTTTGGACTTTAAGACAACTTCCAAAAGTGACTTATGAAAGATGAATTGCAATAATAATTAGCGGTCTGATTTTTCTACTCGTACTCTTGTCATGAGTTCAGAGTGTCATTATATAATTGGCCAAAGTTTTCTACACAATTATAATGTACTTCTAGTTCAAAATATATACCAAATATCCTTAAGTATCAATAATTTCAAATAATTATGTGTATGCATTTTCCTGTTGATCAGATTTTTAGTAGCATCCAAAACAATTCTTTGAGTAATGGTTGGCTCTTCTGTTTTTTTGTAGTTCTTGGTATTAAGTGGCGTAAAATGATCTTTGGCGTGTGTTTGTTCCATGCCATCATACAAGAGAGGAAGAAGTTTGGTCCACTTGGCTGGAATATTAAGGTAAAGTTTAAAAAACAAATAAAAGACAAAAAATGTAATAATTTTAATATCTAATGAAATTATTGTGGAAAACATCTTTTTATAAGAAAAGTTTGATAATGAAACTCAACATTTAAAAAATAAAAATTGAAAAAAAGACATTAATCAAAATAATTGTTAGAAAATTTAAATTCATTGTTATAAAATTTAATATATTAAGTGCTTGCGGTACACCACAAAGATAGTTCTGAAAAGAACTGTTGTTTTTGTTGACAATGTTGTGACGTTGTGATTGAGTTGCTTCAGTCGTCAGGAGAATAATATCTGCAGAGAGTTCAAACAAAAAAAATTAATGTAAAAAAAAAAATTAATGTTAAATAGATCATTTGTGCATAATTACCATTGGTTTCTATTATTAGTTTTTACCTGCCATATTTTATGTTACAGTATGAGTTTAATGATAGTGACAGAATGTGTGCCCTGGAGAACCTCAAGATGTTCCTAGATGATGGAGAGATCCCATGGGATGCACTGCAGTACATCACTGGAGAGGTATTGTGCTCTCATTCAGATATTGAATTTGTATGCAATCAACACAAACATGTGGATGTCAAATGGATTTTGTATATTTATAGTGCATAATATGGAGACAAGCCTAGATAAATATATAATTGCAAAAGATTTTTAAACAGAATGCAGCCTGACAGAATGTATCATTCCTCCATCATGCTGTATAACACAGGTGGGCATAGTGCGGCCCGAGAGTGGTTTTTTTGCGCCCAGGAAAATGAATTAAAAACCTAATGTGTGCGGCACGCCAAGCAAGCAACATTGGCTAGAAAATACCTTGTTTTTTACAGCCCGGCACCGATTATATGCAGAAAGTAACATTAATACTGAGAATAAAGTGGTGTAAAAGCAGTGCTTGGAGGTTTTTGGAAGCAAACATCAAAGTTTTGGTGTGGCCCTCTGTGTTAAATCAAAAATCAACTTTGGCATTCCAACCGATTTTTATGCCCACCCTTGCTGTATAACAACACCATAGGCAACCTACCTCATTTTCAGCAATATGCTATTTTTTTTTTCCGTGCAGATCACATATGGTGGCCGTGTAACAGACGCCTGGGATCAGCGGTGCTTACGTACAATACTCAAAAGATTCTTCTCGCCCCAAATTCTAGATGAAAATTACAAGTTTTCTGAATCTGGTGTGTTGTGTTTCTTCCCTAGCAATTTTTCTTTCTAATCTTGTCTATCTGCCATTAAATAATTAAATAAAAAATTAATAATAGTAATAAAAATAAAAGAATAGATGATGTGTTTAAGGCTTATCCACACATTGATAATGTAGACAAATGGCGGTCTTTTTAAATATAGCTAGTTAATAGCAATGGTTTCTAATTATGGATCATTATATTGTGATGATTATAGCTGGCTAAGCGTTTATGAGCATCTACCTGTGTATTAAAGCATGCGATTGCTGTTTGCAACCGACTGCTTTCAACAGACATTGAATGGTGTGTTACTTTATTAGTGTATGAGAGCCATTTGTAGATTAACAGTAGAAAGTAATCAAGGAATTTTTTTCTTTTGTAGGTATCTACTTCTGCCCAGACTATGATACCTTGCCAGAATATCGGCAATACATTGAAGATTTACCAATCATAGACGAGCCTGAGATATTTGCTATGCATGAAAATGCAAACATTGCATTTCAGGTTAGTAACAATGATATTAATATATTAATAAGAAAATAATAGGAATAAATAAATTATTTTTACAATGGTAAAAGCTTGTACAGGTATCCACAAGATTTTTTTAAATAGTAAAAGTATGCGTGTTATTTATAGCATATCATAATACTTGATTTTTACGATTTTGTTTAGAAACAAGAAACAAAGTCCATGATTGACACTATTTTGGAAGTTCAACCTCGTCTGGCTTCTGGAGGAAGTGGCAAGACCAATGATGATATTGTATATGAGCTCGCAGAAAACATCCTTGGCAAGGTGCCAGAAAAACTGGACATAGAGATTGCCAACCAGGAGATGTTCAAGGTACAATTGGCACATACAAATACCTGTTTTTTGGGGGGTTTTTTTGCATCTCCAATAGACTCGTTTTCAGGGAAGAACCTGGAAGTAACGATCACAAATTTAATTACTGTATGTTTGTTCGTTGTTGATTTTCTTTATGGTGGCACCCTTTAAGCCTTGGCATTTTGGATGAAACTAAGAAAAAGGGCTTAGCAGTCAGCGTGTTAAAGCTTGTTGGAGTGTGAATATTTTTTTTCTTTAAATTATGGGAACTTGGGACCTTGGGTTTAGAACGTGGGCACTTAATGCACAAGTTAAAATTCAAATTTATTCATTCTTCACATATAAAATGTAAAAGTAATAGTAAATTCACTGATTTACTACTGTAATTCTGGTACAGAAGTATTCCTGTCTGTAGCTTTCTCACTTTATTTTCTTTTGACTATGATTATTGGTTTTTTTTTTTCAGACTGATAGTAAAGGACGTACGAACTCATTAACCACCGTACTCTGTCAGGAGGTTGACAGGTTTAATGGTCTCCTGAAAGTCATTAAGGTAAGATTCTTATACCTGATTAATGCAAGATAAAATGTCAAAGTGAATGCATGTTAAATGTTTCAAAGACTTTCAAAGACTTTCAAAGATCTTCCTACCGAAATCATTATTTCTTCACATAAGTAATTTAAAACTTGCTAATTTATACACAGGCAGTGAAGATAATAAAACTGCAGTAAAGAAATGTGTCCTGGATGTGTTATAGGCCTCTGTGATTTTTTTTTTACCTCGATAGTACATGGGACATTGCTAATCTTAAATTGGTATATTTACATTGATAATTTTTCCCTAGTCTACTGACGATTTTGTTACATATATTAGCATGAATGAATTTATAATACCCCCATGGTATTAGTCATTGAAAATTACATTATAACAGGGAATGCTGGTTAAATTTTTCATAATAAGTTTTTGTAATTTTCCAGAAAAAGTGTGTAAGTTAGTGAAAACAAGACTATTTCTGTCTGTGTCTCTTCAAAATTGGATAAGAATCATCCTTATTATTTAATTCAGTTTAAACTATCTTTATTGACATAATTTTCAATGATTGCCAAATTCCTTCCTCAGAACTCTTTGAGGACCATTCAGAAAGCTATCAAAGGATTAGTGGTGATGTCAGAAGAATTAGAAGCTGTTTACAACAGCTTTCTGAATAACCAAGTACCAACCCTATGGTCCAATGCAGCTTACCCCTCCCTCAAGCCACTTGCTTCCTGGGTCAAAGATCTAGAACTCAGGTGTGGATTTATTGGGGTAAGTCACATGCTATGCAAATTTTCTAATATTAGAATTAACGCTTCTATCAACTGTATAAAGTAGCTCAGCTATAAATACATACAGTAGTGTCATAATCATTTGTTCTTTATTTATAAACATGGTTTTATTTTAGTCAGTGAATGTGTCATTTGTTGTATTAAATTTGTTATTTAAAAGTAAACTGTAGTACTGATTGTTGTATTAATCGTGGTTATGAATACTCAGATGATTTTGATTGATATGGGATTTTTACAATTTATTTCTTCAGCATTGGATTGAGCATGGACCCCCCAAGTCATTCTGGCTGTCTGGGTTCTTCTTTCCTCAAGGTATTTATTGTTGGAGGAAATGAGGGTAATTTATATATGGTGATATAATAATGCATTCTGCAGAAAACCTCAATGCACTGTATAATAACAAAATACAGAGGATACATACAAAAATCCCACAATAGGGATGAATGTTGTTGATTATGCTAATAATATTGATAATAATGAGTAGGAATATAAAGTAATATCATACTTTATTTACTTTTTTTCAAATATCAAGTATAACTTTATTTCAATTCAAATTCAAACATCAAATGAAATAGTAAAAACAAGTAGCATGGCATAAATGAAAGAACAGAGATGAAGAATTGAGATAGAAAGGGACATTCAAAACCAGCAAAGCTTTCCCCCATGAAGTCCTGTAAAACTATACCCCGCTGTATTTTTACAATAAGATTTTCAGGGTTAAAATAAAGAGGTTAAAAAAAATAAAAAAACTTTAATCAAAGTTACACTATAATAATACATAACATGACTGTAATGAAGATAATGATTATGATGATTTCGATGAAAATATGAATTATGTTTAAATTTTGTGTTCAGGTTTCTTAACAGGGACACTTCAGAATCATGCAAGGAAATACGACTACCCAATTGATCAACTGACATTCCGCTTTGATGTTCTACCTGTCTATAGACATCAAGCAGAGGTTGCTGCGCTGATGGAACAACTCTCATTTGGACAGAAACTAGATGCTGATAAAGAGGTAAGTTGAAGGAATACACACGCGTTTCCATCACAGAGCATGCTCAGATAGTAGACAATTATTTAAACGTATGCATATCAGTTAACTGTGGTATATAACTAGCATAGTCAATGTTAGTCTATAATACAACGATAAAAATGATGAAAAAGACAGCGTTTTACAAACTAACAACATGCAATATTCTGAAGCTTTCAACCAGATAGACTTCTTCAGGACACATTTTCCTGATAAAATTACTGTGAATGTAAGCTGTAGAATATTGAATCTATTTTTGTGAATATTTATGCAGATAAACAAGGCACAATGGGTTTTTTAAAGTGCACAGATGTGGACATTGGACCTCCATTTTAAGTCCTCATCCAAGAAGAGTTGGTTCTACCAACCAAAAATTTAGCATGGGGTGTCAGAACCAGCACCGATGTTAAGGCTGTAGTTAGTGGCGCCCCTGCTTCATTATCGGCCACTCAGCTCACCTAAAACTGAAAGTAAAGCCCAGTTTTTCATCATTAATATGTTTAGTTAGTATAACATATTATAGGTTGAGCATGGTAAGCTTAGGAGTTGTGGTGATTAGCATAGACCTAAACATACTACTTGTACTTGTATATACCTGTATATATTTATTTTTACATCAGTTGATTTCATATTCTATGTATCATTCACTAGATAACATGCAGTTGTGTCAAGGATGATGTGAGATTCTGTTATTCATTTAATTGAAGTTGAATTTTAAAAAACTAATTACAGTTGTTTATTTACAAAGTATTTGTTTTTATAATTATTTAACAAGTTGTATTAAATAATGTTAAGCTTTTAACCAGGGTTGTTTTCACGATTGCCTGTTATAGTGACCATATTCAGATTGGTAGCTGAGTCGTGAAATGAGGCTCCTTAATGCATCTTAGCCAATCTCAAATTTTGACAGATCTGGATGCTTCATTGCAACAGGCTATGCAGACCAGAAAGGATGACAGCTAATAAGGAAATTCTGACTTGTTTAAAAAAAGAAAAAATGATATTACTAATTGTTAATTGTTGATTTATAAAGTTATTTACATTTATAATTGAATTGATTGTTGACTTAAGTTACTTACATTTATAATGGATATTTATTAATAATATTCATCGTATTAATTTTTTTCGATTATTATTATTATTTTTTTTAATTAATTAATTAATTTATTTTCATAGAATAATTATAAAAACCCAATACAGATAGATATTTAATATTGTTTATAAATTTGTTTATTTTTAAATTGTTTTTTAGGTATTTCTTGAAATATGATAATTAAAAAAAAAAATATTTAACTTTTCATTATTTTCTCTTTCAATCATATTATTTGCATGTTTATTCACATTTTCATTGCAATTCTCTTGTCCTCTTGTCTTTTGACTCCTCCCGGGGTCCAATTACAGAAGGTTACTTCTTCAGATGATGACGATGTAAGTAGTCTCACAGTGCTGTTCGGAAAAAGGAAAAAAAGCACTCTTGTGTGTTGCCACTAATATCCAACCATGCACTTTGCTAATGCTCACGTCTCCAGCGCAAGGAGATTCAATTTGGGAAAATATTTTAGCAGCAAAGAACTGTGTCCATACAAAAGGGAACTAGCATATATATTTTGTATGATGTTTTAAAAAAAAGTCACATGCAAAGGCAGTCAGCATAATTAAATAGTATTCTTTTTGTGTCTTATTATAATAAGATATATGTACACAGAGATTATAAGAGTATTTCAGTGTAAAGAGTACTGCTTTGTTGTTCATGTATTTTACTAGGCCTACATGTTTATGATTATGTAAAGGTGTCTATTTTGGGAGTACTTTAAATGGTACCTGGAAAATCCAACTATTACTACAGTTTGCTCTCAAATGGGAACACCAATAAAGGTTGATCCTACCCTACATACACAGGTTATTATGTTATGTGACTGTTCCATTAATTATTATAGGGGTGTTCTCACTTGAGATAGGAATTTGCAATAGCTGGTTTTCCAAGTAAACATTGTTGTATTTTTCCTTTTTCCTTTTTCTTCTCTGTTCTCTGTATCACCACCTAATTTCTCTTTCATTGTCATCACCAATTGTCTGATTTTATTCTGTTGTACCTAACATCTTTACTATTTAATAATAGTTGCATAATTGCTTGTGGAAACTGTGTTTTGTTGTTGTTTTTGCACATACACCATATATATTCTCCATAATTGCTTTTACCTTAAATCAAAAACAATGATCTTTTGAATGAAATATTAAATTGCTTACAGTTCAAAATATGGGATATATTTTATGTTTGCTAAATTATTTGTGATATAAATTATATATCTGCATTATCAACATATATATTTTCTTTATTAATAAACATTTAATAAAAATTTTTTTTATCCTAACATTATTTTTGCTAATTATGATTGAAATTGCTTGGGTTGGAGTAATACCATATCAACAGAGAATTGTTTTACGAATAAAGAATGGTGTTTTGGATTTTGGAATAGATATTATACATCATTAATAATAATAATATTATGGTATGGTTTGTAATACTGTGAATTAGCATGCTGATATGTTTCGATTTTCCAAAAATAAACTTTCAAAATGTCACCTAATTTATGAAATTAAGTCAGAATATATAAGTGGATATCTCATCCAGCAGGTGGTGATGGTAATGGGGATGATGGCGGGGGATGATTTTGATTATGATGTTCTGATGATAATAATAGTAAGACAATCAAAAGTCCAAACCTGATCGACTAATATTCTAAAATGTGTAGGGTCAAATTTTACCTATGTAGGGTGACATCCAGGGCCTTTGTATGTGGTGAACATGAAGAAAAAAGTAATAAAATGAAAGAGATTAAAACGTAATATTGAAATAATATTAATAATATGGATAATGATTAGAAATCCCTATTTTAGTGATAAAAATATTATTGGTAATGTAAATTTGATACTCCTTTTCCACTTAGCTACCAAATTTAGAAGATGGTGTGTTGGTTCACGGACTGTACATGGATGCATCCCGCTGGGACGATGACTCAATGCTACTGGCTGACAGCTTTGCTGGTCAAATGAATCCTCCTCTACCAGTCATGAAGATGGAGCCAGAAATGAATTATGAAGCCAAGCCTACTGATTATATCTGTCCTCTTTACAAGACAGGCTTGAGGGCTGGAACCCTGTCTACAACAGGTATTTTGTCTCCTCTAGCACTGAGATCATGACTAGCAACACTAGCATATCCAGTAATCTTGTTATTAGCATGTGTTTGTTTTCTTTTTTTTTTTATTAGAGATATGGTTTCGTGTATTTGTTTAAACTAATGTTTTACAGTATTGTTTTGTTATTGTAATATTTCATCATTTGCATTGTTTTTGTTTTATTTTAAAGCCTAGATAGTCCAAAAATATTGTTTATATACTATTCACTACTACATGTATGAATAATAGTACAATTAGTTGATAAATTTGTCAACCTACCAAGATCTACAAATTATATAAACTTGAAACATTTTTAGCATGTGTGACCAATTCATTTTTAGTATCACTGCTTTTATATTTCAAATCAGAATTTTATCTTGGCAAGTTCTTGTAATTTAGGAGCAACATAGGCTATTTTTTAATTGATAATGCTATTTATATTTTGACATTCACTGGTTTGCTTATGTCAATTTCAGGTCACTCTACAAACTTTGTTGTGGCTGTTCATTTGCCGTCCAACCAACCTCAAGATTACTGGATTTCCAAGGGTTCGGCTCTCCTATGCCAGCTCAATGAGTAGAAGCATTGAAAAGGCTCCCAAAGCTTTGGATCAGTTCCATTGTGTAAGCCACTCACAGGTCAGGTCTGCCCATGGAAGTATCAGAGATAAATATTATTCTCTACTTCAGTCTTCACAATAGCTCCATAAGACCTCTTTAAGTTTTGAATGTTCCTTCTCAAAATAACTATTTACTCTTGGTTTAGTTTTGGAAATATAGTCCTATATGCTGTATGTATATTGGTACCAGATGGCCAAATAAAGACACACTATATTTAATATAACGTTTAAACAAAGTATGATAAAATATGTGTTAATAAAAGTATTCTAGTGTTTATATAATAGGTTAAGACTCTTTTTATTTTTTGCAATTTTCTCAAGGTGTTTATACTGATTTTATTTGTGAGATAATTGTATTAAACCTTCTGTTGATTGCTGTGTATATCTGTACAGAATAAGATAACTATTATCCAAAGCTTCGCAAGAATTTATCTGCATTTCTTCCAAATATTTTATGGAATATCGCATACGAATTTATCCATCCAATTATCCTTGAAGAACGAAACTGAATTTTCCGTCCATTTATCATCAGACAATAAGTATAGTTTATGTCCAATGTACACATTTATAATAACCTTCAAATTTTTATAACTATTCCAATTGATTTCATGCAGATAGAGAAAATATATATATTTTATTTAAACATTAAGAAGCGGTGTAATATTGTTCGTTTGATGCCGTCCAAAAATGAATATATTCTATTTCACTAAGTTGTCTTTGAGAATGTTGAAATTAAATAAATATAATTGATAATAGAATGAATGTTATGTAATTTATTTTCGCTTTTCTGTGACATTTCACTAGTTAACACTTAAACAATATTTCATTTATCCTCAGAGACCTATTATAGGATTTATAGGAAGTGTTTTATTTGGCATTCACCTGCACATTATTTTTGGCAAATGCTACTCACATGCTCTAAGATTTTTGCATGTCGCTGGTAATGGACCTTTCCGTAGTGTCAGTAAAACTCAACTGACCAATCAGAACTTGGCTAGGAATATGCATGTGTGTGCTTATGTTTCCACTCTCCTTTTGTGGGATTTTGCGAAAAGGTTCCTTGTACATAGATTTCGGCACAAAAACGATCATTTTCAAGTACAGGAAAAAATACATAGCCATACATTAATGGAAAAGAGCAGGGAAGTACAGCATCTCCCAACTCACCACCAGAAGGACCCTGTAGAAATGTCTACAGACTAATACCCCATTCAGACTAGCTTCGCATTGCGATCGGGTGTAGCAATTGCGACACCCAATCGCAAAGTAAAATCATGTCTGAAAGCTCGCCAATAGTAGTCGATAAGTAATTGATTTCGCAATTGTTACCCCTGTTGCGATTGGGTGCTACAATCTTTATTACTCCCGATTGCAACAGATTCCACAGGCACTGATTGGCTGAGGTAAAAAAAAACAGGACGACCTATATCGTTGCTAGAGATGTAAAGTATCAAAGTAAAAAGGTGTCTGAATGCTGTCGAAGTTTGCGAATGGTTGCAAACAATTTGGACTACAACTGTTTACAACCGGTCGCAATGAAAAGTCTAGTCTGAATAGGGTATTTGCGGCTTCTCATTCTACAGCATAAGTATCCATGGTCAACAGGAATATTAGCAGCAGCTAATACTGTATTAAATGTAGGGGGCACTGAAATGATTTACTCCTTCCAAATATGGATGAAGTGCTTTGCTCTTGGTGGACACACTTCCATGGCAAATTCAACAGCCTTTTCAGTTACAAAGGTCCTAAAACTGCCCCAGAGGTCTCCCAAGAAATCAGCATAGTTGCCAGCACTCTCTTGAACAAGCAGAAATGAACCCTTCAAATTTATACCGTAGGCCTATTTGTTTTCACTAATGTATTACACTATTCATTTTCGAAGTCAATTTGCCATAGTATCAATTAGATGGGTTAAGATCTTCCAGTAGCTTCTCTCAACATTGGACAGTTAATTCAATTGTCATCTTTCTCCATCTTTACCGATCATTAACAATATCTGCCAGTGTTACTGTAATAGGGTGTAATGTATATACTGTATAGAGCCGAGTGCAGAGTAATGTATCCAAACCAGTGCAAGTTGAAATTTGTGATAATACAGTAATTGTAGAGAGTAAAGTTTAGGTAGTCAAACCTGTAGGGTGCCCATCCATCTCTCGTAAGCAGTGGAGAGACACAAACGCAGATACATGTAGTGTCTTGCACAGCCAAGTTTTGAATTGTATATAATTAACATTGCATAAGATGAACTGTACAAAGTATACAGTAGTATGTTTGAGTATGAAATGACATTTCAAGGCTTTTTGCTAGGGGCAATTTGAAACTAGAAGTGTAGTTGTGAAGTAATTCCCTGTTATTATGGAAAAATAATGCATTTTCATAGACAAAGAATAAATTACCAGTCGCCTTGCTTGGTAATAATGATTATTTCAATTTTAACCTTAACAACATAGAAATTCTAGGTCAAAATTAACATACAGCAGACACAGTCTGTCCTTTTGAATGTGGAGGGAAGTTAAATAGCTTAGTGATGAAGATGCTTTGCCTTCTAATCCAAAAGCCATGGGCTCACTCTCCTGTGTGACACTAGGACTTTTTTTTATGACTAAAAGCAACTCCACTTGGTTTTTAAAGCATCATCCATCCTGTAGTTGTCAAATCACTTCCTGTTGGATGTGAATAAAATAAATAAAATAAAATATGGAGTCAATAAAAATATAGACACACATGACAACTTCTGCTTGTACTGTAGTATTTATTAGCCGACAATTGTTGCTTGAACAGTAGTAACAGTAGTTGAATATATTATGTGCCTAATCGTCACAATTTCTTTTATCAGCAGCTGTCATCTGCGACTGTTGAATATCGCAGTCTATTTCTTCTTTTTCGGCTGCTTTTTAGCGGCCTTGACAATCTTCTTTTTCTTCAGCTTTTTCGCTTCAGTGTTGCGAATCTCCAATAGCTTGGCAATACGCTTCTGGGTCTGAGCGTATGGGTTCAGCTTGAACATCACACGGATGTTCTTCAGTGGATTCTTCTTGTGCACCTTGCGTTTGTTGGCGGTGTGGATGGCAGGTCGCAACTGTTTCTTGATCTCGTCACTTCTCAGCAGACGGCTCAGATCGGTATTTGTCATCTTTCCCATTGGAAGACTGGAGGGGAGAAATAAAAACCCAGTAATTAAAAAAATTTCTACAATTATTAATGCAAGAAAACAGCATGATTATCAGCAGGGATAAAAAAAAATTAACACCAATGGAATATCCAGAGATCAGTACTTCTTGGGGAAAAATCATGCTTGTTCATAAACACGGACCAGAAGTTAACTCATCATGTTCTCTGTTCTAGTTCTATTCAGTTACTCATCAACACTTGTTCAGCATCAGGATGAAACCAGTGTCGGGCTGTGAGATGGACGAGTACACCAGGGTAACCCCCTACTCGTCTCCAAGGATGTACTGGGTTCTATATAGTGCACATGAGCCAATTGTGTACATTGGGCCTACGGTTTATAGTCCTTATCCGAGAAGACTTGCTCCACCTTCAGAACCATAGGCGAGCATGCCGTTCAAACCAGCGCCAATATTATGGCTGTAGGTTGGGGAGCTACTGCCTTAACTGCTTGGCCATTCGACTCGCCTGTGTAATAATGCTAAGCATGCTAACTCGAACAGTGAAAATACATTATCTTGCCTCACAAACAACACTTACTTGTAGTTTGTCTTTTCCTTTGACCCTGTCTTCCATGTGCCGTAGATGTCGTTCAACTTGCGGAAAGCACTTTCTGTCCAAATACAGAAACGCCCGACATGACCACCTGGGGCAATTTTCATCAGGTTCAATTTGTTTACATTTAGAAGGGTAACACCTGTAAAAGGGAAAGGAAATTAAATAAAAGAATGTAATTTATGATAATTTTGATAGCAAATGAATGTAGTCTGCATTAGAGACTGTTAGAAGGAATAGTATCTAGTGTCCTGGATTTCTTAAAACCATTTTATTAAAAAATTACAGAGATCAGTACTTCCTGGGAAAAATCATGCTTATTCATAAACACGGACCAGAAGTTTACTCATCATATTCTCAGCCACATAGTTCATCGATGCTTCTCTAACATCAGCTAGTTAAACCAAAAGAGAAAATCGAAAGACGCATACCAGGTATGTTGCGGAAAGATCTTGTGATGCCGTTGTCCTGTGCGTAAATAACCAAAGGACCTTGACGCTGGACATGACGACGATTTCTCAGTTTGCCTTTACCGGCACGCATTCTCCTCGACTTGTACACCTGCGGAAGGAAGTTATTCGCTACTGTAAAAACAATTACTGAACTTACACACTACAGTATAACCTTACACACCTAACCCATTAATCTTGTTTTAATCAAGCAAATGCTCACCTTTTTGATATCATCCCAGGCTTTGAATCTTTTCAAGAAAAGCACTGCTTCCTTTGTCTTCTTATACTCTTGAACTTTGTCACTGACAACCAGTGGTACTTCAGATGTTTGTTCAATGCGATGACCTGATTGGACGAAAAACAGTAAAAAACTATTAAGCTATTTACTCACAAGAAATTTCAACTTTAAAAAAAATGCCTACTCTTGCTGCAGTGATCAGAACTTCTTAATAGCGTCATAGTATATCAGAAACACGGACCAGAAGTTGGCTCATCTTCTCATGCAGCAGAGTGGCAACAGTTTCAAATGGGGAGAAAGCTTACCCTTTGACATCACCAAAGCTGGAATGGCGGTGGCTGCCAATGCAGAGCACATGGCAAATCGCTTCTGGTTGGTGTTAGTGCGATGGTGCCAACGACGCCATGTCTTGGTTGGTGCAAACATACGGCCACCTCGACACATGTTTCCAAATGCACCCTGACCGGATCTGTGGGTTCCACCTCCACGGACACGGGGGATTCTTGCTACAGCGCGACCTGTGCCCCAAGATTCAGCACTGGTTTGATGTCCTAAAAAATAATCATTAAAAAATTATTATTCTTACAGTATCGACAAAAATTTCTTGGGGGATAAAAAAAAACTGGTAATAATTTTTGTACAACAAAAAATAAATGGTTTATTATGGTACTGTAAACTACAGAATACAAAATTGTAAAGATTTATTTTTTCATCTCGCATTTAAACAGCTCACCAATAACAGAAAAACACAATTTTTTAATGTCACAAATACAAAACTAAAGTTAACTCATCACTTTAACAATGCTTATTTCCATATATTGCAAGGAACCTTTAATCAATGAAAGCATTAAATCACTTCTTGTTAATAACCTCTTTCAACACTACTACTATTTGTTATTTAACATCTAATATTCTTATATGGCAGTAATTATATGACATCAATATCTAATATGGCAGTAATATATGACATCAATATCATATATGGGCAAATTACACATTTTGTTGAATAACATTTAATAGTATGGAATGAACTTATGAAAGAACATACCAGCTTTGACACTGACAGCATACGCCTGTCGGGTATTCTTGCGCATGTTGCTGCTAACAAAGTTAACAATGTCTGGTCTGATAGGGGCTGTGAACACGGCTGGCAATGTGACATTGTTGCCGCTGGCTTCATTCTTTTCACTGTACACCGTGATTAGCGGGCGAGCTGCAGCCACCGCCTAGGGGGAAAAAATGACTAAGCGATAAATATTTCACTATATAGGGATCATTAAACGCCGTTATATTGTACTTTTTTGATAAAACAAATCTCATTTAAACATTGTAGGGAAAATTTATATTAGTATTATAATTTAACAGAACATTTCAACTACATACATTTAATCAACATAATACTCACGGACCGGTTTTATTGATTTGGCCTAAGGCCAAAAAAAAAACCAAATTGTTTGTTTGCCCTTCTTTAAAAAAATGATAAATAGGGGTGGGTGGAAAAAGTTTTAATTAATTAATTTTTTTTTTTTTAAATACTCATCAGATTGAATAAAAATAACCCACAGAGGCCTAGAATGGCAATATCTTACATCAGACAACAACTTTAGATTAATTTGTAGGGATCTGGCAAAAAATAAAGATAAAAATTCACTCACATTTTTTTTTAATTTGTAAGGAAAAAAGCTTTCTTGAAGTTTTTTTTGTTTTTCCGCCCCTATTTTTTCCAGTGAGTTAGGGGCGGGTGGAGAAGGGTAAACAAACAATTTTTTTTTTTTTTTGCTTAATTATCCAGAAATGAAAAAAAAATTAAAGCATCAGCTTCAGTGCAGTCCCATTTCGGTTTAGCATAAATTTCAAACCTGAGCACTCAGTTTTTAACAGTCTTTTTTGTACTGATCTAGGCCTATTCACTTTATTCTCCAGATTCTCAAACTGTAAAAAAGACCTGAGCGGGGAATATAATATCCGTGCAAAAATTACGAACAATTTATCTTCCTCAATATCTAATTTAGACTAGGCACTGGGGCCTATCATTTTGATACATTGCAATGTACCACTCCTCCCAAAGTTAATAATTTCTTCCCTTTTCTACACTTGTTTCACATTTTGTCTAGGCTATTTGCTATTTTTTGGTACTTTTTCCACATTTTTTCAGTGCTGCTGCTTATTTTTTTGACCAGGAACTGCTGCTTATTTTTTTGACCAGGAAGTAGGGCCAGAATGTTGTATGTAAGGATCACTGAACTAACCACGGCCAAAAATAACCCACTGCTGGTCAAACAAGTGAAGTCTCCAACCAAAAAGTAAAAATCAGGACTTTTGCTGATTAAAAGGATAATCAGTAACTAGGTTAGGGGACTAAACACTTGTGCCCGAGCATCTGAAATGGGACCGACCTTCCATATGCTCCTGACTGATCGCCTTTACTAACCGGCATTTGTAATGCCAGGGTGCAGGAGTAACCAAATGGCAGCTAGGCTAGCTACACTGCAGTGTAGTGAGTGAGCCAGTATATAAACACATGGGTTGGCCTAAATGTGGAATGGTTTTTGGGTACACAATTGCTTGCATATTTTTTGTAAATTTACAAGTACGATGAAGCAAGTTATTAAAATATACACCTTCTATGTAAGGTACCTAACATTTTACGGTAAGTTTATCTAATTTTTACCCAACCATATGCATACCATTTTGATTTTCCTTTCGTTAAAATATCTACTCCTTACTGAACTCGTGGAGTCGTGGCCAAAAAGAGCGATTTGACGGCAAAATGGCGACGGCCATGTTTTGTAAATGATTATTTTTTAAATAAAATACAATTATAAAGAAATTTGCAAAAACATGCACAAATATTAATGTAAAAAGATTAAAATTGTTTACAATATTTAAAATAACATTTGTTTAACTTTTTTTGTGTTTTTATACTAGATATCTTGTCGCAACCATAAACTGATGGATCATTAAACAATATGGCTGCCCCCTGGCGCGTAATTTGTATTTTTTAGAGTTTGCGATTATACCAACTTGGCATATCCAGTAAGGAATACACATTATAGTTGGATTCTTTCGAGTTTATTAAATATGCACTCAATTATTCTTTTTAAAATTTTGTTTGCTTTGGCCCTGTTGAGATCTTCTAGGCCTAGCCTAATAAGTAATCTTGAATGAAAGACAGAACAGAGAGAGGCCTACCTAGTAGGCCTAGGCCCTAGGCCTTAGGCCAGTGCCAGTGGTGAAGACCTGAATACTACACCTAGACTTAGGCCTAGGCCTAGTTATTTTTATTTATTTATTTTTTTTTCGTTAGGCCTAGCTAAGCTACTCTACTATATTATATATACAGACGTTCCAACCCTGGAACTCAAAATACTTGGAGGGGCCTGATCATTTGTATTTTGATGTGCTTTACATTACGCTATTTTTGTCATCATGTGAGCTGCTGCCAATAATTTGATTTTTAAGCATGTTTAAATAATGGCAGTGACTATGTTGTACCAGTCTTACATGAATTCCTAGGCCTAATTAATTCTGATTGGATGTCACTTGTGTGTATGTACAAAAAAAATGTGATTTGCCTTCATACAGGGTCAGCAAACTTTTAAATTGATTTCTGTAGTAAGGCGTGTTACTGTACATAACTTTGTATTATTTGGTATTTGCGGTTTTTTTCAACAGGCAAAGGACAACACAATTTTGTTATGATTTTTCATCAGTATTAATCATTTTTAGTTTTTAAACAACATAGTAAAGAAAAGTCCATGAGGCCCCGAAAGTTGATGAGGGTGGGGATGTGAAATTAACTAGGGATTAGTTTTATTTTGTCTATGTAAATTTCTTAAAGATTATATTTGAATATACGGTACTTAATCATAGGATTATAAGTTTTATTGTAAATTTTTCTTTGATATTTTGTGATTATGATCTTGTTTTTAGTTGGCTACTAAATATTATTAATAATAGACTATTGATTTTCTTCTACTGTACTGCTGGGCCCTGTTTGGAGAACAGTAGATTTTTTACTAAACAGGCTCCCTAGTACTGAGGGTCTGTCCAGATTATTTTTTTTATAATTCATTTTTATTTCGATCAACATGGCTAGCTTTTGAACAGAATTCATCTTTATTTACTTATTTTTTAAAAAGTCTAAAAGATTTGCAGTTAAAGTATATTATACCGGTATATATATTTTTTCCCCCTCTGATGTTGATCATTGTTATTATATACTTTATTTATTTTCTTATGGTAAACTTTTACACTGCCAGGCTGTAGATAAATTGCATTAACATGCTTGGAGGCTCCTCAACGCTAAGGCTATGCCTTGTGAGGAGCCGCCGTGTGAAATATTTAATAAAAATTTTTTTTTTTTTAAATGTTTGTATGGTATTTAATCATAGGATCATATTACTATACAGGCTTTCAAGTACAGTACTACATATATGATCACCCAGTGCACTGTACAGTAAACTTACATTATCAGATATCACTTTCTTTATCAATTGCTTTTTCTAGCATACAGTATTTACAAGATGCAGAGTCTCGTGCTGGAGAATTTAAATTTCAAGAAGGTCTATGAAAGGTGGGTGAATATAAATATATAGGATTTAGCTTTTATTTATTTATTTAGCTGTTCAATATTATACGACACATTTGTGTGATGTACTACTACTATTTTTTGTCAGTCACTGCTTTGTTGTTATCTTTGGTGAAATAAATGTTGCATTTTGATTGATTTATTGACATGAATTTTGATAGTGCATATTAAGCTCTGTCCAGACTATCAAACTTTATTTGGTAAAAACATGTGACATGCCTAAATATGGTCATGATGACATCACATCATGACCATATATAGACACATCATGCCTATATATGGGCATACAACAGTTTTTTTGTCAAATAAAATTTGATAGCCTGGAGCTGCGCTTAAGCAGAATCATCAAATTTATTTGTTGCTTCAGTTTTGCAAGTGAAACTACCATTGCACTTACTATAAATTCATCATGGCTATGGAGAGAGCAACTTAGTATATTCGGCAAATCTGGTGGTAGCCATTGTGTGTGCGCTGAACAGTGGAGATCTCTGGGTCCCCTGTTCAATTCCCATCACTGCCTCTCTTTGTGTTTCAGCTGAAGGACTAAAATACAAGTTACAATAGCGCACCGTCTTTCGGATAAGACGTTTAAGCCGTTGGTCCTGTGTGCATTTATGGCCCATGTGCAAGTTAAAGAACACAGTACACTCTTGGAAAAGAGTAGGGGATTGTCTCCCGGTGTACTGCCCAATCACCACCAGAATTACCCCAATGGAAATAAGTCTTCTTCTAGACTTGCGTGGGCTATCCTTGGTGTTTACACTGAATAAATCCAATCCAATCAAAAACTCAACAAAAATTGTATTTTGTATTTTAACAACAAGCAAAACAAATTTTATTTTTGATTACTATTTATGAATGATTAGAGTATGAATAAATTTAACTAAATTGTTATACTCTTTGTAGTTGTTTATATTATGTTTAGGAATGTAGTGGGTGACTTCTTTAATTAAATGTGTTTATTTACAGTAATTGTTGTGGGCTTATATTTTTATTAATCAGTAAATTAACGGATAGTATTTTTCAATTAATTCTCTAGGCTAGAGAAGAGAGAAGATCTGAGTGTCAAATACTTGGATTTTCAACTTGAGGTGGTGTCTTGGGACGAGGTGCCAAGTTCAAAGTTCATCCCAAGTTCAGTAAAAGTTCATGATAAGTTTGTATTGGCTTATAAACAAACCACACTCGAGGTATGCATAACTTTCAACGATTGATTATATACATTCAGGCAATTTTCATGATCTTAGCCAGAGACTATTTTTTACCTTGTTTCGCGAACTTATTTTTTTTTTAATCGTCAGAGGAGGGCGGAAAAAAAATTGAAATAAAAATTTGTTTTCTTATTTTGCAAATAGTTTTGCCAAAAGCATCCAGATGGAGGAGAAAATGAAAATAAAATTTTATTGTTGAATGTAAACAGTGTAGTAATGGGACAGTTAAATGCTTTAAATTTATATAATTAAGAAGAAATATGCATATCTTATTTTTTGAGATTTCAAAGAAGCTTTGGGCGTAATTAAATTAAAGAAAAACTTATTTTTTCATGAAATTTCCATTTTTTTTTGTGGCGGCAGGTGTGCTAATTGGCCGAAAATAAAATTTTATATTTATTGGAAATCATCATTATTTGCTGGCAGCGGGTTCACCAAACAAGGCATAAAAGAACAAAACAACTTTATCTAGGCTTCACTGTTCTTTCAACCAACTAATAAATTAGAATAATATTTTATATAATATTATAATATCTCAATCTATGGATTTGTGATGCACATTTTATGATTAGTTGAACTCATGAGAATGACTAAAAATCTTTTAATTTTATTTAGAAAAGTGAAGAAAGTGTTTTAGATGACTCAGATAGTAATATTGATGAGATGTGCAATGGAAATAGTGTTCTGGATGATTCTAAAGAGGAGTTGAATCTGCATCCTCCTGTCAGCATGGGACAAGCAAGGTAATGTAACCTCTCACTGTCAGGCGTCCCTAGGAGGAAGAAGCCACTTCTGGGAAACCTGTTAAAATAAGCTTTCCTAACACATATGTATACTTACCTGGATAAACCAACTAATTGCCTTTGTTTTGAAATAGGACATCCCTTCGACTAAAATAGGACAGTCTGACCCAGAGCACCATGTATGAACTGTCTCCCTTTAGAACAATTCCTCATTCCTTAGAGATCCAACTGATCAGTGGGAGGGTGGGAAAGGAGGAAGGTTATCCAGGTAAGAATCTCCAGATTTTCAACGACTCCCGAGGTAATGAGAGACCAGGGACGACCCCTGCACTGTAGTGTTTACAAAATGATAGACCCGAGACAAGATTATTTTAAGACAACATCAACACATTTGTAATGATGATGGCTACTTCAGCAATTTGTAATAGCGCCCTCATTCTTCTCTATACTTAGCATAGAGAGCGGCAGATATAAATACAATATTTTTAGGGTGTTAACTGCTTTGATTGATGCTGTATTAAAGATATTACACTCACATTAAAATGAGTTTTATGCACCACTAAAAGTAAGTACATATTACAAACTTTTTTTACTTTCCTTTATTGGAATTTAAATGGGTAACGTTTATACCATATCATGAAGTAGATAAATAGTGTGAAAAATAAAATTTAGAGAAGGTTTACAATTTATATAAGTATCTATTGTTAACACTATTGAGATAGTGAAAGTTTAAAATCTTGTTTTGATTTAATATACCAACAAAGTATAGTACTATATATTACATATTTTAACATAAGATAGGAACAACTAGAAACATATTTCATTTACACACAAAAACACAAAAATACAAAACAACAAAGAACTTATTTATCTTAAAAATGTTATCATTCAAAATCATAATTATCATTTTATACAGAAGAGTTCTTGTTAATGTTTTTTTTTAATGATGTTGTGATTTTACCAGATCTACCTTAGAAAGCTGAGCTACAGTGTGTGTTCTTTCAATATCAATGTTAATGTATTCTTCATTCTTCATATCAGGAGTCTTTTGTCATTATTTTGCTTGTGGAAAGATGAATTAACCTGCCCTACGACCCCTATGTGGGTTATGTGTGACGGCAAACCCCCTGAGCATGTTTTCCTTATGGGTTGCTCGTGGCTGAAGAATGAAGCACGGAAAAACATTATTAATACTTACACTATATCATGCCAAGGTAAGACTTTTTTCATTTCTCTAATTACTTGTACAGAGTTGCGTTCAATGTCATTAGAGTCCAAACAAAATACAGGCAAATGTATAATGCGCAGATCATGACAACACTCTAGTAAACAGCAATAAAGAATAAGAGCAATAATTTATGCGCAATTTATAACCACAGGGTAAAACAGATAGGAAAGCAGCCAAGGTTTAAGTCTCGTTATCAGACTACCCTTTCATCACTCCCTTTTTAATTACGGCACCTTGAGCCTTGAGTTATGTTTTTCTGTCATATTTTAAAGCTAATGTTTGTCTAGGCTTTGTCTAAAATGAATATGTTTCAGATTTTTGTCTTGTCTTTCGTTTTTTTAGTCCATCTTTATTCTCTCTGTTTTCATTGTTTTCAGTTTTCTAAATGTGGTTCTAAGTACATAGGTACAGTAGATTTTATGCTCACAATTTACTTAAAGTTAAAAAAAAAAAATAAATTAAAAACTTCCACCATATGAAGTATGATCACATTATGTTTTTCCATGATGTTGGCAGATGGACAGTACCATACTTTTCCAAAATCTGTTCATTCATTTTTTCATCTGACAAACAAAATAATCTGATAATGTAAACTTGACTTTAACATTATGTTTTTCTGTCCTAAAATGACAAATTCACATCAAACATATATACAGAATTGTGTAGTTTAAATTAAATGTCTAGTCAATTAACTGGCTATAAATGCAATGAGGACCACTCAATTATAGTGTTAACTCTTTGAATACTGTAGTTGAGCGATTAGCGATAAATTGTTGACAGATTATCAAGATAGATTACTATCCAAATGATGCCATTAGGTCTCCAATATACAAATCAGGTTAAACCTATTTGAGCTATACATTAATATTGTACCTTGTTTTTTAAAAGTAGGAATAAGTGCAATAGCAATAGAGTGGAGTTGCTTGGTGGTTAAAGATGCTTTGCCTTCTAACCCCCAGAATTCTGATGTCAAGATTTTTTCTCACTCCCAAAATCAAGTCCACTCCCTAAGCCTTATAATGAGGCTTAGTTTATGTATCTTGTGTGTAGGTTTGTCCTGTGAAGGGATTTGCCACTTCAAGTATCTGTTTGCTATTTGGCATATCTTTGTCCATGGGCCTAAAACAAATACTAATAAACTATTAAATAAATATGGTACTTACAAATTTTAACAAACGGTAGAATGTTGGACGTACATTTTTCATTCATTACTCTTCTTGACATTATCCACAATTTAAAGGCCCATTGGAAAGCTATTCTAAAGATGTCATCTTTTCTTAATTTCTTCTCGTAAGCAAAAATTTCAATATTACGATTAGTACGGTTGTTTGAAAAACTGAGATACAATATACATGCTGATATGTGTTGTGTTGTGTGTGAAAATACAGCCTGTGCACAGTTCATGTCCTGGGCAACTAACTGGCAGCCCCATCTAAGGCCTTAGCAGTCTTTGGGTGGGAGCGTGAATAGTAACCCAGCAGCAAATAAAAGAAATAGCTGAACAAAGGGCGGATGAACTCCTCGGAGTCAACAGCCAAAGCATGCTTAGTTTAAGGAATAGGATTAACAGGCCCGTAGCCAGGCTCTTCCAAGGGGAGGGGGGGTTTCCTGGGCGTGAGGTCCACGGTCGAAGCCCCGGTGGGGTTGCCAAAACCCCCAAAGCAAGAGAATTTTTGTGCTTTATGGGTCTAAATAATGCTATAAAAGCAGATATGTTTGAAAACGTCTGTGTCTGGGTGGGTCTGCAGTGCATTAGTTGGGTTGGAGGACTTATTTGGGAAATTTGAAGAGGGGGTTCACCAAAAAAGAGGGGGGTTTTCTAGAAAAGGGGGGTTCTCCCGAACCATAAAACCCCCCCCCCCCTGGATACTGGCCTGATTAATTTGTCTATAAGTATTATATTTTTTCATGTTTATGTTAAGCGCATAGAGGTCTCCGTAATATGCGCTCAAAAAGTCAACCATTATTATTATTGTTACAGGTAAATTTGTTAAAACTAGATATCTTACCCTAGATTCCCATAATTCAATTCTGTTTTGTGACGTACAACTGGCCATTAAACTGGACATAGTTTGATGAGAAAGAACACTTTAGATTATTCCATGACTTTGGTGAACTACTTTTCTGGACATGAGTCCAATGTGAACCATGCAGTAGGCTCATCAATACAGTGATTGATGTATTATATACATACAAGTTAATACTGTCAGAACCCGATGAGTTCACTGGATATTCAGTATGTTTAATGAGTTACTTGTGGAAAAGTAATTTTGGTTGGAATTGAGTTACTAGCCTGATATGACATTCAAGCTTGCGCTGATGGCTAGGATAAGATTTGCTCTCAAATTTTAATAGATGCAGACGCTTTCTCAATAGATTCTATCAGACTCCCGTAACTACAGTATGCTGCCTTTAATCTAGTAGTTTTTGATGATGCGTAGTTTGATGATTTCAATATATAGTTAATTGTCAATTAAAACTGAATCCTAATTGTACAAAGTGTTCATCATTTAAGCAACTATTGCAGATGATGTGTTCTATTGTTCTCAGGTCCTTATCACAGCAAAATTGCAATCCCAAGTGTACAGCAACTCAGAGAGGAATTCAGCCAATCAGGAATCTTTAATGTAAGTCATCTATGTCTTCTTTAATTGGCTGTTTCATCAAACTGCAGACGTATTGACTATTAATCTCTTTGCATACAGTAGTCTGACAGTCAACAAGTGCTTATATAATTTATTTGGCTATGAACTGCACCTTAGCCAATCAGAGATTTAAAATCTTTGAATATTTATGTTATAACAGGCAGAACTATGGCATGATTCCAAATTTAACCTTCTGCAAATCAGAATCTTTTTGTCATAACGATGATAAAATCAGACTATAATATTAATCATAGTTTATTGAAGATGTCAAATATAACTTGGTTGCTCTTTCTGACTGTCTAAGTGATTTTAATTTACTGAATAATAGAAATAATATTTTATTACATGTATGTAATTGTCCCATTTATCAATAAATGGCGAGTTGAATGGCCGAGCGGTTAAGGGAGGCGCCGCTACCTATAGCCATAACATTCGGCGCTGGTTCGAACGGCACGCTCGCCTATGGTTCCGGAGGTGGAACAAGTCTTCTCGGATAAGGACTTTAAACCGTAGGCCCAGTGTACACATTTGGCTCGTGTGCACTTTAAAGAACCCAGTGCATCTTTCGAGAAGAGTAGGGGGTTACCCCGATGTACTGGTCCATTCATTCAGCCTCTCCTGCGTCCTAGCTTGAATTAGGTAAAGTAGATAAATCGAAGACAATTATGTTGTTATATTTCTATCGCAGCGATTCATATTAGATACAAGATAGGTTTATTGTCAAATTAAAATATGAAATTAGTTTTTCTCATGGCAACAAAAGTACATAAACAACAAAGAAACATACGATCAATGATGATTAATTTTACATCACATGTACAGTATTAATTCTGTCTCTTATACACATCTAGATGTGTATAAGAGACAGGGTTATGCTCAGTATGATGTTCTCTGGACCATCTTCTCAGAGATGACATCAAAGGATGCAGGATGTGTAACACAAGTTCTTGTGGAGTGTGAATGGGAGGGGGTGGAGATGATGCTAGAAGTACCACATGGTGCCAAGTGCCAACTGGTATGCATCAACTACTGTCAACTTCCACCCCAGATTGGACAACCTAATAAAAAAATAAATATTAACTACCCCAAGTTTACCTTGGGAATAATTATCCTAACAGTAACCCTGTAGGAAGAGAATCACCATCAAAATTATTGTTAACATTATTATCACAATTGTAATATCATCATCATCATCATCATTATCAAATCATATTTGCCTTTATGGTACTGCAGTCTTCTGAGATACTTCCTTTTAATTCGCTGAAGGCAATAGTAAGCTTTTTCAATCCCTACACATGCCAAGATTATTCTCATGTCCGAAACAATATTTTCCAGGCAATATAGTGAAATGTTGGTTGTATCAATTATTGATAAGTTCCCTCGTATCACCCTTATTGTCTACTTATCGCTTAGAGTGTGAAGGCTGCACCAGGGGACAACAGAATTGCCAGTTATTCAATGTACCAAGAATTACAGTTGTTAAAGGTGAAGTATTTGTTTAGTCCTCTTTGGAATTAAATTCATCCATTTATTACGGTTAAATTGTACATTTATATCTAGATTGTGCTGAAACTTTTTGTATGTACTGGTAACTGAATTGAATCTTTAATCTGAATCTTCAATCTTGAAATTATGATGTAGAAATGGACAGAGTTTCTTTCCCCTACACTCTTTCACACACATACACACACATCCTCATCCACACCTACATACACACACAAGCACACCAACACACATATCCACAAGTTAGTACAGTACTCTACACCTTATTGAGGTACAGTATTTATACAAATAAGCAAATGTTTCTGACTTTCAGGGCTTCATAACAGGAATTGAGAAAGGGGAGGTGATGTGGACGAGAAGTTCTGATGAGGGGTCAACTTTTTTCCAAAAACTAGAGCAACTGCTTGTAGATGAGGGAAGCAGTGGAAGTATAGGCAGAGTTGCAGAACTCAAGGTCAGTCTATTGGTGCTTTTAGTACACTTTAGTACAGCAAAGCCTAGCTTCCAGTAAGAAGTTGCTCCCTTTAAAAACAGTGTAATTTTTTTTGTCCCTGGTTATTATGTACTAGGTTTAAACTTAGAACCTTGCATCCTTTTTTTTCATGCTTAAGTCTCTCCCCAGAAATTGGAAGAGGTAGACGAGGAACTATGCGAGTCTCCTTTGCAACAGAAGTTTGTTCCAGCACGTAATGACCTGGATTTTACCGAGAGGCTATGGAACCATTTAAAGAATGCTAGTTCCCTTCAAGACTTAAAGATGGCACTGCAGACTGTGATGCAGACACTGAAGACAGGAGATTTTTATCCTGTTGTAAGTGGTATTGCCATTAAAGTTTACTTTATTATCTTCTGTATAAAATTAATAAATTGTGGTGACTTTAGTAGTGGGCACATCTAAAATGTTATCTCCTGGATAGTGGCGTGTCTGAGAATATTGGATAACAGGAGGGGGTACAAAGGTTAAGCAGCCCTGAGGACTGAAGTGGTGGGGGAGGGTGCAATACTTGAGTTTATTTTGCTCAACAGATTTCCTATGGGGTGTGGGGGGGGGGGGAGGGGGGGGGGGGGGGGGGGGGGGGGGTGGAGGAGGCAGTTTGTATTGAGGCATGCATGCCACTGCTCTGGATCAATTTCAACAGGCAGAAAAGGATTAATTTGGGCCAACTTATAATAGTTATCATGTACTCTAGAACGAGGTCTCAAAATGCTACTACTATGAAAAATTCAACAATATTTGCTTGTTTTTGCATAATACAGGTACATGTACATAATGAATCAAGGCTAGCAAGTCAGATCCGTGCTAGCTATCAGCAGCAAACACCTGTGCTCAACTTAGAGGGTGTAGAGCCCTTAGAGATAATGATTGAGTTGGGACTAGAAAAACTCAGAAGAGATTATACTGACTTCTTCATTAGTAAGTATTAATCTACGCCCTAGAGCATGTCACTCCATGACAGGCAATTTTTAAACTTTTTTTTTAGCAATAGTGCAGTTTAAGATAAATTATGTTATTAATATAGGAATGTCACATAAACTATGTTATTAATTTAGAAATATTTGGTTCTTTTTTGACGATCCAAATCATTCTAAATGTTTGAGGTTGGATCCAGATGAATTTCTTCAATGATCTATGTTATTACTTGTTTAGAAAAATGAATGCTGTGAAAAATAGTGAGTCTGTTGTACCTGTGGAGATTTCTATAGTGCACTGGTGTTAAATACTGTATTTAGAGCTCCAGCTTGCTGCAGAATTTCCAACCTCCCCCTTTCCCAGTCTGGTTTTTTTTCCCTCCAAATTTGGTCAACTTAGATTCGAACTTGAAACCTGCTTTTTATGCTGACTTCTTAAAAAACTGGGCCACTGTGTCTTAGTGTAGAATTTGAATCTAATTAGAAGCAAGTGATCTTTTACACTCCTTGGCATATTTTTAGTTGAGCAGCACTAGTATTTGTAGCTCTGCAAATAACTGTGATAATTATGATACACTCTTATTTTTAGCATTTTAACGACAAGGCATGATCTGCTCAAGTTTTACTATTCACTCGCAGATTCCTCTTCTTTAAAGTTCAAAATTTACATGTAATTATAACATTACATAAATAATTCAATGTTTCCAGATAGACTTTAAGGACACTGACTTATCTATAAGTCAGATAATACTGCCTATAAATCCGTGTTCTTATTTTTTAATGATATCTATAATACACATCCTATTGTGTCCATTAATATTGAAGTGGGTCTGTGACATGCCTTCAAATCACAAGATCATGATTTTTATCCCAACAAAAAACAACTCTTATACACAAAAGATTCCCCAATATTCAGTTGGTTGGATAAACCAGTCCCATTAAATATGCTGAAATAATTTGTTTTTAATAATGACTTACTTTTTAGAGTATTGTAAAGTCAGTACACGCTCTATTTGGTGATTTGCTCACTACTGGTTGATAGATAATATGAAATTATTGTCAAGTTCTGAGGACCCTATAGAAAATAGAGGCCGAAGTAGCCATTACTTCCTGAAAAAAATATGAAAGCCTGTAGGGCTGAAAGAAATAATGGCTCCTAAATAATTAGTGCTTGATTGGGGATAAGAAAAGAATGTGTAAATGAAAGGGATGATGTCACGACTGACTTATAATGAATTATATATTAATTGTAATGCAATTCATTAATGAACTAGTTTCTGTGAAATTGATATAAGATTTTGATCATAACCAAATTATCTGTAATGAAATTAACTGAGAATTGAGCAAAGCTGTAAGAAGAGATGAATCCTATCAATGATGTGGGAAATTCTCATCAACTCATAAGAAGATGATACTTTAATGGTCCAGACTGACTTAGGATGATACGTCTCACTTATTATTCTTTAAGATTGTCAAATGAATAATGATAATTAGTACAAAGAAGTCAGGCTTTGACCTGCTTTTACAGTGACTTATTAGAAATTACAGTAGTTATTAAATTTGTAATTAAATGCTGGTCCACTCATTATTACTCCATACATTTTTTACCATACATTAACCTTTAAGTACTTTTTACTGGGAAAATTAAGCCAAGTATAAATTCTAAAATTACCTAGCACCAATTTCTCATAATAACAGTAGTTATTATTAAATTTGTAACTAAATGCTGGCCCACAAATTTTTGCTGCATACAGTTTTTACCATACAATAAACTTTAAGTACTTTTTACTTGGTAAAACTTAAGCCAAGTGTAAATTCTAAAAATACCTAGCACCAACATATAATAACAGTAGTTTTTATAAAATTTGTAATTAAATGCTGGCCCACACATTATTGCTGCATAGTTTTTACCATGCAATATCCTTTAAGTACTTTTTACCTGGGAAAATTAAGCCAAGTATAAATTCTAAAAATACCTAGCACCAATTTCTCTTAATAATAGTAATTTTATTAAATTTGTAATTAAATGCTGGCACACTCATTGTTGCTACATAGTTTTTACCATGCAATAACCCTTTAAGTACTTTTTACTTGGGAAAACTTAACCTAAGTGTAAATTCTAAAAATACCTAGCACCAACATATAATAACAGTAGTTTTTATTAAATTTGTAATTAAATGCTAGCCCACACATTATTGCTGCATAGTTTTTTACCATACAATATCCTTTAAGTACTTTTTACCTGGGAAAATTAAGCCAAGTATAAATTCTAAAAATACCTAGCACCAATTTCTCTTAATAATAGTAATTTTTGCTACATAGTTCTTACTGTGCAATAACCTTTAAGTACTTTTTACTTGGGAAAACTTAAGCTAAGTGTAAATTCTAAAAATACCTAGCACCAACTTCTCATAATTATAGTAGTTTTTATTAAATTTTTAATTAAATGCTGGCCCGCTCATTATTGCTGTATAGTTTTTACCATGCAATAACTAAGTACTTTTTACATGGGAAACTTAAGCCAAGTATAAATTCTGAAAATAGCTAGCACCAATTTCTCATAACAGTAGTAACATATTATTTTTTAGGACAAGAGTTGGTGCTTCATCAACAATTACACTTCTTTGTGCAAAGCGGATTGACAACTGAAGAGAAAATAGAAAGATTATGTCGAATGCATAACGTTTTAGAGCTTTTGGTGGTCACTGCGATGCTGAATCTACCATTGGAAAGCCAACAGGCATTATGCAGGTAATGTGAAAACAGTATAACCTGCTTCTTTTATGTGCATTCACAAGAAATCCAAATTTTTGGATTGGAATTAAAGCCCACCAAACCGATCAAAAAATTGAATCGTTATGTAAGTTTAGGGACGCTGGCGTACAGTGCATTTGAACTGCGGTCCGAATTTCGGTTCAGATTCGATGTGAATGCAGATGTAGGCTAAACTTTTGTACCTTATTTCCTCAAAGTGCCTTCTGCCAGTAATTAAAAATTTTAATACCTTTGGCTTGTTAGCCAACCTTGCTCAAACAATGGAAATTTCAGAAAAAAAAACATTTTTATCATGCCTACTGCCATGATGTCTCAAGATAAGAAATCTTTATTTTAAAACATTTGTCATACCACCATGTGGTATGTTCTTGAGGGAGGGCCTAATAAATGGATAATAATAATTTAATCTTATAAAGTGCATGTTTCCATACAGTAATTGTGCAAAGTGCTGCTTTTGCTACTCTTCCCCATCAGCCTTTCACGTTTAACAATCCATTCCCTTCCAAGAGCCATCCAAGTAATTTGCCAATTATTGGATAAAAATATATATGATGCTCTATTAAGTAATTCTCATTAGGAGTTGGAGGTGTTTTAGCTGTGAGTGAAATGCCACCATTTGCATGATCAAATCCAGAACCATAAGATATAAAAGTAATAATTGTGTTGCAACTGGCTAATTATAAAGTATAATTACTACAGTATGTGACGCTCTATTAACTAAATAACCAAGACGTAAAAAAAAAATGTTACTCAGTGCTTCTCTCTTCACACGGCAACAAAATGAGTGAGCAGCATGTTCCCATTCCACTTCTGAGTACCCATTGCGTTAGGCTCAAAACATCAGCAATAAATAGCATGTTTTAGAAATCGATCAGGTAAAAATAAAGATACACTTTGGCACAAGCCATGATTAAGCTCGGCTTAATCATGCTGGGCTAGCCTAGCCCTACAGGCCTAGCCTATTATGAGAGATAAACCTATGTTCAGGTTTAGTTTAGCTCGGTAGGGCCTACCCTCTCTCTCTCCCTCTTGAATCTGGGTCAGATCAATATGGCTATTCTTCCACAATGCCTTAGTGCATTAAGTTTAAGTTAGGGTCAAGCCAGCTCCACCAATCAATACTTCGAATTTACGTAAACGCGTCTCAATATGCATGCATCCACCTATATTATTCAAAAGAAACATTTCTCTCATGCCAAACTAGGCTAGGCCTACTGTATATATGCTGTATTTTCATGTACAAGAGGGTAGCCCTACTCTGCATTCCCTAGCCATGCCTTAGTAAAATTGTTTTGGGATTTTGTATGATGCCAAAAGAACAACATTCAATGTACATACTTACTGCATTCCCTGGCCGTGCCACAGTAAATTGTTTTGTATGGAATGCCAAAAGGGCAACTTTCAAACATGGTCAATTTTCAAGCACACTTGGTTTTCAGGCACAGTCGGTTAACAAACATAGTTGGTTTTCTGTTTCTCAATGAATTACTTTAAAATCTTGCTTTAACTGCCCCAACCAGTGCTATTTTATCTCACTTTAGTGGTTTTCTAAATATTCATGTTATGAAAAACGATATGAAACTGCTATCAAAACGTGTACCTAAACTCAACGCTAATTATACAAGGTTATGAAGCATGCTTTGTAAATCATAAAACATGATCTTACCACTGAATTTCTGACATTACATAAAGAATGTAACTGAACGAGATAACATGCAAACTATCTTCTTTTAGTGGTCATATCGTGACGTTCACATAATCGATCAGGTAAAAATAAAGATACACTTTGGCACAAGCCATGATTAAGCTCGGCTTAATCATGCTGGGCTAGCCTAGCCCTACAGGCCTAGCCTATTATGAGAGATAAACCTATGTTCAGGTTTAGTTTAGCTCGGTAGGGCCTACCCTCTCTCTCTCCCTCTTGAATCTGGGTCAGATCAATATGGCTATTCTTCCACAATGCCTTAGTGCATTAAGTTTAAGTTAGGGTCAAGCCAGCTCCACCAATCAATACTTCGAATTTACGTAAACGCGTCTCAATATGCATGCATCCACCTATATTATTCAAAAGAAACATTTCTCTCATGCCAAACTAGGCTAGGCCTACTGTATATATGCTGTATTTTCATGTACAAGAGGGTAGCCCTACTCTGCATTCCCTAGCCATGCCTTAGTAAATTGTTTTGGGATTTTGTATGATGCCAAAAGAACAACATTCAATGTACATACTTACTGCATTCCCTGGCCGTGCCTCAGTAAATTGTTTTGTATGGAATGCCAAAAGGGCAACTTTCAAACATGGTCAATTTTCAAGCACACTCGGTTTTCAGGCACAGTACCTAAACTCAACGCTAATTATCCAAGGTTATGAAGCATGCTTTGTAAATCATAAAACATGATCTTACCACTGAATTTCTGACATTACATAAAGAAAGTAACTGAACGAGATAACATGCAAACTATCTTCTTTTAGTGGTCATATAGTGACGTTCACATACTCCTATAGGGTAAGCGAGCGAAGTGAGCGCATCCTCTAGCATGTCTAATTTTAGCTATCATTATTAAAGTACTTTGCAATTTTTGGTGTAAGTAAAGGAGCTTTCTAATTTATATTATAATATTATTGTTATCAATATTACTGTACTATAGAATAGTGAGTAAAAAGCAGACTACAGTATATTATTGTGAGGAATAACAAGTTTTGTCATGTATACACTATGTTTACAAATACAATTAATGAAATAATCACAAATCCTTATGTCTGGCAGTTTACCCTACAGTAGGCTATCAGTCCTATTATTACATGGTAAACTCACCATCATTACAGAAAGCACTATCAAAGCCATAAGTATAGTTAAAACATATAGGAAATATTCCTCACGTTGCTTAGTGATTGCAACAATTTCGCATTTTCACCATTTATTTTTACATTTTCTTCTGTAGTATCATTACATCTATCTTTTCAATAATGGAAATGGATAATCATATTGCTAAGACCTTCATCGTCAGGGCTGGGTATTGAATTTGCTTTGAATGTATGTGCCACAAGGCTAGATGATATATGTCAAATTGAATAATGTGTATAATGTAAAATTTATTAACTCTCGGGCATCATGTGCAGATTATTTCCATGTATATCTCAGTAAACTTTACAGACATAACTATGAGATGTTACATGAGTTTTACGTGGGATGTGAATTCACAGAATCGTATCAGTCTAATAATTTGTTACATTATGTTATTAATCTAACAAATTGTTCCAGTACATTGTTAGATAATGCAAAAAGAAATTGTTGCATTATGCCAGATTTTGCTAGGTTTTTGTTCTTGTGGAATCAGGTATTACAGTATTTTCGTTATCCAGCTTTAGTGAGTGGTTTGTTTCAGTTGTGAGGTAAAAAAACTAGTGTTGTAGGATTAAAACCCAGGACCCTGGATTTGGAAGGTGAGCACTAACCTATATTCACTTCATCTTTGAATTTGTAAACATGAGAATTTCTATAATATATGATGATGATCTGTAAGTAAGCCAAGCCATTCATCAAAAAGCCATCATAAATGTATGAAGGAAAGCCTCTATGATTTATTGATTGATTAATTGATTACCTGGCATTTTGCTTTTTTTTCATTAAGTCTGTTTTTTATTATATATACCTATCATATTTTATCTGAGAAACACCTCTGCTGATGATTAGAGATTATATTGATATTTGAGAAAAATATGTCTCCATCGGGATTTGAAACTAAGACCTTCCGAAACTTGTTTGAATACACTACCAAATACTATCTGTATATGGAAATTTATTGTTTTTTTATTTAGTATTACATGCGTGCATTCTGCACATAAGTAAATAATTCTGTAACCTTTTCATTTTGTTTTCTCATGAAGTTTTTTTTTTTTTTCATTTTTTACATAAACACTATTTTAAACAATCATAAGCCGACGAAACCTCCAGCGGTGGAGGCGAGTCATCCGGCAATTAGTCGGTTATCCAGGTAAGTATCTCACTCATAGACTACCAACATCACGATTGATTTGTGTAAACAATCATATTGCCTTTCCTAGCCATTTTTTCTCGCGTTAACAGTAGGTGTTTTTTTTTTCGAAACCATAACATTACCTTTTCCTATACTATCGCAGTGTAATGTTTTTCATGTATACCCAAGTTATGTCACGTGACCGGCTGTAAACAAACATCGCTGAATCCGTCTATTAATTAAAGTACATAATTTTGATTAACCTCATTGCTTGTTATTGCTAATAGGCATTTATAGCAATATTCTATGCATAAATACCATGAGCTCCCAATACTTTAATTCCCTGTAATGTAGGACATGACCTCATTTATATTTAGCTGTCTGTTAGTATGTAATGCATGTACTTACTGCAGTGTTTTTTTAATTCGGATGTTTTGTCCATAGGCAGTATTTTCTCAGCTGGTTCCATTATTATTAGTTTCATTACCTGGACACAAATTTAGACTGTAACTTGTATTTTCCTTGACACATTTACAGAAATATTTGGCTTAAATATTTCTGTGTAACTCTCAGTGATGAAGTTTGGGGAAAATTTGATTAAAGATGTATTGTCTATTATGAGCTAAAAAAAAAACTAAAAATTCAATTCCATACTTTGTATATTTAATTAAGTTATTAACTTATATTTAAAACATTGAATGAGAAAATATGTTTTTAATGATTTTATTGAAATTGTAAGGCTTGCATACAATTTGGCATTCTGGCCACGATTTGTTACCACTTTTAATGTGGATGTTTTGATAAAGTGAAATGAAATAAATAATTATAAAAATATGAAATAATACCTTTTCTATATTCTTTTACATAACCCTTAAATTGGCTGGTTATCAATTTCAGGATTTTGTTGTAAAATTTCTGTAAATCAGCAAAAATGATTTTTTTTTGTATCTGTTACTGGTTGTAAGTTAATGTTTTTTTTTTAAATTTAATTGACTATT